TGTTCATATTCCCGCTTTCGCTGTGTTGTTAGTTATCTGTTGTTACCTCATCATAGCACTAATTGCTGTCATTGGCAGTGCTACTATTACTACTCCAATTACTACAACCATAATTGTCACCGTTGTAGCAGCAGCAGCAGCAGGAGCAGTATCCACAGTATCAAAGCTGATATTGGATTAGTCTGAATGGATGGACCCCTCATTCCCCTCCTTCCGTTGAATTCTTTACATGCAGCCTCGGCACAGCCGGAGTCGCACTGCATGCCAAAGGCTCCACCTGCACAGCTGGCACCATCCCAGCCACCGCAGCCGCCGAAACCGCCAAAGCCTCGCTTTAGCAATCCCGGACTTTCCCTTCTGAGAGTTAAATACGAATACCCCAACCATCCCTGTCGGCCATCACCCCTACTCTAGAAACCAACAAAATGGAATTGAAGTCCTGTCTTAGTTTTCCATGCTAATGATTCACCACATCCAGCACGTGAAGCCCAGGACATCTAAGGGCTTTGCAGGTCTGTACCTGTGCAAAGCCGACGTCCCTACTACTACTACTACCACCACTACTACTACTACTACTACTACTACTACTACTACTACTACTACTACTACTAGTACTAGTACTTTGTTCTATAATGTTCATATTGCCGCTTTCGCTGTGTTGTTAGTTATCTGTTGTTACCTCATCATAGCACTAATTGCTGTCATTGGCAGTGCTACTATTACTACTCCAATTACTACAACCATAATTGTCACCTTTGTAGCAGCAGCCGCCACCTCCGCCATAGCAGCCGCATCCAGAGCTGCCGAAGCCGGCCTCGCCGTAGTCGAGGCACCATGATCCTTGCGACTTTGGACGTTCCGACTACAGGGCTGCAAAAGAGAGCCTTCTCAGGCTTTGAATAGCTCCTGGGGCTTAGTACTTCATTAAGGTAGCAGACTTCGTCGAAGCCCAGCATGATCGTACAAGGCATCTGGGCTTCTAGGGTTTAGGGCCGAAGTTTCCCTGACAACGTATCCACCCACCTGCTCGGTTCTTCTGCTTCTTTCTGTCCCATTCCACCTCGTACCTCAGATGAGATCGGGCAGGAGAGGTCAGCCAATAGCCCCTTGTCACACAAATACCATTACTGTCACATTATACCAGTCACACAGACACACACACACACACACACACGCGCGCGAGCGTGTATAGATGGATGTAGTATATGTATATACACACACAGACGTGCATACAAAAATGCTTACACATGTCTTGTGCAGATGTGTATCTGTGTAAATATGTTGGGACTCGCATCTCGAGCCTCTCCAGGACCCTTGCATCCCTTCGAAGCACAAGTCCCAGGCACTTCACCCACATGCCAGCAGTCAGGCTTGTAGGATCGCTTCCTTGAAACCATCGTGAATGCCTCAGCTGTCAAAGACTTCTCTGGAAGCGTCTTCCTCGCAAGGATGCTGAGCCCCCAAAACAAGAACCCCTACAATCCTTGATGCATCGCAGTGTGCCTGCGGTCACGTGTTTCAGTCAAGAAAACACCGAGGCTTTCATGGCGGAGCTAGGGTTCATAGGAACCGGCAGCCCAAATCACCTGCCTGAATCCCTAAACCCCAACCCCATACCTAAACCTCAAACCCTAAACCCTTTTTGGGCCAGAACAGCCATCGGCGCGAAGGAGTGCAGAAACCCTGAACTCTAAACCCTTTTTCAGCATGGGCTTGGATTGTGTGCCAGCGAACGCCTTTTCGTTTACCGAGGGATGCAACCGTCCCCAAACCCCCACACCCTGCGCCATGGCACGCGTAAAGATCTGCTGTGCCATCTTGGGGCTGAATCCAACCGTACCCTGGCGATGCAGGCGCTTAGGAGGGTTTAGGGGCTTAGGAGGGGGCTAAGGTTTAGGAGTTTAGGGTTAAGGATCCAGCGCTTTTTCGCTCACACACTCGGACAGGGCCAGTCTAAGGCTCCTCATTTAATGAGGGTTTAGTTTAGGGCTTAAGGCTTAGGGGTTGAACAGCATTTACAGGGTTTAGGCTTTAGAATCTTGCGTTAGGCTTTGGTTCTCTTGCCAATTAGTATACTTTTTGCGGACTGGCGATAACGTCAAACAGTATTCTGTCGCGGTACTGTCAGAGTTTTTATATGGGCACTATCCGATTTCTATAGGGGTGCTACAAGGGCTAATAGGGGGGGCTGATTTAGCCCTCCATAGGGCCATAGGGGGCAGCTTGGGCTAACGGTTCCGGGCCTCGTGTTTATCAGCTTGGGGATACTAGGGTTTGGGGTTTCAGGGCTTAGGGTTCGTAAGGCTTTTAGATTGTAGGGGTTAATCGTCTTGCTACTGCACTGCCTTGACTGTTCGCTATTGTCGTAGAGTAGGAGTAGTAGAGGAAGCCCGGACGCCCTGCGCAAGTCATAGTATTCTGCCATCGGGCTCTCTAAAGACACTACATATAGGGGTCGACAGTGCGTCGCCAGAGGGGAATGCCTCGACTCGCAGAAGTCTGAAGATCCCAAGGGTTTCGGGTTCAGGGATCCCAATAGAAGATGCCAACTTAGTTCAGGATTCTGCAGAGGTTCCAAACGTCCTTGAAGCTTTCTCTAAGTGATTCAGAGGATTTAAGAATCTAAGGGGTTTTGAGGCATCCGGGACCCAGCAACTCGGCGCTGGCCTCTGTCGGGGAAGTATGTCGTGAGCATTCCACTGTGCATCACCTTGGCGAGACGAAACTGCCAGGCTGCTACCCTAACCCCGAACAGTTGAGGTGCTTTTCGGGGCTTAGGAGTGAGATTGCTAGGGTTTGAGGGTTAGGGAGTTTAGGGCGTAGGGCTTTGGGGTTTGATCGAGCTTAGGGCGTAGAGGCTATGGATCTCGTGGTATGTGGTTTAGGGGGTTAGGGTGTGTGGGATAAGGGAGGTTAGTAGAGCAGCTCCCGGCAGCTGAGGTGCGGCATTGCCTCCGCTCACATCGATTGCCCAGGAAGAAGCCATGTACCTAATGATTGGGCATAGGGTTTAATGTTTTTGCTAGGGAGCTTGTGTTCTCTTGTCATAGAGGGGATGGAGGCTATTTTCCGACATCTCCAAATGACGGTAACTTCGTCTCCTGAACAAAACCCGCAGCTCCCCAAGTGCCAGGCTAGGACGCCATGGAAAAGACGGCTTAGGGCTCAGGGCTTTATCCGGGGAAAGCAGCTCAAGCGGGAAAGGTTGAACCCACTGAAAGAAACCCGGGCAGTGGCACCTTCTCCCGTGGGCATCCCATTCAGCCTGACGAGAATGGGTGTAGGATTTAGGTCTGGGCCCTCGGGCTCAAAACTTTTGGGGCTCAAAAATGGTGGACCAAGACAATACTGATCTGAGCGCGTGCGCCAGATCATAATCCAACGGTACAAGCATGTCGAATCCGGGTAGATTAACGATGTCAGCAAGTGATATGCGGCATCGATCAACTCACGCGCATTACCTTAGAGCTCTGGGTAACTACACAAATGTCTAATTATCTCTCAGCCACCTCACTAACCCCCATCATATTTTGCATATGACACGCTGAGGCAAAGGAGCCTCGTAAGTGACTCGCTCTCCGCCCCTGAGAGAATGACGGTCACCATTGAACCGCGAAGGATGCCTGGCAACAGCCGGAGGCCTCTTTCGGGCTTATAGATCCTCGGGACTCGTTCAAATCTAAGGGGAGCAGTCCTGGTGTCAAGGGTTAGGGCTGTAGGGGTTAATAATAAAGGTTGGGATTTACGGCTCAGGAAATGGAGTCTGGCTTCAAGTCTCTAGGATGCCCTCCCCAACGGTCGGTCTCTGGGCATGCTCGCCCTGGACGCAATGATGCTAATTATAGCACACGTAATACATAAGTCTTCATTGAGGGAATCTCGGTTTGCACTGTCCTGGTTGCCAGGCCCATCGGAACAGGGCTGGAGCCACACGTCTGGCCACGCTGTGTTGGCAGTGAAAGTCTACCCAGAACACACCATCGCTTCCGTCAGCCCTGTAAAACCCTACACCCTCAAGTTGCCAAACTCCAAGCGCTCTTTGCGTCCCGTGGTACGCAAAGATGCAGTCGCCGCCCGCGTCCGGTATGATCCAGCCGCAGCCCTGTGCAATCTAGAGCAGCCAGAGTCAGATAGAGCTGCACTTCCGCTTTGAATTCCTGTTTCTGGGCGAAGTCCTGCGCTAATCTGCGGAAGTGTTGGCAGACTCCGACTCCGAATTTTGGATTTTGCAGATTTGCGGGTTTGGTTCATCAGCAGCACCACCGGGCTTTACTTTACGGAATTCACCCGCGCTCCCTGCGCCTGGCGGTGGCAGAAGGTCAAATTGCCAGTCGCCATGAGGAATTTTGGATAGGCCAGAAATGGTGAAAGTCACCAGACTTACACAAGCTCCATTCAGGCACATAGACTACTGATCCTCCGTCTACGGGGGGCTTTGGGATCGGTAGCTCTGAGTCGACTGCAGATGCTGGGCGTCACGGACCTTGCTTGGCACAACTTGCGCCAAAATGGCTGAGGTCACATCATAGCAACACAGCCAAGAGGACCGTAAACCCGAAACCCGAAATAGACCTAGCCTGTCTCAAACTCAACGACTACCAACACCAAGCACATGCCTTTTCCTCTGCAACGACCATGGATGCTCAGGATCAGTTGGAGAGGCCCAAGTCCTCGAAGAATCTCGAAGACAAGGTTGGGGTTCTTCACGAAGATGTCGCCCTCCGAGGCAGAATCCCTACTGACAGTGGCCGAGACATCACTAGCTCTACGCTGTGCTCAGCTCCGCCATCTGCCACAAACACGAAGCGCTTCTGCAGCTGCTTCGAAGAATTGTGTGGCCTAGACGGCCCATAGCCGGTTTGCAAGCTGATGCATCAAGCCACAGTCCCACACCAAAAAGTCTCCGCCGTCCGTGTTGACCAACATGTGATGGCCTCCACAGTGCCCCTGAACTTCTCGAGGCTGCAACACCACAGGGTCCACCAACAATGCAACGGAACTCAGCTGCTGTCAAAGAGATCCTCCAGCGCCCACCGCACAGGCCGAACAGCTGCTGTATCGGAATGGGCAAAAGCCCGCAGCTGTTGCTCAGCTTCTGCATAGGTTTGCCTGGGTGCATCATCAACCAGCCATAGCATCTTCAGGTCCCAAACTGCCAGCAACTTGTTGGTAACTGAACTGTCCAGCAGCAGTTTTACCACTAGAGACACCAACTTCTGGCGCTGAGGCTTGCTCAGCCAGCGCATTAGAATCGCAAGCGGACGCATACAGCACCCTATCTGTCGCAAGTTGGCGTGTACGTTGGATTTCACTAGCTCTTCCATCAGCGCAAGCATGGCCTCTGCTACAGGTTGCCGCACGAATGGGAGGGCATCAGCTGCATAGATCGAAGCCACTATCATGGCGGCAGCAGCCACGTCCGCATCCGCACTCCGGCAGTGCCGAAGCACAGAGTGCAGGTTGTTGCCAACGATGCGGCGAACGTCGCTTTCGGCAAAATGGGATGCTCTCCGCGTTGCCAGAAGCATACACCACCGCTGACCTCGGGTTGAAGCACAGTCTGCAAAACTTGGTACCGGCGACTGATGCACTAATGGAAAGACGGCTGTGCTGGCCGTGGACCATGCTCAACGGGTCAAGGAGCATTGCTTAAGCTTCTGCTGCTCGGCTTCGAGTCCAATGGGTGCGGCGAAGGCAAAACCGACAATTGACGCAGGCCTGCGGCAAAACTTGCAACATCGCAACATGCAACTGCCAAAACTCCTTCATAGAACGATAGCATGCAATGCAAATGCACGGAGGCAGGGCGCCAGCAAACGCTGCACGACGAGACGTGACACACGTCTTTCTGCGCAAAGGGGTTTGTGTGTTGTGTGCGCGATTTCTCACTCTGCGGAACAAGCTTTCAGATCCGTCCGTTCTTAGCGCAAGAAACCCTACCCACTTCGGCGTGCCGTGCCATGACCGCAGCTTGTGCTAGGCAACGCTGCCGAGCCTGGCCATGCTGCCCATCTCCTCCACGTGCTGTATTAAAGCCTGGCAGAAAAATCTGCGAGCAGACAGAGGCCCCAAGAAACGAATGTTCCGGCAGACTGCAGGCCTCGGGACTTCTGGTGCACCGCGAAACCCGGCGCCACTTCAGCAACTCCGGCACCTGCGCTTCACGGAGACTCTCAACTTTGCAACCTCTTGTCAACAGCCCTGCCAGCGGCTACTTCGCAACCGAGCCGCGGTCAGGTATGGCAACAGGTTTGGCCTGAGGCTTGTTCAGCAGAGATGTTGCACTTGCCGGAAGACCATCACAAGCAGGCCGTTGACACAAGCCGAGGTGCACAATGAGGTGGGCGGGGTCGCACACCCCAGCTCCAACCTCGGTCTCCAAAGCAGCTGCAGCTGTTGATGAAGCTGCTTTTGATTTTTACTGCCCAGCTGCCGTCGCGGAGATCTCCGGCAGCGAACCATGGACCTGGATGCTTTTCCGTCGACTCTGCCGGCAAGCAGTGAACCACATCCTTCTGAGGTCCTTGGAACCATGGCCTCAAGGCTCTTTCCTGCCTCGCATTGAACTAAAGTTGCAGATGATCATCTGCTTCTCCGATTCCGAAAACTCTTTGACGAGACCGGAACCTTCAACCCTGCCCATCTGCCTCGGAAAAGCCTGAGCTGTATCCCCGAAAAGATGGGAAGAAACGATACTGTGTATTGCTGTAACGTTGCAATGACATAGTGATGACAACAGCAGTCTTCGACAACAGTAACATACGGACCGTGGAGTTGGGCCGTTTCGTTCTGACAAGAGGCAGAGCAGTCCTCGCCCGTCTGGCAAGCTGTGTCCACTTGAGGACCGGAAAGCCGTTCGGCAGACTTTTGGAGGTGCGCCCTCCGTTGCCGCAGCTTCCTGCGCCCATCGGACAGGCTTGGATGATAGCTGACACACTGGCTGGCTTCTGCTCTGAACTGCGCATGCGCTGCCCGTCTGGGCGAAGCCCCCCAATTCAAAAGGCGCCCTGACACTCCACCTGCAGGGACGCATGCCATCAATCTCGACACCACCCGCCGAACCGAAAAACAACAGACCTGCGACAAACATCCCAGACTGACCCACCAGGCCCATAACCAGCACTCCCACGACTCAGGATTCTGGATGTCCGATCCGATCCGTGCCCTGTCGTTGATTTTGCAACTCCGGCTGCTGATTCGATCATTCTGGCGGCTGATTACTCTCGCGACTGGTTCGAGGCCTGGCTTTGTCCCGCGGTTTGAAGTCGCTGATTGGAGATTCGGGGGGCGTGTTCGCTGGTCCCTGGTTTTTTGCGAACGGCTGCCGGTCGATTCGAGGATTCTGGTCGCTGATTCGATGCATTTCATGTCTTCCCGACGCCGACTTTGAGCAACATAACAAACTCATGGTGTTCCAGCGTCTGGGAGTCTGGGCCACCCAGCCGATCCAAGCCAGCTTGCTTCGAACTGCTCCTCAATGGCTGAACTTGATGAGGACACGTCCTGTGCACGAACTGCATTCAAAGCGCATGCCTGCATCGCCTGATGCTTTGAGAGTGAAACGCATAATATAATGTGCATATTTGGGAACCCCCTGTTGAGTAGGAACCGGTCAGGGGCCTTGTACTTTGGTGGCGGTCGGACCCAAAAGTACTCGAGCCGCGTACGCGGGGAAACCGCGGCAAAACACCATGCAGAGCATCAAGATGAAAAAAACTGCAAACGAAAAATCGGACGGATACAGACCGAGACGGGCGCGAAATCCACGCCGAAGCGCTGGTCAGAGGAAAATCCCAAAGATCAGTGCCACGACTGAGTGCATCAGCAACATCATTTGAGATACCGATGATACCGGGCACATGATCAAGTTAGCTGCCCTGACTGAATGTGGTGCGTTTGTGCACCGAACAGGCACGGTTGTGGCACTCAACACAAACATGATTGCGTTAGAACTTTGCTATGTATTCGCTGGAAGCCAGCACCTATTATTCATAAATGACGCCTACATGTCCAACACTTATTTGTAATTGTATACTCGTGTCTATGTCTAGTATTGTCTAGAAGATCCAACATCCGGCTTCAGGACAGCTACTTTTACTACGCCATGCGTTCTGGTGTCAGGGTAGATTCAAACACATGTTCTTCTGCAAAGGCACTACACGTTGTCAAGACGTGCCAATCCAGGTGGCAATATCAGGCCAATTATATTCTCCTACAAGGAGCAAACGAATGTATAAAACACTTCTTCGAGGTCTTTCGTTCACAAGTAGATACTGTTTATTCGTTTCTAGTTCTAGCTCGAATTCTTTCTCCGGTACTTAATCCACATATTTGCACACTTGTTTTAATACTGCTGTCATGTCACAAAGGACACCTCGTCATCCAAGTCCATACGGTAGCTGTGAATCTTAGCCTGGCCATGCTGCAAACCAAGGCAGAAGCATGTGTCTGCTACATATCCCCGCCTGGCGCCTGCGTCGCTGCTGCCTTTCCTGCAAACCTGAATCTCGTTGCGCTATGTTTCATTCAATCCGGATTGAGATTTCAGTGCCCGGCTTGACGAAGGATTGAGAGCTGCTTCGACTTGAGTTTCCTAGGCCGATGGTCTTTCCGACGCTCGCGACAGAAGCATCTCTGAGGCAAATGCGGAGTTGGAGGCATCTTGGTTTTCCTCCTCATCTTTCACGAAGGCGGCCTCGGCCTTGCCAGCATTTTCAGATCTGAACGGCAAGGGGCACTATGCCGGCTGAGGATGCCACGCTTCCGCAGCCTGAAGGCTTGACCTGTCATCTATGTTGGCGTGACTCCGTCGAACAGATCGGTAGCAGAGGCTGTGGCCAACTTCTCAGGGGTGTTATCATTGTCCTGTGTCGTGACATGGGGACCCAAAGAGCTATCAACAGACTTCGCCAGCACTCCTGTGCTTTGTGGCGCCGCCGAGGCGTGCAGGGGAAGTCCTGCCAAGCTTGCTTCATCCCAGGAAGACGCAATGGCGGCCAGGCGACTATGGAATGGCAGAACGGCACAACAATGCCCTTCTCGGGTATACCCTCATCATTCCCAAAGCATTGGCCCGCAACTTGTTGGTGACAGGTCACCTCTTCCATCACGAGCACCTGCCAAGCTGGCACCTTCGTCCTGCTCAAACCCTGAAGCCACTCCGAGACAAAGGCCGGGTTGACAGTATCCATGTTTTCCCCATTCACACATGCGGCCTCTGTATTGCCAGACTGCATGCAATGCGCTTCCGGGAGCTGCCGAATAAGTCTGCTGCCAGGCTTGCAACAGGTTTGGCCTTAAGGCCATGAGACCGAATGCAACCGGACAACAACCGGACAAAAAGCCGCACAAGGCCCCCACCAACTTCTCGGGAGTTTCCACCTCCTGCACGGACAGCGATTGCAAGCAGGGAGCCTTTCACCAAACCTTGGCACTGCTCCTGTGTTTTGCTGCGCCAGAGCAGAGTGCCTGGGACGTCCTGCCAAACATCTGCCAGAGGGAAGAGCGAAAGGGGATCTTGGGTGAGATTTCGTGCGTCCTTTTCAGCAGGACTCCCCAAAGACACCTCCAAAGTGAACAGGACCAGAGTGGCTGGACGCCAATCAGGGCCGAGGCAGCGTGACAGTTTGTGCTCTGGGTGTTCTGCCTCTCCCTATCAACCCTACACCCCTGAGGAAGCCCTAATGTATAACAAAAACTCCGGGCACGTCGCAAGATGCGCAGGCCTTAGCAACCTCAGCATGGATGAGGTGCGTGAGATCGCGCAAGAGGTCTGCACGAAAGCTTTGCCATTCCTGTCAGTCTTTGACCAGGTCTCAGGCATCTGCTACAACAACTCCTGAAGCAGTTCCTCCTTCACGGCTTGCGATGCCTCATTTGAGGCCGAATGTTTCGACATCTCTCTGCATGACAAGCGGATCTTCCGAAGGTCCAAGGTCAGCACCGCCTTTATGAGACCCTCCGTCACGGCCAGGTTCATGCTGTCACTGGACTCTGTCGGAGCCTTCGGGCAGATCTGCAAACCATGAGACAACCAGAACCAGTCGCTTTGGGATACTTGCTGGAAGAAACTTTGAAACCTGCCTCCTCGCCCCAGAAAGTTTGCCACATGGCGGGGCTGCAGTTGGCGCTTTGAACTGCAACTGCCACAGGAAGTTCCACAGTCCGCAAATCACATGATCCGTGGATATGCGATGATGTGCTCTCGTTTCATAATATGTCATAAGCCCTAAAACCTATGCCATCCAATCCGAGCCAATATCTGGCATGAACCTCTCACGTCTTTGCTTGGTTAAGGCTTGGTGGGCATAGTTGCATGCTGGAATCAGTTTGCGAAGCTCGCACTTGGCCATGGTCACAGCCAGTTTATCGGGTTTGCTTTCGATTCGGCTTGAACCACTGCGCTCACAGGCAAAAACCGAGATGCGATCGCTGATCGGTTTCAAGTGGTCTTGTTCCACTGCACATGCCACCTGCAAATTTGCTCGCACAACTGGAAAGCGACAAGACAAACGCGGAGCGGGATACAGAGACAGAGACAGACAGAGTGATCCAAACGAGCAATGGCAGCAACAGGCGTCGTAGTAGTAGTAGTAGTAGTGGTGGTAGTGGTAGTGGTAGTGGTCGTGGTCGTGGTCGTGGTCGTGGTCGTGGTCGTGGTCGTGGTAGTGGTAGTGGTAGTGGTAGCAGCAGCAGCAGCAGCAGCAACAGCAGCAGTAGTGGTAGTAGTAGCAGTACCAATAGCTGTAGCAGTAGTCATAGTTGTTGTTCTTGTTGCTGCTGCAATATTACTTGTTGCATGAGGGACTGGTATTGAGATGCTGGCTCTTGACACGGGCAGAGAGCGCAACAAGACAAACCGCAATCAGGACATACGGCACCGACATGCTACAAGGGGGTCATTGGCAGATAGCGCCAGGACACCACACTGCCAACAGCAAGGAGCAGAGCCCACCAAGATGCAGACGCTGCAAACAGGATAAGGACTGACAGTGCCAAAAGATGCACGCTGCAAAGAAGGGGAGAGGTAGAGAACCAACTGGCAAACAGGATAGGGGCCCAACAGGGGCAAGAAGCATAGAAAAACTGGTGAGGAGCATCAACAGTTGCTTGCAACACCCATTGTGAGTCCTTTCATCGATGTCGTACGACATGATGTACAGTGCTTGAGGGAGGCAGGTGGGAGGAGCCTGATGTTCGTGCACATGTCACAGTGATCAGACTCAGGCTGCTGGCACGTTGGCAGAGATGCTGGTAGCCCCTCCTCTCATCTCTTTGTTGCGATACAGTCCGCACTCAGCCGAAGCGGCATCTCGTCGCATACACCGCATACAGACATGTACACCAGCCGCGATTTGCTCAATACTCGCCACCATTCCCGTTCCGTTGTGATCCAAAGGCTTAGGGCCTAGGGTTTAAGGGATCCTTTCACGGTCTATTCAATGCTGATAAGTCTCAACGCAATCGGCGCCAGATGCTGTTTTGCCTAGCAGGGTTGGGCCGCATGGGTGAGTGCTCCACTGGGGCACTGAGTAGTGCTGGTTCTGGTCCGACAGTCAACCTTCCCTCGGCTGGGAGTTTTCTTCTCGGCTCGGGCACTGCACCCTGCTTCGTACAGCTTCAGGTCAAAAGTCTCAGACTGAGCCCGCGTTGGCAAGAGCACCGATGGGGCTTCGACTTCGTGCCGCGACCTTTTCTTCGAGGAATCTATGTTTGGGCAAAATGGCTTACCATCTGAATGGCAAGGTTTGCATAGTTCAATGTCCTACAGTATGTACACTTTGAAGGCACCAGCTGTGCCGCAAAAGCTTGCATGTAGCATGCGAGACTTTCCTGCCAAGTGGCGGTGCCACAAAGGCCCAGTGTGTATACACATTCGTACAGTGCTGAGTCGGAGCCACTAAGTCACTAAGCGGTTGAGATGGACTTCGAAAGCAGGTCCGAGACCACCTGGACCGCCTGTGATTGCGGGGGCATTCCATTGCAGACGAAGGAGAGAAGAGCCCAAGCGCCCCGCCTCGGGCCAAGTTGCAGCCACATGCTCGATCAGGGAAATGTCCTTGGACCACCTGCATAAAAACTTCGACCAAGCACAAGCCACGCAGAAGTCAAGGCGATGCAACGCGGAGTGCGCCTCTCGGCTGCAGCTCTTGTCCGAGCTCCGTTCGTGTCGCACAAGACCACGACCTCTGCAAGCTGAGAGTCGTTTTTTGCACGGACATCGGCTTCCCCCTCATCCGCCTTCAGCGGCGGCATGTGGGCGGCTTCTTGAAGGAAGCCAACCTCATGAGCCCGCCAGGCCGCTCTACAAAAGCAACATCTATAGAGGCTAAAGTGTCTAAAGGTCAAGCGGCCAGCTCCTGTGCGTTTGCCCAAGACACCAGGAAAACCAAAGGTCGGGCCTCGAGGTGACATATAGAGCACTCCCACATGCCTCTGCCCTGTGATTCCAGCCTTCTGAACACCGCGACCGCGCTCTGCCCGAACCCGTTGCTTCTTCTTCAGCCTCGGTGCGACTTGAATTCCGCAGGTGCAAAGCTAGTGCCACTGCAGGATCATCTAAAACGCTAAGGGCTAGGCAACCTCATGCACTTCTCGGCGGTCTTGTGCGACTGCCAAGAGTGATACGAGTAGCGCAGTAAATGAGGACAGCAGTAACAGAACGAGCCTTTGCTGCCATGCCAATGGACGTTTCGAGTTGCTCCCGCAACCTCCACTGAAAGTTGAGGATCGTGCCCTTTAATGCAGTATGTGATTGTCGCATGATCAGGACGTGTCACCATGGCCCCCGCCCTTGGAACTCTTGTTTGAAGGCACGGGCATCACACCAAAAGACCTGAATACGTGGCACTGGAATGCACCGTATGTCAGCTCATGATGCAGGCCCTGACCTGATGAGGCTTCTCAGACTGGCTGGGCCGTTGGCCCTGGCACAGAAAAGAGCGCAGCGCCACGTTGTGCTGCGGGTGCGGGATCTGAGGTCCGCGCGGCACCCGGCTCCTCACCGGCGCTACTGCCAGCTGTCGTGCTGACAGGACTGGCCTGGAGGCTTGACACTACTGTCGGCGCGATGACAGCGGGACTTGGAAGCCCCAAATCCTGCTCTACGTGTCTCAGAGCGCCCTGTACAGAGAACACCATTCGTGACAGTCACGCTTGTGCCAGACCACGGGCTTGTCGAGTGAAGCTTGCACACTCTTTCAGGGCCGCACGCTGCGGCATCTGCTTGCAGTCTGCTCGCTTGGCCTGCACTTCCACGAACGTGCAACATGTCATTATCCAGAGGCCCTCAAAGTTGGCTTAAAGCGATGATGCGGACCGCGAACGCAGGCCGCGCCTCGGAAGTGGACCCGGCGTCTGTGGCTTGGCCTGTCAGATACAACTTGGATTGAAAGAGAGAGAGGGCGGCGAGGGGAAAAGAACGGACCGCGCCTCCGGAGCGTGAGGACCAACGGGCAGCGGACCCGGGACCAGGCCTGAAAAGCAGGGAGAGCTCGACTCTCATCGGCAACCTAACATCACTTGGCCCTCGGCCTGCTGGGAGAGGTCCAGTGGCTTTCTGAAGCTCGCTGTTGGCACTCGGCTTCTGCGACCGGTCGTGGGAGAAACGACAGGCGGCTCCGTATTTGCACGTCCCACGGAGATGCCACTTGCACTGGGTCTTCACCGCAGCGCCGGTGCACTCTCTCGAGAGTGATTCCTTGAAGGCATCTTTGCCATTCAAATTCGCCTCCCGGAGCTCCGCCCTCTCTCTCTCCTGTCTTTCGGGTGATGCTTTCGCTTCGTGCTCTCGAGCAGGGGGCGCTTGAAGCATCGCTTGCATGTCCAGGGGCTCCTCGGCTTGGTAGCTGCTGGTCCTGGAATGGAACCCGCTTCCGCTGTGCACCGCACTGCGGAAACCTTCGAATGACTGAACTGGCACTGGCTCCGAAGCGCAGCGTAAATGGCTGGGTCGCCATCGCATGTGGGGTGGGCTGAGGAGATCCGCACAACTCTCCGATCCAGTCTCGTCCACTTCAATAAACGTGTTTCTGACACGAAAGTTCACGTTCCCCACATTATCCCAGGAGGACTGAGATGCTAAAGGCTGTGCCTCCTCAGCAAGGTCGTATGTTTGAGAATCAACCAGCTCTTTGTCTTCCTGAATAGTTCGCGAGCGCTGCCTCGCATGACGGTAGCTGCGCACAGGAACAGCCAATGTGTGACGATACGGATCCTTCCGCTCCTGAGTATCCACGTCAACCATCATCGGCTCGTGCCAAGGGCTCTGGCCCATAAAGTCTGTGTTGATGTCTATATACTTTGGAAAGTGGATGCGCCGTAAGGCCTCATACTCGTCAGACTCTCGTATGGGAGTGACGTATGACTGAGCACGAGGTGAACGCATCAATGTCGCACCAAGGCTTGTGCTGACTCGGCCGCGCTCAGGGTTTGATGGCGCATGTCGGCTGGGGCCCAGGTGAGAATCCAGCACCGTGCCGAGAGCATCCGCTTGCAATGCTGCACCTGGCAGTGCGTCAAGAGGTGAAGTCGCAAGACTCATTGGTTCCCAAGGAGATCTAGCAAAAAAGGATGACATAGGCTCGGAAGCACATCTCAAGTGACCCCGGCGCCAAGTGCGCCCGAGTGTGCTTCCAGTGCTTGAACTAGTAACAGCTGGATCAGCACGGGGCTCCGTGCTTTCGTCCACCTCTATAAACGTGTTGCGTATGTGAACTGTCTGCCACGTCTTAAGTCCAGGAGGTTCCGAATGTAAGTCGGATGAACTGTCCTCTTGTCCAAAGGGAAGCGACATCTGTCCGGCGCTAAGGAGCTTAAATGCAGCTGTGCTCGTGTTGAAGCGACTGACTGAAACTATTGTGCACTGTCTTGCTGAGGGACGCTGTCTGCAGAGGCTTCATGCTTCCAACAGGTACAGTTGTGCCAGTACTTTGAAGCACATATTGCTAATTCTCCAATTGATCTATTTGCTCCTCTCACCTGCATGAAGTTGAACAACGGCGGATGACAGTGAGAAGCAGGATTGCAGCTTGGACGGCAAATTGGATGTGGTGCTGCTACTGTATGTGCTGCTCAGCGCACGAAATGCTGTCAGGCTTGTTTACCCTTCTCGGAAGGCATGGCAAATTCTGGAACACAAGCGCGGCTTTGGTGCCCCAGCCAAGGCACTAGCTTGGCAGACACGGAGCGCGTGTGTCGATGCAAGACAGCGAAGGAGTTGAGAGCAGTCTTGACTTGGCAATTGGTACATGTCCTAAGTTCGTGAAAGTGAACGGAGTAAGTTCGTGAAAGGAACGGACTCATGCCCGCTGTCTCCTTCGGCTGAAGCACGGAGAATGATATTGGGTCTGCAATGAACGAGGCCGCAAGGCTACGAGGCAGCATACTGGTGGCAAACGAATGTCTAGTACGTACATTCAAAGTAGCATGCTTGCATTCTGTGCAAAGATACAGACTATCTCTCAGAATCTTGTTTGTTGTTAGTTGAACCTGGGTGTGTTGTAGGAGGTAACAGCTTAGCAGTAGTGGGCTCGGCCGGCCCTGGCTGACAAAGGACGAGCTCTTGCAACATCTAAGAAGTTGCAGAGCTGATTCAGATTGCGGTCCACCACCTCGCGGCTTCAGCCGGGAATGGGGCTGTGAATCTCTGCACTTCAGACGCGAAGTCTTGAGCCTCCCTGGAGACTCGGCTCCGCCGGCCTCTGCAAAGCGAAAGCAGCCGTGACACATCTGTGCTGGGCTCTGGCTCTTGGCGACTCTGGCAAAGCCCGCGACTGTCAAATTTGCGCAGCGGCGAGGTGGATCTCGCGCTGACTGCCCCTGCCAGGGTAAGAGTGCACGGGGTTGACAAACAGGGCTGAGCTAAGGTCTTGCCGTTAACTTAGGTCTGAAGGTTTCCGGCCCTTCTTTGGCTAGCTCACAGCTCGCCAGTGCCTCGCGAGGTGGATCGGGCCGTCAAGGGTAGCCTCGCCGCGGGAGCTGTGTTTGCCGTGTCAACGTCTATCAATGAAAACCACTTCGACTAGACTTGTCTCCCGTATAAAGTCACTTCATGGCTTTCCAGAGGCTTACACACCTGCATCTTGCGCGGCTGACACTGGCAGCAGACAAAGCCCCGAATCCAGTGCCAAGGTCTCCGTGCATCTTCTATCCAACGCCAAACCCATGTCGACAGAGCTGCACCAAAGACATGCTGCGTCACAGTCTCCACAGTCTCCAGGCCCGCGACATGATGGACAACACTCTGACGCTTCTGTCTTCGAGCAAACCGCAACCTAGATAGAGGTTTCGGGAAGAATCGATGTCATGTCATGATTACGACCCTCTGGAAACATATGAATGCTTGGGTCTCGATCCCCGAACTTGCTACATGGACCTTCGTTTGTGTGTTGGGTGGATGGGTGTGCGCGTGTGCGTGCGTGGATACAGTGTAAGCAAAGCACTAATACAAACCGCAGCTTCTTTAGTCTTTTAGAGACAGACTCTCTCGTCAAAGCTTCGCTTCCATTTACCGGCCTGTTCCTCTTGGAACGCGCGGATGTGCTACAAGGTTGTCGTAAACAAAGTGAAGCCTCCTTGTGCATCTGTCAGTTTGCAATCCGTCGCTTTCACTTTGGGCTCTCTGTCTGAAGGCTCGGAACACTTCCTGGAAGGGAAATCATTCTACTTATTAGTCTTAGTACTTCTTCCGGCTGGATGGCTCGGCCAGAAACAGCAGATTGTCAGAGTGAACATCAGCCGAGTTCAGCTCTCAAGCCGGAATGTTTGGTAGCATCGCGCTTCGCCGCGCTGCCAACACCTTCCTTCTTATTCTCGGTTTTGCTTCTTCCGATTGAGGCTCCCTGAGCTCTCTTCTTAGAGTGCCTGAGATGATGCCCGGGTTTAGGAGAGCAGATCTCTTCTTTCCTCTTCGTCGACAGGATGTCAATGTGAAGTGAATGAAGAGCTCCTTGAGTCTTATCTTTACGACTTTACTTCGGCCTTCTGTAGCCCATACCAAGAACATCTTGACCCAGCAGATGCTGCCTCAGATGACAGTCATCAATGCTTGAGACTCACGTCGACGCCACAGCTGCAGCAAAGTACAGCCGAAGAGCCAGCGCCGCAGCATGCTCAAGTCCTCAGAAACCACCAGACAGATACCCACTAATATGCCATGATATGCTCATGACATGATATACAGCGGTGACCTCGGCAGCCGTCGTGGGGTATCTGTCCCGATCTTGCCGGTGTCCTGGCGGCACTTGGACCGTCCGAGAGTCGAGTCCAGATGAGCTATGCCCAGGTCGTCCTCCAGTCGAAGACCTAGCCGCGCGGAAGGAAAACGATAGGATGACGCTAGACTCATCAAGTAGACACTGATAGACACTGACACCTTTCTTGAACTCACTCTCCAGGGGTCGAGTGCCCCAAAGAATCGCGAGCTTAGAGACGGCTCTTCAAGGGCGCGCGACTATGGGAAGGCATGCATACAGTAAGGACAGCTGGGCTGTTGACCTGGGCGTATCACCGGAGTCGCTGCGTGCCTCGTGGACAAAACAGAGTCCATGGATGGAGTCGGAAGCAGATCTACAGCACGAGCATGCATGATAGCAAAATCCCAGATCTCAAAGGGGTGTGGCCCACCCCAATAGAAACTTAAAATTCGCTTTCACTATCGGCGGGGTGGTTTTCGATTTTGTCAGTATTGTCATGTTGAAGATAGGTCGCACATTAGATTAAGTGGGAGAGGGAGAGGGAGAGGGAGAGAGAGAGAGAGAGAGAGAGAGAGAGAGAGCGAGAGAGGGAGGGAGGGAGGGAGGCAGGGAGGGAGGGAGGGAGGGAGGGGGGGAGCTACAAAGAAGGAAGCATGCACAGTCTAAGCTTCAGTCCGTGATGTAGACTAGGCAGAGCCTGGCTCTCATGCGCGACATGACGGGAGGGGAAGGAGCAAGGGAGGGTTCACGGTTTGCTTTGCTCCACCAACGGAGCAAGGTCTTTTTGAGCCCTGAGCCCCCTGCCAGACCCCCCCCCTCCAAAATGGAATCGTTCTAAACGGTGGGGGTGATTTCAAGTGGATTTTCGGGAGCGTGTTTTTCAAGAATCCAGGGCGGGGTGTCTAATAAAAGGAGTCGGAAGCGTTCAAGGCAAAGGCCGGCACAGTACATAGTGTCTGACGAGAACTTGTCAAAGGGATGAGTGGATGAGATGACAACACAAAAAAAGGCTGACTTGCTCTGCGAAGCTTGCCTTCAGGACATTCGTAGGATTGCCAGTGATACCCAACGCCTGCGGGGAATCGGTGTAAGTATGGGCCGGATGCACAAGACTAGCCGAGGGCATGGCAGGAGGTGATGTTCTTGGAAAAGCCATGTAATCTCCTTCGGGGGTACCTGGCCGCCGAGGTCGCTCAGACCTTCAGAATGATCGCATCCTGGCCTGCATGCAGAGCTTGCTCCAAAGCATTGTGCTCTGCCAAGGCCCTGCAAAACAAGCAACATGGGGGTTGAATCAGGATGTGCTAAACCCCTCGCAGTAGAGAAGGTGCTCGTTGCCGCCTTTGGAGCACAGCAGCACGGTCGTCTAGGGCACTGCAAGCTTCCTGGAGCAGGACCTGCAATGCCGTGTGCTTTGGTTGAATATCTCACGTCCGAGCCGACTTGCTGGTCAAGGGCCTGCTCCCGTGCCATGCCACTAACAGAGCGAAGCCGGTCCCTGGCACAAGTGATGCCAGGATGCTGTGGAAATCAGAAGTTCGGTATTGAAAAAGCATGCAGCAAGATCAAAGAAAGCCCAGAGCACGCGTCTTGCTTCCACTGATGCCTCAACCTGACGGTCGCGGGGTCTTCGGACTCATAGGACAAAGGAATGCGGCCAGCATGCGCCTCTCAACTGTCATGTGTTCCGTCTGGAGCCTAAGTCCGTTCCCAAGAGATTCAACTTCTGAAGCCTGAGCAACAATACTTTGCAATCTCGCTCGCTTAGATTCTCAGCCGCTCGCTCTCTGCGCTTCGCTTGCAAGTAAGCCGCAGCCTGCTCGGATCATGAGATCACTAAAGCCCCACGCAAAGCCTAGCACGGAGAAAATCTGTGGGTCGTGAACGAGCGCATCACCCATCCATCCTGATCCGGGACACATCCTGCCGCAGCAGCTTCAGCCCCTGCACGGAGAATGAATCTGTGTACTGTTGATCTCTTCAAGACCAAGCATGCGCATCTCTTGGTGGCAATGGCTGCCTGGTGGGCTTCCCGCACGAGCCTGCATATGCCCAACTGCGAAGTGGAGACATGGAGCCAAGAGAAAGAGCGGAACCTCTTCTTCTGCTCTTTCATGCCTGGAGAGGGCGGCAGCAGCTGCTTGTGCGTACAGTAGTTCGAGGGCGCTTCTTTGTCCGTTGCATGGAACTGTAGATCGCCATATGATACACCCGACGTTATATCAGCAGTGCACAGCATGTTCCCATCCTGAGTGCTTGTGTGCAGCTGCGAGTGGCTTTGTCCGATGATCCTGCTGCATTTCAACATCCACTCTGGCATCACTCTGTGTCCTGCTGTGTTCATTCGCCTGGAACTCAGAGGAACAGTTCCACATGTGTACACCGAGAGCGATGCAAGAATAGAAAAGAAGTCTATAGATGTCCTACCAAGTAAAGTAGGCATCCCAGTAGCGGAAGCAGGTTGAGGTGAGGCAAACGGTCACAAGGTGTTGCTCTCTACACCCTTGCTTGCACACACCCCGCCGCTTCTCAGCTTGAGGGCTGGAGTGCGACACAGCGCTGGGGTTTGCAGTCTTCATCTGCTCACAAATGTTGCAAGATGTGGCAAGACGTGTGATTTGTGACGTGTTCCTGAGTTCGCCGAAAGAATTCTGAGGTGTCCACCATGCAGCCGGTGGCGACATATCTTCTCTCTCCTTCAGTTTTGAAGCAGGAGCAGACCCTTCTGTGCTGGGACAGCTCATTCCCCGACCGAAGAAGACCCTCGAGCAATGCTGCAGGCTGAGCTATGCCAAGCACCTGGCCTGCACCGGAGAGTTTGGCGGCACGCTTCCTTCCATGCAAAGAAATATCTCAAGCACAAACGAAGCGCACTCGAGGTGCCAGCCGTCGGTCGGAACCGCTGCCTTGATTCGAAGCTCTTTGCAGTGGAATAGCATCGGTATCTCGAGTAACTGTGAAACCACCGAGGTGGTGACATCACAAGGGGACAACGTTGCGTCTTGTTCTTCCACTTCAAGATCGCCCATCCCCTGCAACATCGGAGCGAGCCCATTGGCCAGTTGCTGGAAGTCCCGTGCACCCCGCCTGAGCTTGGGATAGTTGTGACAGCTCAACTGCGGTTTTTAAGCCTGCGTCATGCAGCAGCCAATACAACAGCTGGAACAAGCACGCTTAGGGTTTGGGGGCTGCAAACAAATAATATCCTATAACAGCTGAAAACTTTCTGCGCACAACTCAACACTCGTCCTTCTTGCATGCTTATCATTGACACTCGGCTTTGCCGTGGCAGGCGCCTGTGATGTCCAGGGGTCCGTCCTTAGCAAAGAGCAGCCAGATGCGAGGCGTTTCGGTGCGCCATTTGTGAACCCAGTTCCCAAAAACACGAAACATTTCGGACCGCGACTTTCTGAATCGTCTGAGTCTCCCAGTCCTCCTGCGAGACGGTATATACTCTTACATGGACATGGAGGCCTCGCACACACTAGCAAGACAGCTCTGGCAACAGGTCCGATTGCAATCGGAAAAGTCTCTCCTTCTCCGCCAGATCCCGGCGGCGTGCTCGAATTTGGTCTTCTAGGAACTGGATTTGGTCCTGCGGCGAGAGTTTCACATGACCAGCTTGGTCGGGCAGACCGGGGCAGTGTGCTCCTGCAAGTGGGCAACTTCCAGCTCCTTATCTTCAAGTTGGTAGCTCTTGTTCCTCGCCTGGCGTCTGGCGCACGACACCTCTTAAAGCCGTGAAGAGCGAAAGCGGAGAGCTTCTGCCTCACTTCGGAACTTATCGGCTTCGGCAGCCTCGAGTGGCTTGAGAAGCACGGCGGGGCTCTGGCCGAAGGATTACGAAGATTAGGATGGCACCGCCTAGCAACCTTTGAGTGTCGGGCCCTCTCCTGCAGCTGAGCCTTGAGTGCCTCGCATGTGGCTACTCTGCAAAGTAAGTGGGCACACCCAGCTTGCAATCTGAAGCAGGCCGTGGTATGCCGTGGTGGGACCCTGGCTCTTGCTTCTCGTTGGTATTCTCGCACCTGCAGGCTGCAGGGGCACGTTGTCTGCCACAACCTCGCCAAATTCTGCAGCCCAGTCAACTGCCTGTGTTTCGGCGTGGGTGCGGCTGGTGCGTTCTGCTCGCACCATGGAGCGCGCATCCTGCACGAATCATGCACCGGCTGGCTTGGCATATCCTGGCGTTCCCCCAGCGAACGTAGAGCTTGCAACCGACAGGACTCCTCGCAGCGATGTTCGGCATCAGCCATCTCCTCCCGGATGACTCGGTTGTTGTCTTGCGCCTCACAGTGTCCGCTGCTCTTCAGTGGCACAGTTCACCAATGACCACCGCAGTGCACCAATGGTAAAGCATCTCTGCAGCACATTTTGCATGCCTGCTCCAGTTCTCCACGCAACGCCTGGGCTTTTGCGAAGCTCAGACGTGCAAAGTCCTCGACCCAATCTGGCCTCCTGGCTCTTCGCTACTCTGCTCTCCTCTTGCTGCAGGCGGCGAACCTACAGAGTTTCGGGTAGCTTCGTGCTGAGTCCAAGGCATCATTCGATACACCGATGGTGTACAGCAACGACTCAATGACTGATTCACAGGTCACCTGCCTCCCGGTTGGCCCTCTCAGCCTTCACACCGAGCCGCGTAGTGAATGGCTCGCCAGCACGAGAGAGGTGCTGATCCCGGGTGTGGGTGGAGCCTTTTCTTTGGCCGCCGCGATCTCAGCGGTACTCTTTTGTAGCTCCACCTTCCATGGGCACAACGTGCACACTGGCTGCGACATATGCTGGTGCTACAAGCAGCAGCACAATCGATGCTGAAGCGCCCTTCCTGCAACTCACGGAGGAGAACAAACTACCGTTGACTGTTCCAGGAGATTTCCAGGAGATTCAGGACGGCTTCATTAGACTCTTCGTTGGATGCTTTGGCGATGTGATGCTGTTTCAGCTCCCGCCTGCAAGCGGTCCACTTCGCGCTTCCAGTCGTCGGTGACCATCACCTGAAGACAAGCAAAAGCCATGCCTCTGGAAATGGTCACGACGAAAGGCTGATGCCTTGGCTGCTTCCACGCTGGAGATCTCCCGCGCAGCTGCTCTGGCCTTCGAAAGCCCCAAGCCCAAGCAAAAATAGCGGCAATTGCGGATGCAGTCTTGACCCAGCGGCCTCGGCATGACGAGCCTCTGCTCGGGTGCGCTCGAGCTCGCTCATGCTAGCTCTGACCTCACGATCTCTCAGGATGCCGGCCTTACTATTATCCGACAGGCACATGAGCGGTGCTGGTCACGTGCCTCGGAGTGCAGCTGCTCCACTTCGGATGCTCTTGCGCGCAGCTGAGCCTGCGAGCAAGTTTGTATGTGCGACGAGTGTCGACTTCAAGTTCCCGTCCTTCAGATCGGAAACGACAAAACCATTGTCGTCGTGCCGAAGTTGCCTCACAGCAAAGAATACTACGGGCCCGTTCTTGTTTCGCGGGATGATGCAGCTGTTACTCGTCATGCAGAACAAGTGAAGCACTGCCCCCAGAGCTGACTTTCGACTTGCTTGGGCTTGGGCAAGCCCGGATGTCTACGGCACATTACCTCTCTCCCTGCTCTCTCCTCTCTGAAGATCGACTTGAGAGCTTCGGCTTCCAGGCCTCTCTTCCAAGCGAGCTTCGTTCACTTTGGCCTGGAGCTCCTGCACGCGACAAAGAGATCCCGGCGGAGCTGGGGGCCAAGAGCCAGAAAGAGCTCGCGGCCTCCACTTCTTTGAAGTGCCGGGCAGAAGCATGCACCAAGTCCTGGGTAAGACGAAAGCTGCTTCTGGCTGCAGTACAAACACACAACACAGCTGGCGACCAGTGTCTTGTCACGTGCCTTTTCATGGCTCATGCGCAGGCAAGGAGTCGTTGGCCAGGTTCTGTGGTGCTCCGCCGACTGGGGTGCAGGAGCAGATTGTGTCCACAAGGGTCACGCACAGGGGAAGTGCCATAAACGCCTTGGCGCTTTTGGAAGTTTCCGGGACAGCTTTCTCCGGAGCTCACAAGTCCACGAGCTGGTTGCAAACCATCTTCCTGACCTTGTCCCACAGCTTTGGGCTGTTCCATGGAGCACAGTGACCGAATGTCCCAAGCCAGAGTTTTAAGTCCCATCCACCACCGCCAAGGCGATTTCCTTATCGGCCCTCAAATCGGGATCGGCAAAGCGGAAAGCATCTCCGTTGCGCCAAACCGCCGCGAGGACGAACTGTCGGTCGCACCGCAGCTCCGGTGCCGCAAACTCGAAAGCAGCGCCGTTTTGGCGAACTGCCTGGAGGACGAGTTCGTTATCTCGCTGAAGGCGAGACGAGGCGTACTTCAAGGCGAGGCCCGACTGCTGTACGGCCATCTCCATCAGCTCCCTCTTGTCCCGAAGCTGCGTTCCCAGGTGTTGCAGGGCCCGCCAGTTCTGCTGAACGGCAGCTACCGCGATGTCATAGTCGGTACAGCCGGACGGCGGCTGCGCATATCGAAGAGCCTTCCACGTCTTCTTTACCGCAGCCAACATGACGTCGTGGTCTTTCTGCATGCAGCGAGCTGCATACTCCACCGCCAAGCCATCCTGCTCCACTGCAGACAGAACGAGATTTTTGTCGGCCCTGAGGCTGTCTGCAGCGAATTTTAGAGCCTCCCAGCTCTGCCCCACGGCCTCCGAGACGAGCTGTCTGTCCGATCGGAGCTCTGATGGCGCATGCTGCAGCATCCGCCAATTCTTGCGGACCTGCTCTGCAAAACCAAGACCTTTCGGGAATTTGTGCACGATGTCCAAATCTAAGGAGTTGCCTGTCGAAAGCAAAGTGCTGAGCGTTTCGAAATCGAAGAGCTCCCTGTCACCGCAGAATATCTTCTGAGCAGATGTGACGACTCCTCTTTCATCCAACCTTTTCTTGATATCGCCAACGGTCGCCGAAGCTGGAACGCAGAATTTCTCCTGCTGTGCACTACCATTCAAACGAACCCGGATGTGCAACTCCGAAGGTTTCGGCGTCCCCTGCTTGCGCGCCCTGCCAGGAGAAGCAGTTCGGGCGTGGCTCTGCTGGCTCTGCTCTGACGGAGAAATGAAAGGTGCATCATCATGGGCTGCCTCCTCGCACCTCTGGCGGTACAAACCTGCTTTGGTGTAGTGATCGTCTCGTTCAGAGTCTTGTTTTGCTTGTGCCTTTGTCCTGTCCGCCGGGCCAGCAGGCTTTTCAGGGCAATCACTTGTGTCGCTGCGCTGCTTGCTCCGCTGCTTGGCCGCAGCCTCTTTGAATCGCCTCAGCTCGTCTTCTGCTTGCCGTGCACGGCTTTCAGCATTTCTCCTCCTTTTGTCCTCTTCTTCTTTTTCTTGCCTCTTCCTTGCCTCCCGTTCGGCCCTTTCACGTTCCGCCCTCTCTTGCTCTTCACGATGCTTGCGCTGCCGCTCCTCCTGGCTTCGCTGGCGCCTCTGCCGCTCCTCTCGCGCTGCGCGAGCGGCGCGCTCTTCGTCCTGGTTTCTCTGATTGGCTTCACGTTGGAGAGTTGCCTCGTGTGCCTCCCACCTGCCTTGCACTATTAAGAAGAGCTTCTGGCACTTCGCACGTAGTCGCTCGGGCTGCTTATCTGGATGCAGTTCAAGCTGCAGCTTGCGCAGTCGCCCTTTGCGAGCGGCAGGCGCCAGCTGGTCTATATCCCTCAGCTCCTGTTGCAATTTTGCCATTCTGTTTGCGAGCCATCGGTCATCTTCTTGATCTTCTCGCTTTAGCAGTTCGTCCCTGAAGCGTTGCTGCTGTGCTTCCCAGTCCTTCCATTTTCTCTTTTCCGCATCTCCGGCTGGCTCCTCGGTCTCTGCTTGGTTCGCTTCATGCCTTCTGGAAGTGTAGCCCGCATCCTCTGTCGTGTGGGACCTGGGATTGGCCCGTGCCTGCGGTGCCTGCGCTGCCTGCCTTGCATGGGGTCTGTGCTGCGGGTAATGTTGGATCCATCGCGCGGACTTGGCGTCTCCTGGCCTGATGTACACCATTTCGCCACTGCTCTTTACCCTGTCACTGTCATCCCCATCTTTCCAAGCTATGGTGTAGGAGCCATCATGATTTTGCCCAATCACAGCTGCCAAATACCAGCATCCCTGCTGGAAACGAGCTTTCACAACATCTCCTTGTGCAAATTTGCCATTGGGATCTGGCTGTCTTTGCTGCTGGACTTCTTCCGGGCATGCTCCTGTTTCACAATCATCAACGCTTTCGGCATCGCTCAGATCGCCGAAATCGAACATTCGATCAGCGAAGATGAGAGAGAATGCTTGCACTAGTGTTGCCTCTTCAGGCTTCAAGTCTCTGTAATGTAGCTGGACAGTTGCACTTCTCCTATGGCTGCCGACATGATCCAACGGCATCGACTGCGACTAGGCTATGCTCACTGATGCTCACTGTAATGCGACGGAGAGACGAAAATCGGGCCAAAATATCTAGGACCTGCAGCTACTGTAGCATGATTAGTGCGTGGCGTATGCACCTGATGCACCGATCAAACGTACGCAGCAAGACTCCTTCGACTGAGACATCAAGAACCATGTGTAATACCAGGCTCGAAGCTGCTCTCAGTCGTGAGACTGTGTCGTCGCGGTCCTTCGCGCAGTCGACACGGCGTCGATACCGATACACTTTGACCTAAAGGTTGAAGAACCACGTGCATTCATGCAGTCAACACGGCTTGGTTGGAGGGAAAGGCTCGCATGGCCACCAGTCCTTGACCATGGAGCGCAGCGTCATGGACTCTTCGAGGTCGGCAGCCGGCTTTTGAGCCTGGCCAGAGATCGACAGGCTGGGCCGATGGCTTCCGGCATTGCGGACACCGCCTGGTGCATCGCTTCAACCTCGGCTCCAAACAGCTCAGCTTGGAAGCGGCTGAGACTCGCGGCTCTCGCGCTCGCGCCTCGGCTTCCAGGTCCAGGACCCTTGCGCGGAGCGAGACGAGCTCGCGCACCTCTCACTCACAGAATTCTGGCATTTCCGATCTCATTGCATTGGCGAGTTGCGGCCCGCGGCCTCGTCCTGTGGGAGGGCACCACTCGGCCTGCAGCACAACAGCTTTGGGGAAGTTCTGGCAGTCGCGGCGTGGCTTGCAAGCCGGAAGCCACATGAAGCCACCCTTTCCTGCATGCCCGGAGCTCTGCTCGCAGCCGCCCGCACCTGGACAAATCTCGCTGCACTTCGCAGTTGTTGCATCTGATCGACTAGAGCTGACAGTCTCAGCACCGAACTCCTTCGATCGCGCCTCCAGCTCTGCCGCAGCTGCCGCAGCCTCGCATGCGCCGTGCGCCAACGAGAGCGTGCTTGACTGCGGATGTGCAGGTTCGCCTGAGCCTTGCATTGCGCCATGGTTTCTGCAGCCTTGAATGCTCAAGCATCACCCACGACTATCCGAGTAGCATAAAAATTTCGAGGTAGCACGAGTACTTCAAGAAAGGCGACAAATCCGAAGGAGTGCCTCGGCCTTCATGCTGCTCAGGCTGGCTTTCTCCTCCTGCTCACCGCCGGACTTACATGCGAAGATATGCGAAGTACGTCGAACGCACAGACGTAAACATGTACATATGTCGTCTCAGATAGGAGCCATGTGCATGCAAGGAAAGTGCAACGTGCTTCTGCACAGTCATGTCACTAGAAGATCTCCTCGAGCAAGGCCTTCATCTTCGGCACGTCAGACTGAGTTGCCTACCAAAAGACAACCGTGACTCACGCGGATCCAGGCAGGAAGCAGCCTCGCTTTGCCAGCGGTCGCATTCTGCACGCCATGTGTCCAACTCGGCCTTGAGGGAGGCCTGCGGGTGCTCATAGAAGCTAGCGTCCATCGTGCACCAACATGCACCAACTGCCCCTTAGAGTATCTTGGAGTCGTTAGTCTTTCTGGATCTCCCGAGCCTTACAAGTGCTTCTCGAGACCTGCTCCGACTTCGGAGGGGTGAAACATCGCCACGCTCGGCGCATTGCGTCGATCCGGAGCTACTGGACGAATTGCTCCGCCCTCTGGGGGCTCTCGCAGGAACTGTCATGTTCATTGCGCAAGCTGCATTCTCTGCGGCTTCTCTCACAATCCAGTTGTCGTCTTTTAAACATGCGAGTACTGGAGACATGACACTTGCGCGGGTATTTGGCCCCCCTGCCTGGGCAATGCGTGCAAGTGCTTCCAGAGCACACACCACGGTCTGGTCTGATGACGACTGACTTCGGGCAACCAGCCCAAGCGTGCGTGCGGCCATGACTCCAGCTGAGTCCTCACCCTGTAAGATGTCCGGCAGACAGTCCATGGCTAAACGACGCACACCGTCATCGACATCCGAAATCCGTTCACACACTGCAGCAAGCACATCTTTGTTGAAAGACATCATATGCCTAAGCACAAGCAAGGCACTCCGGCGCAGCTGCGGCGAGTGGCTGCGTGAAGCGTCCGCCGCCGTGGCTGCCGCGTCGGGATCTCCGCGGGGTGCAGCGACGGACAGTGCCTGCAAAGCCATGGATTTCACGTCATCGTCGTCATCCGTGGCCGCGACGCATGCAAGCTGGTCAGCATAGTCCTTGCGCGGACCGTAAAGTCTGGCAAGGCAGCCGAAGGTCTTTACAGCTGCAATCCGCACATAGCCATCAGTATCGAGGAGTCGAGGTACCAACGACGCTATCACCGGGCTGTCATAAGCATCGCAGTCGCTTTCCCGGATGACACCTCGATCACCCAGCTGAAGGGCGTACTTGTTCAGAAGCTCGTGCAGGGCCTCCAGTGCAACACATCGATTTCGTGCCACCGGGCTGCAGAGAAGAGGAGCCAGCATCACTGCAAGGCTAAGCCACTGGGTTGGATCTGCTGATGCAACCAGCCCATCACACGCAGCCTTGCACACAGCATCGTGTGGGTCTTGAAGCGCCTGAATGAAGGCTTCGTTAATGGCCATGTCACCATCGACAGCCATTAGGGTGGCAACAGAGGCACAACGTACCTCTGAAGATGGGTCAGACAGCAAAGCTCCGATCAAGTCGGCAATGGTTTCTGAATACTCTGGATACTCGGCTCCCAGGACTGGCATGGCATGACGCAACGCCCCGGCAGCTGCGCATTTCACGGAAGCGCGTCTTGCTCGCAGCTTTTGCCGTATTCTGCCAAAAATGCTCCAGGAATCTTCCTTGTTTGAAAGGATGAAGGAACCCAAGGCATCGGCAGCAGCCAGTTGCACATGGCTATCAGTATCTTCCAAGCAGGATAGTGCCAGCTGGACCGTCTTTGCTGTGGCCACGACTTGAGCAGTCGCCAAGGCTCGTAGTGCAGTGGCCTTCACTCGGCCGCTGTGCTTCAGAACCATGCCTTCAAGCCGCTGGACAAATCCGGATGCCAAAGGTGACCAATACGCCAACGTCTCTGCAGCACTTTGCCGCACAAGTGATGACGAGTCTGCCAAAGTACCTATCGCTGCATCCACAAAAGGATCTACATTAAAACCAAGCATCTCGTGCTGTCTTGGGACAACTTGTGACAAGACCTGGAGGGACACTGTTCGCACATCAGGCTCGTCATCCCCCAAGTATGCAAGGACTTCAAGCGCGATCGTCAAGCTTCCACGATAACGTTCTTTGGCCACCGCGCGCAAAGCCGTGCGCTTCCTCTTGGTCGAACCTCGCCCAGGTCTGCGGCTCCGCTCCAAATCTTGCATCTCCGGAGACTGAATAGCATGCCCTTCGGCGGCAAGCACTACACCACGCAAGAAGTCAGTGGAGAGATTCTGCAGCAAGCCACGGTTTGCCCAGGTGAGCTGCACAAAAACCTCGCCGATAAGTCCAAGTGTTGGGCCGAGAACTGCCAACGCCTGCACGTCTTGTCGCTCCTCGTCGGTGAAAGCTGGGCCACTGGACTCCGGCACAGAAGCAAGCTTATAAACATCGGAGGGGCAGTTGCATTCCAGCAGTTCTCTAGCAAGAGCGAGCGTGGCTGCTTCAATGGCAGGTGGAACATCCAGAAAGCAGGCCGCCCGCACAAACTCAGAAGCTTCCTTCGAAGGCCACTGTTCTGGCAGCTCCTTCAGGAGAACAAAGTGGCTCAAGCGGCCAATGCCGGCGGCCGTCAGACCAGCAGAACTGGGCAGGTATAGAGGATCTGCATCATCGTCGTCACGACCGTCTTGTGATTCTGTAAAGAAGCCTTCGATGGAAGAAAGCATTCTCGAGGCATGCCCCAGCTCGCGTGGCAACTGCAAGCATGTTTCGTCTTGCAGAACCACCTGCACCACACCGTTCGTACACGGTTCAGAAGCCTGCATTTAGAGGTCAGCAGAATTTCTGCTCGGCATGCTGTCTCCCACTGGGGATGAAGGCCGCATGCTGCAATGACGCACATGCCTAGCAAGCAGCTGGTTGGTCATTTTGAATGCCAGGCCGAACGCCGCGCAGGATGAGCCATCGGTCTTGAAAATTCACCTGGAAATCCGAGTATTTGGTGGAAACATCCAAACGTATCTAAATTCCGCAACCAACGGCTCGGTCAGAAGTAGCTCCCTGTTTTATCTCCCTGGTGTAGAAGGCATCTCACGCAGTAGCTTGAGCTGCATTGATTGAAAACGATGGCCGCGTGCCGCGTGCGAACAGAGTCTCGGGACCATAGGTAAGCATAGTAACTCACCCTCATCCAAAACTCGACAGTCTATGTGTGCAAAGACCTTCTATCTAAACATTGCACCAGCTACGCTGACGTTACAACAAACAGTTGTCGGGAGTTTGCGCCAAAATCGACATCAAGGTGTGCCATCCAATGGTAAGTTTCTCCGACTTTTCCCTGCCAATTGTCAGGACAAGTAGCTGGTTCAAGTTCAAGGCCGGCTGAACAGCGACTGAGCTTTTCTGAACCTGCGCGTCACCTTGAAACCGTCCTTTTTGTCCGTGCCTGTTTTGTGCGCCCTCTGGCACCAGCCTAGATTGAAAGCATTGAGTATACGTTGCTCCCAGATGTTGGAGGAGCTCCATTTTTCTGCCATGTGAAACTTGCACAGCCCTAGCAAGTTGAAGGAGCTCTGCCACTGTTCACTGTAAGTGCGTGTGTGTGTGTGTGTGTGTGTGTGTGTGTGTGTGGGCGGGGGGGCGGCGGGGGAAACTTCAAGACCGACTCACTTTTCCTCATGATGTCATTTGAGCTGTAAGCCACAGGCAGGTTCAGGAGAATGCCACCCGATGCTTCGAATTCCCTCCACAGACAGACGGACAGACAGACAAACGGTTGCACCATCTCACGCCCTTGTCAAAAATTGATCGAGAGTGGGTTGTCGCATGACGGGGGTGTACGCACCTCCTCCATAGATCTGAGGGCTGCTTGGCGCTCTTGCTGCTGCGCCTTTCAGCAACCGGAGTTGTGCACACTCAAGCTGCATTCGCCTTCGCTATCTGTCTTGAACTGCCGATTCTGCCTCTGCGCGCAGCTGGACACAATCTGCTGTCCTGCTACTGGTTGCATGACGCTTCGATTGTCATCAGCAATAACAAACTGTCTTCGAAACAGGTCAAGGGTCATGCAGCGCCATAGACCAGTCTATGTTGCACATTCACTAGTCCTTGCATCCAATTCGCTCTTGAGATTCGTCGCGCGTGAGGTTGCCTCCAACAGATGGAAACTGCCGCTACCGACTAAGGATTCACTCGGTCTCACATTCTTTGCAAGTTCACATTGGCTTCAGCTGGCAACTCGCATGACTGTCTTGCAAGTCTCGTATCTAGTCTTGTGCACGCCACGGAAGGTCACTGTTGCATCATATATGTACCAGCACTGTTTTAGTCCACAGTCGCACGTGTGTTTAACAGCACCGGCTGGAATTTGCACGGAAAACTCAGGCACTTTGGCTGAAAAGCTCAAGGCGGTCCTGGCCTGCTCAAGGCTTGTCTGCAGTCTCCTGAAGCATCTTCTTGGCCAAGTCTACAGTAACTTCTCGGTGGGGCCTAGGCCCAGTCTTGCATACCCACAGCCAAATTACATACTCAAGTGTCCTGAGTTCCTCGTGCTGACCGACAGCGTCTCCGATCTTGTCCTCCCGGCATGCATGGCCACGATCACAGCTCTGCGCTGTCTGCAGGCGAAACATCATGATTCCGACTTTGCACAGTCAGCAAGTGCCGCCTGAAGGCGCTTGCACTCGCCCTCCCGCGCAGAGAGAGTTCCCTGCCAGGCTTCTTTGAGCACTTTGAAAAAGCAGACAACTTCGACGCATGATTCACAAGTTGCACCCACCACCACCTTCGAGATCGCCAGTTCTTGTTGTGCACTGGCAAGTTCTGCCTGCAGTCTATCGCCGATTACTTGGAGTGTATGGGATTCAGCGTGACGGAGGCCAATAATCTACAAATTGGTCCAGTGCCTGGGCTTGGGTACGTAACTCCTTCTCTTCGTTTGCTCGTCGCATCAACCGGGCTTGCTCCTGCAAGGACTGCGAGTTGTGAAGATGCGTTTCACGAGACGTTTCAAACACTGTGCAACGTGTTTTGCTGAAGCACATATTCTCAGCATCTTGGTGGCTGAGAGCACTCGCTCCATATGAAAAGCAAATCTATATCTAAAATCATCCAGCGCTTGAAACCGCTGAACTGCCGAACTGCTAGGGCTCACTCAGCACTGAGCAGAGCTCTGAGGCCACTCGGCACATAAGAACAGTTGCCCTCGCACGGGCTTGGCACAACACCTGAGAGCAAGCAAGCAGCTGTAGTTGGACTGAAGGGTGCAGGCTAAGCGTCGCCCTGCCTGAAGCATGTCATGCAAGGCTGTTCGTGGCTGCGTAGTCGATCCCTGACTGAATCTCCTTGGCGAACTTTGCGGGTTCTGTAAGAAAGCCGAGACTGACCAGATTTCCGAACCTTCTTCAAGGCAGCCTTGGCTTCCGCAAGCCGTTGCTCCTTGGCATACCAGTACTGTGCAATTTCACTGCAGTATGGACTACATGGGCACACATGCTGAAGCATCCTTTTGGCAGCATGCGTGTGTAGACACAGGTGAAGCCCTCTGAAGCATGACATGGACACAGCCGGCGCTTCCTCGTACTTGTTCAGCTTGCCAATAGGATGCACCTGATGCGGGAACCGTGCAACTGGGACTGCTGTCGCCCACAGCTTACCCTGAGACCTTCTCCACTCCCGTCTTGCCGAACGTGACCTGTCAGGATGGGATGATCGTTCCGGTTGGAACGAAGCGAAGCTGCTGCTGTGGTGTTCACATCCAGGTGATGCACGGCGGTGCCAAAGGTTGCACGGTGGCTAGTCGGCATGTGAACGATGGCAGCCACAGCTGCCCAAGAGCGCTTCGTGCCGCATGACACACAACATCACATATTGTTTGCTGCTGTGCCTTGCTAGTGAAGTACGGACAGTCCGGTTCCACGTCAGACATCACCTCTGCACCGCACAAGTGTGCATTCCCCCCTGAACTACGATGCACCTACAGACAGGCCGCGTAAGAGCATTCTGTGGTCGGAGTGCCCGCGAGCCCAGCCAGAACGGCTTTCCCAAGCCTGAGGGATGAGAGTGTCATCTACGGAACTCCGACGGACTTGCGGATCTGCAGCCGGCCTGGCCCCAGCATATGCCATCGAGAGTGTAGCGCTTCCCTTGCCATTCTTGGCGTTCACGACATCGGTTCCGGCATCCTCATGCAAACAAGATCACGAGAGCAGGTGGACTCACTGCTTGCCGTCATACGATGTCCTGCACATGCTTGTCGAGTGCGGGAATCTCGGACTGTGGGATTTTCGCTGAGTGCTTGTCCTCCGAACGAATGTGAATCTGCTCATGCGATCCTCATGCGTATCCGCTTGCTGGCATCGAGCCACGACGGATCCGTCAATCTCAACGAAAAACGAATCGAAATGCGCCTGCGAGAACACCGGCATGATGGTGACCTGGGAGACCGCGAGAACAGTACAAAGCCATGTGATAAGTCATTTAGTGTGGAGTCTTCGAAGATCTTTTGAGGTCTCTGCGCCTGCATGCCCTCCGATAACCGGTACCTCGTCAGGATTAGGTGTCGGGCCGGGGTTTGGGTTGGGAGGTCACAAAAAGATGACGCCAAGTAGGATGAGGCAAGATCGACCGATAACCTGCAGAGTACGAGAAGAAAAAAAACGTGACATCACCCAACACAGGCTGAATACAACATGACACGGAAGACGCAACATGAGCAACCATTACAACCAGCTCATGTTCATGAACCACGCATCTGTGGGCAACTAGCTTCAACTAGATGTATGCATGCATGCTTAGCTTAACTATGGACGTCATACCGGCTTCCTGACAGCAGCCGCCGTAAGTTGTAGTTGTAGCAGCAGTCGTCCTAGCAGAAGAAGAATAGAAGCAGAAGTCGAAGACGAAGTAAATGTAAGAAAAAGCAGTAGAAGAACTCACTGAGTGGTGGTGGTGGCATATGATGTTTTATCTTAAGTATTTATTAGTATTAGTATTATTATTATTATGAGCAGCACAAAACTTAATCTGAATCTACGGGTTCGTTCAGCACTACGGCCGTCTGTGAACACACATTGTGTTGCTCTTGCCTGCAACGTGCTGTTGCTTCCTGCATGTGCTACAGCACAATTAACCTCATGGAGGATAAACGGACGTTTACATCGATTCGACCGCGCCTGCCACAGGAAACAGGATTCCTCCTGGATTTGTTGAAGGCATGGTTTTGGTTGTGTGTCTAGAGGTTGGAAGTGCTTAAAACTCGAGTTTTGGACACACTGGTCGCGCTTACGGCCTGGTGAGGCTCTTATGCGGGAAAAAAAAGATGGAAAGTAGCGCTGGCGAACAAACCGAAAGTACCACGCCTTTCACACGAAACAGGGTTTAACATAGGATTAAGAATCTACTGAAGCAACTCGTCGTGTGACATGACGCGATCTGACATGACAAGTGTGGCATGACGACATGACATGGTATGACATGACGGAGATAGTTCAATGTATGGACATGTGACGATCTGATTTGACATGTCACACGACGGGTTGCTTCAGTAGATTCTCAATCCAATGTTGAACCCTGTTTCGTGCGACAGGCGCGGTACGGCGCGTGTACTTTCGGTATGTTCGCCAGTGTATGCCAGTGTTACTTTCATACTCCTTCCTGCCGAAGAGGCTCATAGTCATAGTGCATCTTGAAACACAGAACGTCATCACCACCCCAGGGCTAAGGAGTGAGGGAGTGAGGGGGACGGAGAGTGGTCGGGTAGAGGGGGAGGGAGAGGGAGAGGGCGAGGGACGAGCAGAGGGAGAGGGATGCATATGCACGCACAAAACCACCAGCACGTGCATGCGAGCACAGGCATGTATATATGTGTAGTACGGATGTGTCTACGCGGTTGAGCTCATACAAACAAGCGTACACATTTTTAGCAATGCATACCTCCATCTGTGTCGATGTGTCTCCGTGTGTGTACCTGTGTGTCAGCACATGCAATTGTGTATGTGTGTACTAGCCTCGACTTCGACATATATCATATCTTCATGTAGGCCCTGTGATGAACCAACACCCTTTGTGGTATCTGATGAGCGTGCAAGTAAGCACAGTAAGCACCTTAGCCCAACGTTAGGTTCATCCCCGATCGCCAGATCCGCTTACGAAAACGGCCCACGTAGCTGGAGGCTACTGGGTATCGTCGTCATCGTCGTCAGCCCTCGCCCCCTGCTGGGAGCTCAGGCTATCCTCGCGTCGTCAGCCCTCGCCCCCTAAAGGATGCTCAGGCTTTCCAGCTGAGGACCTGGCCTTTTGTGTAGCATAGTATAGTAAAGTACACTATAGTATAGTACAGTATCGTATATAATAAAGTATTGTTCAGAGCATGCAACCGTGTATCTTATGCTCAGCTGAAGGTCAACGTCCTGATCTACTTACTGCATCTTACTGCACTTACTCAAGATGGGAGTCTAAACCCCAAGGCCCTAAACCCAACCCCCAAACCCTAACCCCTAAACCCTGACACCCGGCCTCGATGTTGTTGGGGTTCTCACCGGTAATCTCTGCGACAAACTTGTTCGCTCGCACGCCGTCCAGCGTGGTGACCTTTGCACAAGTCTTGTGCGCAGGAAGCCCTTCGACGTCTCACAGAAAGAGCTGAGGAATGGTCGCCAACGATTTTCTTTGGATCCAAACCCTTTTTCTTGTAGAGCTCGGCCATGGCTGGGACCACCTTGGGACTGTCGCGTGCGAGTCGGTAGCTCTGCCGTGCTTCATCGCCAAGCTGCTGAGTTCACAGGATTGACGATCAGCGCGATCACCTTAGAAGCTCGGTCCACATGCTGCTTCACAGACTGGCGTTCTGCTGTGAGACACCATGCGAACTTCCAGCGTCGAAAACATCAGCATCCAGCAAGCAAACGCGACGCAATAGGAGGCCCGGCCGCATTAGGACAGTACTTGGCGCAGGCTTCCACCACCTTTCCGCAAACGCAATGCTGCGCACTGTCTTGGCTTGCGGCAGCATCCATGGCCTCCTTCGCAATGCCCGCGTTGATCTTGAATAGGTCATCACGGGTTTGGCCGGGTTTCCTGCAAGCATGTGCAGGAATGGCCCTTCCCTCAGATCCCCTCGCTCCTCCGTTCAACGGATTTGTTCGGGTGGACATTTGTGCTTCATTCAACAACTTGTTCCGGGCTGTAGTTTGCCGAAAACGAAACGCCTGTTCTCGCTCTACCTACTGCATCTGCCTGTCACTAGGCTCGTTCCACGGCCAATACTCTGGTGACCCGCATGTCGCAGTTGGGCTTTTTCGTTCTTCAGATCGAAAGGCGTAATACGGTATTCCAAAATCTGCTCGGACTGCACTCCAAAAACTTGTGCTGAACTGGGGAAGTGATGTGCCTGATGCTCATGTGTACAAAGTTCGGTCCTGGGCAGACCTGCAGGCACCAACACCAAGTTGCAATCTTTGAGGCAATCTCCGAGAACATCGATAGCCTGCGCGGAGCTCAATTCACATGTACGGTCGCTGCATCTCGTGCTGACAGCAGCAAACATATGCCTGGGGTTCTCGCCCGGCCTTCTCCTCCTTGCTCTTGACATAGCCCTTGACCTGGCAAGCGTCTACCACTGTGCAAGGACAATTCATGCAGTGCTGACTTCGACACAGCGGTGTACCTTGACCTTCTTCTCCAAGTGGTTCAAATCTGCAGCTACCTCAAGAGGATGAGACGTCACGCGAGGAGTGCACGGTGCGATGCAGCAGATGCTTGTCACTTGCACCAGTGTTGGAAGAAAGGCTATGTCCAACGACAAAGGCTCGCACACCACCCGGAGGGACCATGGCGAAATCAAGGTCCTTCGTAGTGCAGGCATCGTGCAAGTCCAGTCTGTGCACGAGGTATGCGTGCATGTTGCAAGTTGTGTGCTCAGCTTTGCACATACACGGACAACTCACCTGCATCCAGGCTTAGCATCGCGCCATCTGAAATCAAGGCAATGCCTCCACGGTCGGCCTACGTTGTCATCCAATGCCATCAGCAACGAAAGCGGCTGACCGATGCCGCCACTGCCACCACAAACGCAGACCTTCGAGCAGCCGTGACAGTCCACTTGTGCAGAACCAGAGTGGCCGTCATGTCAGTGTGTGCAGCATTGGCTTTGAAACCATGGCACGCAGTGTCTAGCAACTGGACAAGAGATCAGCAAGAGCGGCCTTAAAATTGCCTTTGGCAGCGCCGCCAAAGAAGCAGTGGCTGGTCTGCGGCTGACGATCCTTCCCAGCTTATCATCACATGTCGTCGAAGGAGGATCAAAATTTCAGCACCAGTCCTGGTTCGCTACGAAAAAAGCTGAAGCTCCCAGGAGGCCAGCAGCTGCCCATGCTTTGTGGTAGAAGGCACCTCGCAATGTGCGGCACGGAGTATCGGAAGCTAGGATGCAGCTTGAAGCCTCATCATCGGCAGTAATCGGTGTGCTCACGGCTCACGCTGCCTTCTCGTAAGGGTGGCGTCAAAGTTGAGGCGCACCTGCTTCGTATGCTCGCCTCACCCCGACTGACATCTGACAGAACGCCCCCGCCGACCTGGAGAGCGGGAGAAGACTCCGAGTCGCCAAACGCCGGTACCTCGAAATCAATGTTAGCTCTACAACCCGCCCAGTGCACTGAGCGGCGCGAGGCCAAAGCATCTCTGAATAGAGCTAGGCTCTAGTGGGCGTGGCAGGAGATCTTGAGCCAATGCTTTCCCAGAAAAAAATAACGTCTAGCGCCATCCGCTCACCAAGCTCCATCTCAGTTTGTAAGAGACCTGCCGGCCTGTCCTCTTGGGCCTGGAGACCTTGCTGATCCAGCAGCTCCTCCGCTACACACTCAGTGGAACACCCACCGGGAAAGGGAGAGGAGGGAAAGGGTGAGAGAGAGAGCGAGAGAGAGAGAGAGAGACAGAGAGACAGAGAGGATGTATTACATATACATAAATATATACTCGTATATACACACACACACGTAGTTTCTATCTGATTATGCAGGCATGCAAATACCTATCTGTTGCTAGGCAGCAACAATGACAACATCAGAGCGCTGCTGGCCTGCAATCGTTGAAGCTCCCTTGACTGCGCGGCCAGCTCGGCCTCAAAACTCGGGATCTTCGTTGAAACATCGGCTGCGACAAAAACTTGGGGGAAGCCTCAAGCCGCGAAGCTTCATTGCTTGCTGACGCTGCCTGCTTCAGGGCGAATCGCCCCTTGCCCAATAATTACAAATCAAATCACACCCTTCACGCCAGAAGGTCTGAACAGTGCCATTCGGCACCTGCTTTATGTGCGGCTTCCCGTGTGCAGTCCCTAGATTCCTAGATGTCCCCCGGCCGCGCTCCTCGGCTTTGCTGGTGCCATTCAGGCCACGCTCTTCGGCCAACTCCGCCTCTGGCAAACGGGATCTGCAGCGTCTGGCAATGAAGCAGCAAAATGATGCGCCCTACGGCCTTCAGGCTGGCGAGGTCTTCCTTGAAGCGCAGGACATCTGCCGAAGCTTGCGACGAAATCCTGTTGGAAGAAGACTGTCACAATGTGTAAAACACCTCTGGATGATTTACTGCTGCTGGGCAGGGGAGCATTTGGCTCTCGCATGCATGCACCTGCAGTTTTGCCGAGCCTCTTCTCCTCCTCGAGAGCATCTTTCGCCTGCCTCAACCTGTGCTGTGCCACTGGGCTACGCTGCTACACCCCTCAACTCTAAGATCTCTAAGAGGCAGGCTCCGAGTCGCTCACAGGAGCCTGCGCAGCAGAAATGCACACACATGCTCTGGCAATAATCGCAGAACTTCCATCGCTTCAAACGTGGAACGCGGCCCAATTCAGTGGCGGGCGAGTTGTGCTTTGCAAACGCAGGCCAAGCTTGAGAAGGGCTTTCTTGCGCTTGGAAGTCTGTGCAAACACAGAAACGCGTTTCATGCCACATCGTCACGCATGCTCTTCCTGGCCGATGACACTCATAGTCAGCCGGTCGGTCTGTCTGTCAGTCGGTCAGTCAGTCAGTCAGTCAGTCGGCTGATGTTTCAGTTGTATTGTTCTGGGCGCCGGCAGTGAAAATTGAGCCTTCGTCATAGTCTGCTAAACACAGTTGGCAGAGATGTGGACGTCTGTAGCTGTCAGCGGGCGAGAAGCGTGTCTTTGGCGGGAAACGTCACGAATGTCTCCAGCCAACAGCTGAAACCTGTAGGACCCTCTGCCTTCCGTGCTTCGGCAAGCTCTGCCGTCCTCCAACAAGGTCGATGAAGGATTCTTCCGAGGTGCCACTGCCGGCAGTGTCCTCGCATCCAGTTCTCGGCGAAGCTCGTCAAGCTGCGCACGGTTTCCTGAAGCCTGCGGTGTTGAGCAGCAAATCCCCAAGGCCTACTCTTGCTGTGGGCATCTCGCTTATGCTGGTGGCGACTGCATTAGTGTAGCACAGAACTTGAATGAGCTTCCTGAAACCAATCTATGTGTTGACTGCCGACGTGTAAATTTTGGCTTCAGCCCGCAACTCTTCGCAGTGTACAGTTGCTCTTTCCAGTGCTCGCTAGAACAGAGTGTTTTTGATGAAGGTGTCTCCTGTTTCATTTCAACCAACCCAGACTGTAGTCCGCAAAGCAAATCCCGACCAAGCCTTCGCGAGGTCGGATTGAGTTTCAGAAAGCTTGGCTTGCAACTTGCTCTTGGCCTTCCATGACTTGCAGCTTGCAGATGCGAACGCGAGACAAGCAGGAGTAGGAGTCTCTCGCCTCTACCTCGCTCATCAGAGAAGCCTGGAGATGCAGAGGACATCCAAAGCCACTAACGATTCTTCTAGTAGCTTTCAGCATAAACTTACAGTAGCGTTCCAATGACCTTAACTTAACCACAGACTACAAGGGAAGCGACGCAGCACAAGTACGAGCCTCCAGAGAAGCGATCTTTGCCTTCTGCTTCGAGAGTTCCTGGCAAGGGAAGAAGGGCCCTTTCTTTCGTCCCAGAGTTTCTTTAGGGTCCGGGATGTAGTGATTTAGGGTTTCGGGGCTTGGAATTTTAGGGTTTGTGGATTGAGGGTTTAGGGGCGACTGGACAAGGAAATGCACTCCAATGCATCGAAGGAGTGAAAGCCACTCGCCTCACTCAACGAACTACCCATTGCCTCTGCGTCTTGGCTCTGACTCTGGTCCTGCTCAAATTGCCGAACATCTCAGGTTCAATGTTTCATGGCAGCCCGAGCAAGGATATGGATTTGCATATGCTTTACATCATATATACATATACAAACTGCATCATATGTATACAAACACAGAGAGAGAGAGAGAGAGAGAGAGAGAGAGAGAGCACCTTGATTTGTTGCTCCAGCGCGGCACGCTGCGTCTCCTTGGCCTGCCACTGCTACACTACCCTGCAGTGGGGGGTGCCCGAGACTTGAAGCTGCATTCTTGCGACATTTGCAATTCGGATGGCGATCATGTGGAGTCTATATTGGGATCCTGATCTTACGAAACTCCTTCATCTCAGCCCTGGGGCAATTAGCCCTCTTCTGCAGGGTGCCAAGCGAAGCTGCCTCCAGATCCTGCATCAGCTGCTCGATCCGTGCCTGACGAGCAGGGAATAAGTGGCAAACAATACTATTATTGGCATTGGCATTTAATGAAGGAACTAGCGCTCACAATATTCGTAACAATCGCATTAGTAATAAACAAGGTGCTCGTATGTTAGCCTAGCAACAATCGTGTCAGAAATGACAGTACTGGTTTACATTAGTACAGTAGAAACAGGAATGGTAATGGTAATCTTCAGAAATTATGGTAGCAGCAACAATAATCGATAAGGCCACCTTACTGTCAAGACGCGCTTCCTATACAACAAGTTGCCAGAAGTGTTATCCAGCTGCCTTCGCCTCGTCATTGTCTTGAGCCAAATCTTGAAGCCGCTGCCTGTCTCAGAAGCACCCTCGACACAAATGAGTCTAAACTGCATCACGCTAGGTCCGCTAGGTATGTCCTTAACGGCTCAAGGGGAACCCTTCGAGTCTTACCGCCCAGGCCCACGACGCAGATGGCACGTCGGGTTAGGTTCCGGACATCTCTTCCTCCCACTTCGCCAATCGCTCAGAAGCTGACGTTGCACCGGCCTGTGCGCAGACACTGGGGGATCCGGCAGACAGACTACAGCCAGCCTTGATCTGCTCGATCTCCAGATTCTTGCTGTCGAGTTGTGCCTCACAGGTGCTTTTGGAGCTCTCGTAGATGCGTGTGCAGAGCGTTTCGTCTTTGGATGTAGATTGGAATTTCACCTGAATCCAGCAAGACCACTTCAGAAGTGCTTCTGCCCTCTCTGATGCCTTCAGGCTTGCAACTTCTTTGGCATCAGTACTGGCGCTTGTGCGCACATGTGAAGCCTCGCCAGGCTTAAGCGACGCAACAGAGGGTCATGGGTGACGGTGCAATAAAGCATCGACCTCTTTGCGACATTCCTTCATGTCCTGATGCAGAGACTGATAGCAAAGGCGGCAAAGCAGGCTCCTCGCCTCGCAAATTGCAGCCTGCCTCCTCAAGCCTGCGCACACGCTCGTCGTAGGCCTCGAGAACCAAGCTTCATCAGTTTGTCAGCAGAAGCGACTATTAGAAGTCGTGCATAAACAAGGGATCGGCAGAGCACTTCCTTCCGAGACTCGCCGCCTCAGATCGCAAGCGCGTCGCTTCGGCCTGCGTCGACTTCGGAACTCACGTACGCACAAAGCAGGAGCCCAAAGCAAGCCAACAAATCCGACAATGCAGAAGCTACACTGAGTCAGCTTTCAGGGTTGTTTTCCCACAATATCCCGTCAGCTTGCATCCACCTTCGCTTACGAAATGCCTTCCTGTTCCCATGCATGTGTGCACACGGGCACGAAGGAGCGAACGGAAACATCACCACAAACAGAGAGAGACAGAGAGAGAGAGAGAGACAGGCACATGCATGCACGCATGCATGCATGCATGCATGCATGCACGAACACATAAAGGCGGCAAAAGCTGAGCCTGTGATTCGCTCAGCTTCTTTTGCAACTCTTCCTTGTCAGTGGGATGCTCAGAACATTGCTACGCCCTGGCTATGACATGCGGCCACTATCCTCAGACTTTGCCAGTGCTTCAATCTCTTGCTTCATCTTCCCTTTTTTGGAGGCCAGCTCCTGTGTTCAGGGGAGTGCCGGGATCTGCCGGGTCAACAAGAGGAAGACCGCCTAAGAACGGTTGAAGCCAGTTCGCTCCTGCTGCAATCGACCCTGGCAGAGATTGTGTCCATTCACAAGTGCAGCAATGATAGGTGTGCGGAGCTGCAGTACCCTTTCATGCAAGCGAGGTGCTCTTTCTTCCCGCACCTGCTTCTCGTGCTTCTCCTGAACATCAGCTCTTCTTGATTCTAGATTCTCCACTTGCGCATGGACCGCATGGTCCGCGGTGACTCAAGCGACAGTGCACGGACTTGAAGAATCTTGTTGATGCTTCTACTTTGGCCTGCAGCTCGCTGAAGGTTCGGTCTCGCTCCTGAGCAGTGTGGACCCGTGAGTGGTCGGGAATCTCAGTCCAGCCATTGGCATTGCGAAGCATCAACGAGGTGGCGCGCCAGCTCGAACTCTGCTTGCAGCTCTCGTCGATGCCTCAAAGTCATAAAGCACCACGGCAGGAGGTGCTTCTGAGAGCATTTGGAGCCAGGCTTTGCCAACTTTGCCTTGTGCTCTGCCTGTATGCATCTCTGAGCTTGCATGGGTTCAGCCTGAGAAACTGAAAACTTGCACAAGAGGCCTGCAAGGCGGCAATGTTCTTCTGATGAAGCTCTTCGAGCCTCCCACGAGGCTTAGTCTCCTGTGATTTTGGCACGAAGGAGGTCGGATGGCCTGGCTTTCTCTTGTTCCAGCTGCTCTTGGCCTACGTGGACAAGCTTTAGACAATACTGAGTTGTGTCATGCTATGCCGCCATGCCATGCTATGCTGGGTAGCCAGCTGGCATCGGCTACGGCCTGCCAAATTCTTGCGAAACTTAGATCGCGTGGCGGGAGCTCCCACTGCCTCAGCTCGATCCGCCATCGAGTTCACAGCCGGCCTGACACGACGAGATGCTCTCGAACAATCTCGCCGCTTGACGCTCCTTTTTGCAGCCGAAAAACGGATCTCCGCTTGGAGGCGGTGGAGCTCCCGCCACAGGCCGCGGCCTCTGCGAGTCTGCGAGGCGAAGAAAGGATACGTGGGGTTTGGCATTCGTTGTGCTCTGAGTCAATGACGGCCCATCCAGAGCTTTGGAACCATGCAACGCCTCAGGGCCAAGTCCGGCCGCCCACTGCCGCTGCGTGCCGCTGCCACTCTCCCAAAAAAAGCTTCGCACCCGGCCTTGAAATCCTCCGGCCTCTCTCGCCTGTCCTATCGGATCGGGATCACAGCACACTCTGCGCTTAGGAAGGTTCTGGAGTGGCCTCCTCGCTCAGAGAAAGGGACGGTGCCCTGGCCAAAAATCTTCTAAAACACTCATGCTGGCCTAGGACCTGGGAAGAATCATGGCCTGGAGGAGCCGGTGGATGGCGCGGCTTCCTCGTCAGAGTCTGCAGACCCAGTCTCTTCCTCTGCCAAAAGAACCACTGCCTCCGCTTGACCTTCATGCGGCCCTGGTCGTAGCGACGAAGAAAGTGAAAACAAACCTACTTGGATCCTTGGGCCGCAACTGTCGCGAAGTCCGGCGCCGCCGACACCTCGTGCACTGAGAGGTGCTAAAGTCCTTGGCGCCTCAGGTGCGCGAGTATCCCAATTCGGCAGCCAGTTGTGGGATGCAGCTAGGGGGCCTCAAGTCTCACCTCATCGTCCTTGTCTTCGGGTTTCTCTTTCTTCGGCTTTTTCTCCTTTTTCTCCTGCAAGAACATCTACTCAAGCACGGCACAAATGAGGGAGGCCGCGTTCCTTTTTCTTCTTCTTTTTCTCAAGATCACCTCAGCAAGCCGCTGCTGCACAACCCGAAGCGAATGCTCGTGCACCTGCCTCCACCCAAGCTCAGCATGCCACCACCTACTTGTAGCTTGCAAACGGGACAGGAAAGTCTTCGAAAGCGCAGACGCCAGCTGGGGCTCCGACTGGCGCTGGCGCTCCTGCCGACACTGCCACTGTCGTCAAGAAGGTCACCTTCAGCTTCAGACAATACCCCCCAGTCAGGCATCGTTGCAAGAAGCATCTGCTACGCGAGCAACTTCACCAGACGATTGACTCTCGAATATAAAAAGATATAAAAAGATGACAAACAACATGGCATGTCAACACATACACGCGCACACAGATATACAGCTGTTTTGCAGAAAGACGCTAACGCAACTTGTCGGCAAGGAGGCATGTCACAGAAGGCCACTCCAGCGGGATAGCTGCAGAATACACTGCCTTTCCAGGATTTGCGAAAAAGTTGCGAGCTGCACATTGAGACGAAAATCGCAGCGCGCAGCTGCTGAGAGCATCTTGAGGTTCAACAGGCACCGCTCGTGCGGCCGTGGCTTGCCCAGCAGGACTGCCGTTGGAAAAATTCCAAGGAGGAGCGGCCAGGGCCAAGGTTCAACTTTCTCACGTTCTCGAATGCCAGCTGTCTCATGGAGAGCAATCTCCAATTGAATCCCAAGCTGCTGTTGTAGGTCTATACACATTCGGGACGCAGGGCGAGCGCTCGCGCCAACAGCTCCTGTCCCTCAAAGTCGGGTCCAGGCCATGCTTCAGCCAGTGGCTAAGAGGACCCAAGCTTTCCAAGAGCCAGAAAGTCGCGCTGAAGGTCTTTGCAGGTACGTTGCGCAACTCGGGTCGGGCTGTAGACGTCATAGACCGAGGCTAGGCCAAAGTCTCATAGGTCATCGGGCAGCACAATGCTTGGTGGCTTCCATGGTCTGAACTTCATACCTTGATGAGTCTGCGTCAGTGTCTTGTGGTTCGGATTACCAGCAAGCGGCGTAGTGGAGAACTTCGCTGCAGGTGTGGAGGCGGCACCGGACACTTCCCGGCATTCTCTGGCAGAGCTGGCTCCGGTCGACGCCTCCTCTGTGATCGTTTCTCCGAAATGAACAAGCTTGGCTGGCATGGTCTGCCATTGTTGATGACCTGGACCTTCATCCGCAGCCGCGGTGCTTTCCGGCTGCCCTCGGGCACCGGCGTCCATGTAGGCACTCTTCGCCGCCGCCTGCGCCTCCTGCGCCGCCTGCATGCTTGCACTTGGCTGGTGGATGGGTCTGCTTAGCTTGCTCTCAAGCGGAGCATGCGGAGCACCGACGGACCTGGCGGGTAAGTGGGCAAAGCGTGCACGGAGACCACGGAGGATCTGTTCCCGTTCTGTCAGACCCAAGTCCATCTCGCGTAGCAGCTCAGCCAGTTCAGCCGGCTCCACTCCCTCAAGGTCTGACCAGGTCAAACCTGCCGCCAGAAGCCTAGACTCCAACTTCTCCCAAAGAGCTGGCGATGGTGTCGCATTTTCGGTCTTGCCGAAACTCAGCTCACAACAGAAGGTGGCTTGGCCCATGCTGGACAACGTTTGGACTGGTAAGCCTGGGTGCTTCGCAGTGGGACCGGGAGTGCTGATGTCAGGTGAATGTGCATCTAGCTCAGGGTACGTCACCACATGTGCCTCCTGGCTGTCACAGCTGCGCTCTCATGCATCGACGAAGATCCACTGACAAGCTGTGTAATTCTGCTTGCTGACGCCCATGGTGGCAGCAGACTCTCAGAAGTCTGCCGCTCTCATCCTCTTTCTGAGAAAGGCCGAGACCTCCGTGAGCAAAGAAACACACGCATAGCCTTCCGACAAGGCCGCAGAACGAGACCAGTGCGCTGTGCCAAATCCTCCAACGCCGCCTTGGATCCGGAAACGAAACGACAAAACCGTCTGCGGCTTTGCATCCTTTGAGGCCCAAACTTCATCGAACGGGAGGCCGTACCTGAGGCCCAAGACTGACAAACGTCCGTGCTTCCCTAGCTTCCTTTTGTCTTCTCGTCCTTCATGTTAGTTGTATATCCCATCAAAGTTGTTACTATCCTAATCAACGTGCTTCAGTGATGGAGCCGAGCCAAGCAAGTCGCTATAACAACTACAGCACCTTTGCATCTCGCGATTTCTGCGATCTCGCTGGCAAACACGTCGGCTCTTGTCGCGGTGAGGTGCTAGTGCCATATGCGGTCAGGGCCAATAAGCCGCAGTGCCTACGACGCCGCATCCTGCAAGCTGTGCTTCAGCTGGAGCGTCGGCTCGCCAGAAAGCCAAGGCTCATGAGCTGCTGGAGCTGGAGGAGGAACTGGAACTGTGCCTGGCGACATCTCATGTGCAGGGTACAGATTTCCAGTCCGAGGCCAGAACAGGCAGAACTGTCCGCATCAGCTCTTCAACAACAGGTGGGCGGACTTCTTCATCTTCTTGATCTTAAACTTTTTCTCCTCGCAAAGATTTGCGGTGACAATCCCTGTCATTCTGAATGATTGTGCGGATGACATGTGGGTCAGTGGGTCGGTGGCAGAGTCCTTCTTATGCTTCTTTTCCTTCTTGTCTTTCTTCATCTTCTTTCCTCGGTGCGATTTTTCTGCAGTGCGGCCATGGCTACGATGAGCCGGGAACAAGATGCCCAGGGCATTTCCTTCAGCATGGTGAACTTGAGCGACGAAAACACTTTGCCGTAAAGCAGCCGCCAAAGCCAAAAGCCTCTTGGAAAAGCATGTGTCCGGCAGCCGCGGCACTCATGCCAGCGCCTGCAGTGGTGGCTGTGGACAGAGGATGGAAGATCGCAACAGGCAAGAGCCTGCATGGGGAGGTCCGTAGCCGTGATGTCCGCCATGAGATGGGTACGGCATGCCATGCGGCCCCCCATGACCGGGGACGCCATGGCTAGGAACGCCGTAGGGAGGCCCAGGCATGGCTGCGCCAGGCCCGTAACCGGAGCCGTGAGCTTCAGGCCTGGCGCCTCCTGGGAGAAAGACCAAAGGCCCAGGGTGGCTCCAAATTCAACGACTCTGTAGTCTGCACTTTGTACTTTGTAACATGGAATGTGCTGATCGAAGCCGAGTGGCCACGCTGCCAAGTGATTTCGATCTTCAGCTTCCCTGCTTTCTTGCAGCCACCAAAAGCGTGGGGCCGCATTAGCTCCAAGGTTCCTTTCAAGCAGCGTCGGTGGAACCGGCAGAAACAAAGGTGCTGACCCCGCCACATGGCTGCCGTTAGCCAGATAATCCGGTAACAATCCCTATCCGCTGCGGCAACTCGTTCTTGCCTAGGCCCTAGGCAGTTTCGCGGCAGCTTTCTTCACAAACTCCTGTTATATCTTGAATCCCTTGTGTATCTTCTTTCTCAGATTCTCCTTCACGTCTCCTCGTTCTCGTTCATGAAGATTTATGACGGCATGCGGGTTCGGGAGCTAGCTCCAAATCGACGCGCAGCGATCGCAAGCGTAGGCACGCGTCCGCATGCGCTGGCGAGAGCAGAATTCCGCAGGAGCGTTCGGTCTCGGGGCTCCTATCAGGTTTCACACCCCGGTATCCGATGGTATCTGGCACTTCTTTCTGAGCAGGCTGATGCAGACGAAGACGTTACTCAGAAATCGGGTTGCTTCATGTAAACCTCACTTTGGGCATGCTGTATCAACTCTAAATCTCGTTGGAGGTGCGGTCCTTCAAAGTCGGAATGCAGCGGAAGCCCTCTGTATACGGCTTCTCCTATAAGCCCATCGGCAACCAGCATGTTGCTGTCCATGGCAAGAAAATGGATGTCCGGCTCACCTCGCCAGTCAATTATCTGCGTCCAGTGAAACTTCGCCTTCTTGCCAGCATTGGTCATCACTTGGGTGCGGAACTCCCGACCACCCAAGCGGACCTTGACGTAAGGATCCATTTTCCCGGTCCAATCCTGCATGTATCATTGCACGAGATTGCACATGTAGCAGTGGAGCCGTACGACATCCGCTCACGGGAAAACTCTTGACAACTAGGGGCGCATGAAGCCATGATACTCGGAAGGGAAACTGAGGCCGAGAGTCGAGATCGTACAGGTCCTTGGCACTCTCCACCAACAGCACAAAGCTGCCGGGAGCATGGGACGGTCCAGGCCCGCATGGCGGAGACCAGGGAGCGTGTGCGAGCTCGCTCGGCATGGCGCCCCCAGGCCCGGCCACTACATGGCCGGTAACAACGGGCACCTCAGGTTCTAAGAGCCCAAGCCATGATGCTGTCACTTACGCAGACCATTTGGAGGGAAGGTGCTCGGGCATCGTAGCTCTCTCCGGTGACAAACCTTGGAGATCTGGCGAAGATTGCTGAAGAAAGTTCCAGGCCTTCAGCCCCAACCCCGAATTCCCTCCGCTTGGTGGCCGCACCCATGCTGGCCCAGGTGTCCTTAGGATGGGGTCTGCAACAGAGTTGCACAGGCATGAACATGCACGTTGATAACAGCTGCTCTGGCAACCGAACCCTTAGCTGCGTCTGGCCCACCTGGATTGTTCGTCATCATGATGGGCTTGCAGATCACGGCCGTAGCATCTTTGGCAACGGGTGGTGGTTGGCTGTGCGGCGATGATCTCACAGCCTGTCTTTACTCTTGGTGCGCGGTGGCTCCTAAGCTACCACTACTGACGTTGTCCTTCTGGTCGGATGAGTCGTGTGTGCACGTGATGCACTTGAGCCTGCTGTCGTAAACAGTGATGAGCACACCTGGTCTCAAATCCACCAGCCGAGTTTGGCACGCCACGCTGGCACGCTGGCACAATCTAATTCTGAGTTGAGGGCTTCTTCGCTCGCTCCTTCTTGTAGAGCATGCGATGGTACTCGTCACACGGATGGTCCCAAACCTGCAGCAAGTGAAAGCGCTTCGCATGTTGTAGAACTGCAAAACATGTGGTGAGGAGGAGACACTTTCACCAGTGTCGAAGTTAAAGTAGAACACCTCGTTCTCCTGGAGACCGCTAGTCTCGAAGATGCAGCGGAAAAGCTCGTCATGAGCATCGTCGCTGAGAGCAGGACTTCTCCAGTGGTGCAGGGCTTCCAGGGCGGAGGCAGGGGAACCTCTGCGGCGAAAAGGCTCCCACAAGCGAACAGCGAGCGTGTGTCTTGTCTCGCCTTCAACCCGGCCCTGGCAATCCACATCAAGTCCTAGCAGGGGGGTTTAGGGTTTAGGGGTTTAGGGCGTTTCGGGCTTAGGGAGTCCTTGTCATTCTCAAGGTCCATTCCAAGCCTCTCAGCTCCCAGGCACAAGCCGAAGCAATGCAGCGAACGGCATTGGCCAAGGCCGCTGCCATTCCGAATAGTCTAGAATCTCCTGCTCCGTTGGCTCGTATTCCTTGCGCTAAACCAGTTATAGTTCAAATTCAAGCTGCCGTGGCGAGAAGAATCCCCTACGATGGAGCTTGCAGAACTGTCCGAGTCGACATGCTCCTCAAGCACCACAGACCTCAGAAGCCAGGGGCGTGCAGGCACTTTTCGCCTGGACGATCCGCTACTCCAAGCGTTCCGAAAAGACTAGTAGGCCGGTAGTTACGTAGGCTGCCTGCCGGGTCTCCATCCGGATCCTTGGTGCCCAACGAAAGGCTGAATGCATCTGAACACACAACACGGATAAGTGCAACTGCGTGAGCCTGTGCGTTCGTCACAACGCGATGTCACGCGAAATCGTGCGACGAACCTCTGTTAGAGTTCCCTATCAGAAGATGCGTCTCACCATTGTAGTGGGCCCCGTATTTTCGTCTACACATGACATGGAGACTATACTGTCAATGGCTATGGCATGAGTGCTACACAGGCCGTTGCATGCAAAACTCTGATATCTTCTTGCATGTGACTCATATACCAATAAAAATTTAAGCTGTGAAACCTGAGGCAGCGGTACGGCAGGCATATTCCAGGAATGTGAGAGGCACTTTCGCGGAACATCAGAGCATGTAAACGCAGCAGCTTCAGTTAGTCATTCCGCTCTTTGAACCCATAGCGATCGAAGTGCATCGCACTGCTTCCTCCTGGAGGGTGAAGCTGTCTTCCCATTATCAGTTTTGCCCAGACCTCAAACTCCTTCCAGCAATGTTCGAACCTGGCAGGAGGGCGACGCAACCATGAAAGCACCGCATCATCTAGCTAGTCACAAGACGGATAGATGCCGGTCTGCACTACCCATTCCCTGCGCTACCCATTCCCCTGAACTAGAATTACAGTATCCCGGTGCAGGTCGAGAGCACCTGGGCAGGTGTGTGCGTGGCAACGCCGAGGGCTTCAATCCCCGCGTACAGCTCCTCATACTCAGAGGCGATGAGTCCGGAGACTCCTTTGCGGGCCCTTTCCCTCAAGGCCACGTCATCGATGCGCTCCAACAGCCGCAGCGACAAGGCTCCACCGAGAGTGAATAAGGAGTTGTAGAAGGATCGCAAAGTCGCAGCAAGGGAAACCGGATGCAGTTCAGGAACCGAACTGAGCGGTGTCTCGGGTAGCTTCTCACGCAACGCTTTCAGCCGTTCAGCAAGACCAACTTTCGACAGAACAGCTTTGGTCTGACCTTCCACCAAGCGATTGAGCTGATCTTCGAGAAAGCTGGCATACATCTCTTGCCGCTGCTTCGTAAAGTCATGCTTCTGCAAGGGCATCTGCATCGCACACACGCAATTAATGAGGAAAACGATCCCATCTGCGGTCTCCATCATCTGTGCAACTTGCTGGCAATGATTTAACAGAGGATCGAAGGCGGCAGACAAGACTGGCAGGAAGTCTGCTTCGCGCTCGCCGGTTGGAACCGGAGCCATCTCGTAGATGGACAACACTTCTTGCAAGGTATTGACAGCCTCCAGGACAAACGAGGGAGCGGAGAGGGCTGCGACGTACACCCCAGAGACACCTTGCCGAAGCTTCTGGGCCTGAGCTTCCCAGAGATCCAGAAAGTTTTGGTACGTTCTGGCATGTAGATCCATGCACGTTGATACCAATGCACACTCATTTCGTCGCAGCGTGTCTGCAATTGTCTTCGCATAAAAGGAGAAGACTTGGGCCACCTTGTACATAGTTACAATCGCCACGTTGGCCTGCAAAGCTTGCTTCGTTCTGGCAACGAGGGTCGCGGCGATGCCTTCCAACGCAATGTCGAGGACCTCCTCAAACCCGATAAGGGTCCTAAGCGGATGACGAAGACCGGTCGAAAACCCACCAGTACCGATAAATGCGAAGACGAATTCCAATTGCTCGCAAGCTGCCACTAGCTAAATATGCTCAATACTAAAAGAAGAGCAGGAGGCCGCATTTTGCCGAGTGACGTGCCCTCTACGGAATCGGCGTGCATCTTCTCATGACCGCTGCTGCTTTTCCGCGCCTGAACCGACCAAACCACACACTACCCTCCGGCCCGTAGCCTAAATCTGTTACATTAAAGTCTGATGTCTTGAACGTGGTGCATTCAACAAGAGGGAGACTTAGAACAACATAAACGAGTGTGACACCAAGAGACTCTGTACATGCATGCTGCCCACCGTACACCTCAAGACCGAAGCCTAAGCTCTAGCCAGCTGGCTTGAACACTGCCGAAGCAACAACATTTTCCAAAAAACAACTTTGGTGCGCAGGCGCGACATGTAACCGATGCAACCATAACAAGCTCACCCGTGGCGGGCGCCTCAGGTTGCGCCTCTGAGTCCATGAGGGCTGTCACTGCCTCGCACTCCACCGCGACCTGTGACCGACACTCTCGCCGACTCAGCGACCCAGTGTGGAGGACTGGGTCGCCCAACATGCTCTCGAATCCACGCCAGCATGTCGCTCACGTATCGAACCGGATCACCAGCCTGAGCAGTACGTCTGCACAGAAAAGCCACAAAGCCTGTCTGCACTCACTGGGCGCGGCTCCTGAAGTTCAATGGGCCGCGCTCCGAAGGAGGAGTCTCCTTGAGTCAGCGCCTCTCCGCAGTGCGGCCGCATGCGAAGCGCTGCGACAGAAAGGCAAAAGTGCAAAGGCAACGCCGCAACGCTTCCTCCAGAAATCTTTGCTGGAGCGCCTGCTTCCTGGCAGGTGAGAAAAAAGGGGCTTTAGCAGACTGACTTGACTCGTCAACTTGCCCCTTGCAACGACCCTGCCCTGCATTACATGCTTGCACATGCTAAAGCAAATGCACTGTCCTGACCCGAACGATGTCGCGCAAGCAGTGGTTGAAATACACCGGTCGCTCCTTCAGCAGCCTTTGTTGCAACAAGTTTTGCGGCAGCTGTGTGGTTAACATCGGACATCTGGAATTGACACTGGCTTTCGTCAAGCTACTCCCTCCACAATCCCTCTGCCTGATGCTGGAGTGGGGCTACTGGCCTATTCGTTTGTTCGAGCACCCGTTTGAGGGGACATCTTCTTGTGGAAAGAGTTGTGGGCGTCAGTTCCAGAGGCCACAGGAATCCCTGAGCATTCGGGTCCCCCCCTTGAGAAAAGTCTTGTGCTCTCGGCTGAAGCTACTCCTTGACCGAAGCCTCATGGCCTTGAGCATAAAGCCAGAAGCCCCATGGGTTGGTCGAAAGATGCCACGACCGCGGGAACAAGCAGCAGGCTGCCAAAGTAGGGCGAGTCTTAGTGTTTCCCTGCTTTCCCATGTTTATGCAGCTTCATCTTTCAGCGATTTTGGTGGCGAGTGATTGGTTAAGCCCCAGGAACGGCCTCAAAATGGAATGCGAGCATCTGCATCAAAGACAACCGCGAACATCAAACGACTCGATGTTCCTACAGGTGCTGAAGCTGTTCTGTATTTGGACCCGGATGGCGCTACTTTGCAATCTCAACGTGGCTCGGTCTGGCTTTCCACCAATCCCCAAAACACGAAGAACTTGCGGCACAAGCTCAGGTGGCTGAGGGTCAGGCTTCAAAACTCGCTTCAGTACGCTCCCAGCAGGAGTTTCCAGTTCTGCAGACCTAAGCAGGCAACCCAGCGACAAAACCTCCCCGCACAAGATTAAACGCGGCATCCTGAAGGTTGGGCGTGCTCTTTGCCACGGCCGCATCTCTTGAGCCCCGGCACTGCTGCTGCACCTTGCTCCGTTTCCAAGCTTCCAGAAGGACGGCGGCGGCATAGCCGGGTCCAGAAATTTTGAATTTGGCACGCAAGCTGTCCGAGTTCGGCTCCCAAACAAACATTCGTTCGTAGGAAGCCTCGGCAGTGACTCATCTGGCGCTTGAAACAGTAACAGGAAAGAGAACCAGCTAGGGCTGTTGCCTCCAACACCTCTGATGTCTCATGCAAGATATCAACCTTTCACAATCTCATGATGGCACAAGTCCGCGAGCTTTGCACGTCCGGTGAAGTGATTTACATCTTGGCATCAGGCTCCAGAAGTTTGTTGGCCACTGGTGTTCAGCCTGAAACTCCAAGATGCGGCTGGCAGTCTCAGCAGCTATCGGGTTGCAAAGGGCAGTACATATGGCGAGCATTCGCACGTACCTCTGCCACTTTTTGAGCACAATGTGGAAAGTGATACGAGCAAAGCAGCTCCCACCTGTTCGAGCCTTTCGAAAGCCGTGAAGAAGTCGTCATCCAGAGGTCTGTCGCCAGAACGCACTACTTGCGTGTCTGCCTGTTCAGAGACCCACAATACAACTTTGCACTTTTAGTATTCACTCGTCTGGCCCATGACAGTACGCCTCTGACAGCCGAAACCGCGTCAGGAACTTGTCCAAGACCTGACAATAAGCATGAACAACTGCAGCTAGCCAGCTGCAAAGGTGCGAAGTGGTGCGACGCCTGCTGTTTGAGTTCAATGGACATTGACTCCTGGGCACGCTGGGCCCGTGCAAGGCCGGACATCGCTGGTATCTGCGGACTGCGCCTTGCGCAGGGCAGCTGCCTTCTCCAAGCTCGCCTCTCAACTGCGGGATAAGGCCGGCGGTGCTGTGATGATCTATATATGACTAAACTATATGAATATGCTATTGGCATGGGAAGCTGGAGTCCTGTGTCTCGCATCGGCTGGCTCTCAACTGGTCGCTTGCACGCTGCACGGCGCCATCCTGGCGAACGGTGGCGACGGCGACAGAGACACTACTGAGTCACGACTGTGCCATGCTCCGCCCTCTGTGGCCCGGGCCAGCCGACCAACCAGGCGGTCGAGGCTCTCGAGCTGGCTCTCCAAAGCCCCGAAGGCATGCACAAACTCCTGAATGCGTCAGCAAGGAAAGCGAGCTCTGACAGCGTCACGAGTCAGCGCATCGGGCCTTGTGCAGAAACAAGTTCTCGCCCTCGATCGAGGATCGTAAGTTCCTGCTGCTAGCGCAGGGATGTCGGAGCCGGAGCCCTTTAGGGTACGGCTGCCTGCGGTCCCCGCCTTCTGGTGTGGACAGTGTTCTCACTGAAAAACCCAGACAGGCATTTCAGCGCGTCGCGTGACCTCAGTGCCCAAGCTGGACGAGAGTTGGACATTGAGAGACGGCCAAGGAGAGGGCTGCTGAGAGTCAATCCGAAGAGTCAATGCCTCCCAAGGCGTTGTTGCACGGTCGAAAGAAAGGCCATGAAGCCAGCACCGAACTTCACGGAACCTTCTGGATCTTCTTGGTCAAGTGTCCACCTCATCGCTCGCTGTCACTGTAAGTCAAGCTTAGTGAGTGTTTTTGCGGCCCTGGCTGGCAGCATTCGCCGTGGGCTGGGGTTTCGGCACCTGCCGGGACGACGCACATCAAAGGCCACCAAAGGCTTCAGCTCGAACTCTGAGCCTGAGCAGCATCGGAGGATGGCGCCCCGTCATGGTCGGCACTCATGGTAAGCTAAGCAAGGTAAGGTTCATGCTCGGCAACAGGCATTCTTATGGCTGGTTCACAAACTCGCACTTGCTTATCACACCTGCGCTGTTGAGGCCTTTTGGGTTTCTGTTCCTTTGTCGATAACTGCTCTCCTCACGCTCTTCATGAACTGAGTTGGTGTCTGCTTTACAACTGCTTTAACTGGAAGACATGTCTCGCGTGTTCCCGCGGCACATATACTGAAGGCATTTGTTGAAGTGGCGGAGCTTGAAAGTGGAACCCCTGCGCACATGCGAAAGCTGCGAATACCTAATTTCCTGAACAGTCTCATGGAAGCCTATGCTGCACAAGATGACTCGAACAACAGCCGAAGAAGATGCTCGAAGACTCTGGCGATACTAGAAACCGCTAATTGCATGCATGTAAGTATACACGTACACCAAGAAACCTTGTTAAACACCACCACTCAGGCCTAGGCATTGATCGGGCATTCACCTGTGAATAGTCAATAGTCGCGTCCGAATACACGAGAGCGCTTGACGAGGAAATTCTTTTTCAGTGTGCATGCATTATCGGACTCATACCGGTAGCGCGCAGGTGAGACATCTTGCTCCAATTGCTAACTTCTGGCAACGAGAAGCAGGCAATGCTGTAGTTCTGGATTTTGTTGAGACATGTAGACTGTTATCTGCAGCTTGGCCAGAAATCACTCGTGCCAAGTTTGGCATCCAGGCCAGTGTTGCTCCACTTACACAATGATTTGCGAACCCGCTGCTTTTCAGCAGGCCTTGGCACACAACCCGGTCACTCTTCGGTCTCTATGGCAGGCAGGTTCTCCTCAATGAACCTGAAGATCGCAAGCAGAATCAGTTGGTCGGAAGGCTTTCACTCATGGCTAGAGGCATCGGCTTGAGAATCTCTGGCGCTTTCAAGCCTTCGATCTGCATGACCTGCAATTACTTTCAACCGCATTGCAAGTCCGACGGGCCGTATGCCACAAATACTCGAAGCAAAGACCTCTTCTCCACCTTTGTAGAACCTTGGCAGACTCCAGTCACCAGTTAGAAGCTCTGAACAACCTGATGCCAAGCCGAGTCGGCCAGTAGGCTCATGGCAGGAAGCGAGGCTTGCTAGTCTCTGGAAAACGCTCTTCATACTGCCAGGCGAAGTGCAGGATAGGCCATGCGAGATGGCACTGTCTGCAAGAACTGCGCAGGTGACCTCCGGCAACACATTCCGCTCAGCTTGCGTAATGGTGCATCGATCCTGTCGCACATGCATTCCCATCCATCGGCGAGACTGAACTTGCAGCTGCATTTCGGCATGACATGAAATCGTCATCTGTGTCTCTCTTGCTTCTCGAACTGTAGTACCAAACCGCAAAAGTGTGCAGGCAGTGGTGCTTGTCCTCGAAGGCGTCCACGTTCAGCTTAGAGGCAATGGAATATGCTGTGGTATGCAGACGCGCACGACAGCCCCAGCTTCACAGACATGTGACATCCTCTCCCCGGCCAGGTTCATGCTGAGCTATCTACCTGAAGGTTTTTGAAGGTGGGAACCTGCAGAATGCTCCAGATTGGACGGAAGCCGGCGCCAATACATACAGAACACTTCAGAAAACATCATCTGCGGGAATCTACCTGTCATGCTAGGGCCGTCGCTATTGACAGGCACGGGCCACACCACGCTGTATAGACCTGAGGTCAGCAGAAGTTGTGGAGCAGTTGATGCAGGCCCGTTGTGACTCTGCCGATTTTCATTTGGGTCCGGGCATCAACAATATGGAGCTTCTTGCAGCCCTCCTGTCAAAACAAGCACTTGTCACCAGTATTAGACTGGGCCTTCCTCATGGACTCTGTCGTTGTCTCTTGGACGAGGCAACATAGCAGTCTAAAGGATGGCCGCCCCTGTGACAAAGCTGGACAATAGTAGGTACTGCAGTAACAGACTAGCAGTGACTAGCAACTACCACTGGGCAGGAATTCTCGGTAGTTCTCGGGCACACGAGACAGAGCCGCGCGAAAATGGCGGTGAGAATCTTGTTCCAAAACCAATGCAGGTGACGCACCTTATGGGCCTTATCGTTTGCTCCCAGTGTTCTGTCGAAGTATGGCTGTCTGCTCAACTCTTGAATCAGGATGTGACTAGCGACGAGGGTTGGCATGTCGTGGTTTCGCAGCCAACCACTGGCATCCAATTCAGGTGTCATGACAATGCAAAAGACATCACCAACAGTCGGACAGTGGAGCTCTTCGAAGGCATAGTAGAATACAGCTATGTTGCATAGTGCACCGATGCAGCACTGACGGAAGTGAAGGCACAACAACAGCAACAACATCAGAAGCAAAAAAAAACACACACACACACACAGCAAAAGCAACAAGAAAAACCGAAAGCCTGTACCGCTCCGCCTGGTACTAATGCGCTGCTGCTACTGCTACTATACTGCTACTACTGCACGACGACGACTACTACTTTACTACAAGTATTACTGCCGCTGCTCGTGCTACCCCTCTTACAGCTACCCCTCTTACAGCAGCCCCGTCCAGGTCACACACCACGTAATTGCACTTTTTTGGTCGAGGTTGGCGCGGCTTCGTTTTCTTTCTTGACGTTGGCATCCGTTTTCTGGCTCCACTGGTCACTACATTGCAGCATTGCTGGATTGATCTCAACCTACAAATAATCTTTTAATAGTAAGCATTGTCCTGGTGTCTGGCTCCAAGCATTGTAAAGTAAAGCAATTACAGCATTTCATGTCTTCTCTGGCTTCAGCCATGGTTCGACAGCTCTTTAATCGCAGACATGTGCAGATTTTCGCATTTGTTGTGTCGTACTGGCATTGGGAAAGATGTTCATGTTTTTTGCACGATACCCGTCGGCCCCCACGAGTTGTTGCAAAGAGAAGACACACTCAATTGCCCCCACCACCGGTTCTTGAAGACATGCCGGGTGTTCTCGTTCTATTCTCGTGCTTTCAGCTTAAGGCAAGTTGCTCATATGGCGAAGACTGGCGCGGTGTCTCGCGTCGCCAAAGTGAAGAACACCGAAGTTCATATTGAAGTAAATGCTTGGCTACATGGATCTGGGGCCACTTCAGAAACCCCCGGAAAAGGCTACTGCATAGCGACACGACCAGGGCGCTGCCTACTCAAATCATAGATGTGAACCAGACACGAGCACCTGAGAATTCCTATCCCGGTTCTGGAGACAACAAGTGCATGTTGCTTGCAGCAGCGGTTTTTCAGCAGCGGCCATGCTCCTTATTCGCAAGGTTCCTGACACTTTGCATACTCACATTTGCACACAAGGCATGCTGGTAAGGGCTTCCAGCTTGTGCTGGAAGATGTGATACCTTACTAGCCTTGGGGAATCGAGCGATCAAAGCCAAACCGCCCATTCCCGCTGCACCTTGTAAAGTGTGGCTTTAAAGTCTTCAACGTCGAAGCCGTCCTCACGTGAGCAACTCATGCAATCCGATGCTTTCAATTTGTGCCAGGAGAGCAGAGCCCAAATGTGCCTCGCCGATCTTTCTGATGATTTCCTTCAGGGAGGTGGCGCAGCTATAGACTAGAGGGTATGAAGAGCATTCGCGAACAAACATTGCTCATGCTGTGGCTGGATGCCTTCGGGGCCATCTGAGCAGAAAGGCAGCCACAGACCTAACGAAGTCAGGCAGCAAGGCTTTAGCTTCAAACCGGCACTACATGCGAGTTTCGCAGCCGGCAATCTGAGGACTCGACAGGAACACCGCAGTTTCGGGCGTCGACCAGAAACCCTTGAGCCACCGGCGAGGTTTCGCGATGATTGGATGAAACTGCCAGCACATCATGTCATGCAGAAGCAGGAAAACGTGCTCAAGCAGGTCTTACTCTTTTGTAGCGGACGCTGCCGATTCCTTTTCTTTGACTAGCGCTGTCACATGGGCGTTTACGGTCGCATCCACTCCCAGTTCCTTGGCCTTGCGAGCGACCCATCCGTTTAAGTAGTCGATCTCAGTAAGCCTGCCCGCTTCCATGTCCTGCAACATGGAGGAGCGGTTCTCTGCTGTTTCCCGTGCCGTTCGGAAGACAAAATTCTCCAATTCGAAACTGGAGAGCTGCTCCCTTTGGTTTGGTTGCAGTGCGCCCGCAACCGCAGCAATTTCTCTGCAGATCTGGGATACTTGCGCTTGTGCTTCCATGCACGATAAGATGAAGCCATTTGGCTTGTTCTGCAGGGCCGTCAACGGATTGATGGCAGCGTTTGCCGCCAGCTTCAGCCACAAGCAGCGTGCAATGTTGGGTCCCTCATTGACAGCTCCAAGCCCGGCAGTCTCCAAGCTTTGCAAAGTGGAAAAATACCAATCCTCCTGAGCTTCAGTGGTGCCGAACCTAGTCTGGCCCCATCCTGCATGCACGATGTCGAAAGGGGCCCGAGACCACGCCCCATGCGTCGTGATGCCCAGCATCAGGTGCACGTGGCCTAGGCTTAGACCCGCCCCATGGACGATCTGCTCATGCAGGGCAAGTGCTCCGTTCGACAGCAAGATAATAACGGCACCTGTCTTCAGTCGTGGCGCCAACATCTCCAAAGCTTGCATGGCAGAGTAAGCCTTTGTTGCTACTAACACCTGATGAACATCTTCTCCGGGTCCCGACACCGATCCGGCATGGACTGCAACTGGCGATGTTTCACCGTTGCTTCGGTGCCCGTCCACTCGCAGTAGGACTTTCCCTGACTTGCAAGCTGCAAGCTTGCCAGAGTTGGGTCGCAGCAACAGCCGCGCTTCAGTGCCTGCCCGCGTCAATGCAGCCGCCCAGAGGCAACCCATGGAACCAGCACCTAGGATGTGCATTGCCATCGGTGCACGCCGTCGAAGGTTGGATGGCAGCGAGTTTCGATGTTTGTGGCTGCTCGTGTCAGAACTGGTCCTCCGAAGACTGCCGGCTCTACATCTTGGGGTTTGGAACCGACTTCAAAACAAAGGCTTCATGTGTTGCCAGCTTCATGTTTAAAGCCATGATCTGCAGTGGCTTCCCGTTGGCGGCTGGGCACTGTGCCGTCCATGGATTGAGCGTCGGGCTTGAGACCACTGCTGCCAAGATCTGAGTTGGAAACCTGGTTTGTGGGGCTCCCTAGCCTTCCTCTATCCTCAACCCTGAAAGCTCACTTGACAGCGCATTACCACGCATCGCCAATCCCCTGCTGCATCGATGTGTGTGTGTGTGTGTAGCGCGCATCTGGCGACTAGGGCTGGAGCAGCTCTCAGCTGCTATGAATCAAAGCTATGCTGGACAGGCAGAGCCTTTGTCCGGCTGACCGTTCCTAGTCGCAAAGATTATCGTCGCATCCCCATTTTTCCTGCACAGTTCTCTGGCCTACGTGCCCGTCATTTCTTTGGACGGCAAGTGCTGCATTAGCAAACACGTCAACAGTGGAGAGGCCACATTCTGCCTCAACAGGCTGCAACCCTGAACAAACAACACGTGGGCAGCTCTCTGGAGCAGGGCCTGCTTGTGGGCCACCTACAAATCACCCGAGACGGACCTTATGCATGAAGTCGGCGACTCAGCTGCGGCAGGCTGCTGTCGTGCTCCAATGTCCTCCGTACATGCCAACTGCAGTGTCAGGATGGCTTTGTGCGATCTACAGAAAGGACCTCACGATATCTGCACGAGGCGTCGGAGGTGTTGACACGGAGGAGTTGCCTTAGCTCGCTCAACTGCTCACGACTCGACTCTCAACCAGCTTGGCAAGGCTTAGCATCACGGCAACTGGCCAACTTTGGGGCAGAACGCGTGCAGCTCTCCCTGGCCCAAGACGAACATTATTTACGATGGATGCAGGGACGACAACGTAAGTGTAGTCATGAGTATAGTGCTACAAGTAGCATATTTCAATCGGTCTCTAGAGCCCTGGTTCTGCAGCCATGCATACACCCGTTAGACGCTGGCTTCTTCACCGAGCTATAGATGCAGCATAGGACCTGGGAGAGAAGGCGATGGTGCCGTCAGATAATGCTCCTAGCCCTGAACTCTCCAAAAAGCAAATCTTCAGGAAGTGCGGAAACCAAATAGTGGACTTCGCGAACGTCCGGCATTGTGTGCATGGGCTGCGAAATCCAAGGCAATTTAACACCAACTTTTTCTAGCCCTCTGTACAGCCTCAGGTAGCAGAAGCTGTGAGACCCATGCGTCTATCACCCATCGGTGATCAAGTCTACAGGTCTGCCACCACAACAGCCGAGTCTGTGAGCCTAGCCTAGGTGTTCAAGAGATTCCGACAGCCACTGAAACATGATTTCCGGTTGTCAGCTGGCGACACAAAACAACTAGAAGATAGACCTCGCACCGAGTGCACAAGTCTACCGTTGCAGAACAGCTTCAACATGCCATCCCCATGCTCTGTCCGAATTCGAGTCAGATTCTACAGAGCCCGCAAGCAGATTGCTCAAAGGGTCGTCTCTAGCCGGAGCATGCCACGACCTCCTCCAGCAAGGGCTCTTACAATCTGTTACATCGGGTCGACTTGCTGCGAGCCGCATCTGAGAAGCTTGCGCTCGGTGAGCTTGGTGGCACAGGGCACACAGAGCTCGAAGCGAAGTCCGGTTTGCTCAGGACACTGAGGACAAGCGTAGAACTGACAGGGCCAATTGCATGAAGCTCACAGATCACAAGCACACTACGAGCCACGAGCACCCTGATAAGCTTCGGATGCCTCATTGGACATGATGTATGCTTTCCTTGCAGGATTTACCGCATCAGGGACAATGGCACAGTGCGAAGAAGCGCTGTGCCCTCGGTAAACTTCCGCCAATGTGCTATCTCTCGCTCGCTCGCTCGCTCGCATCCGGGGCAAGGTCCGAAGACCCGGGCCGAGGCCCCCCCCTCCCTGTTTTGTTTGTGGGAGAGGGCTTTGGGGTCGAGAGCTAGGGGTTGTTTCCCCCCGGTCGGTGTGGCAGGTAGAGATCGCCTGGTGATGAAACCCCCCAAACCCTGTACTTCAGCCTGCATCCCGGCCTCATTGTGCTATCTCTCTCTCTCTCTCTCTCTCTCTCTCTCTCTCTTGCGGCCAAGCATCTTTCCAGGATCCTGCTTGAGCCTGATATCGAAGCTTAAGGAAGGCTGAAAGCCACACCGCCAAGGCCCCAAGGTCCCAACTCTTGAGCTTTTTTGAAAGATCCTGATCCTGCCACGAGGCGAAGCTTTACAGAGTCGCCGTTTCAAGTGCGGCCAGGGCCTGGGTCCTTGGCGCTGTCTGAAGCACCTCTGGAATCGGCGGAAAGCAACGAGACAGCACCCCCCTGGGGCCGTGCCATGGGCCGTGCCTCTACCGACGACGACAATTCCGCAGAGATCGCAAAGAACGCGGTGCAGATGGGGAGAGCCTCGGAGTTGCTTTCGGGTCTTTCCAGGAAACTGTATCGGTATCTCTGATAGGTCGGTTTTGCTCATAAGTCCCTGGCTCGGATAAGCGTTCTCCAGGCTTTGCCTTCGAATCAACATCCGATGCCTTAGCTGTCTTCGGCGGTCACCTCCCCAGCCTTCTGTCAAGGAGCCAAGCTAGGCAGCCAGACCTCACCTCTATAACTTACTTAGCTCAGCGCTGGCATTTCAGATAATGAGGATGAAAGCCGTCACCAGAGTACTTGCCTGATGTCCAGAGGAAATTGTGAAGAAAGACGGACGACAGAGTGAGAGAGAGCTAGAGACAGAGAGAAAAAGAGAGATAGACAGGGAGAGATGGGGTGAGAGACAGGCAAATTGAACGAACGCCGCAGACAGGATTGGAGAGGAGGCAAAGCAAGACACCGTGTCATGGAAGTTGCGCCGAATACGAGAAGCACACAGCGTGAGCCGGCCTTCACCTTGAAGAATTTCCAGAACATGGCACTGAATACAAAGCTCGAACCTCCCAGGATGCACACCGCTTTGCGAAGATTGCCGCTTGAACTGCATGCATGTACGTACCAGCTGTTTGCGGACAGTCAGGAACCTAACCACTGATTGTCCCTCCCGTCATGTGACTCCGAGAAATTAAGTTCCGGTTGTCCAAGCCACCATCATCATGAGCAACCCCATGGTTGTTGGTTGGGGTTTAGGGTCACAGCCCGTGTTTCCTCAACGAATTACAGCCGAGTCAGCCAAGTCGGCCTTCTTCCGCTCCGCTTACAGCGGCGGCAGTAGTAGAAGAAGCGTCCTTCTGAGGCGATTCTGCAGAGGCTCGTTCGAAGGCCACAATGGAAGATTTTCAAGGTTTCAGATAGAGCACATCAAATCTAGTCTAGAACCCCCAGACGCATCTGAACTCGTCTAAGACGGCTTGGTGATTTTTGCCTTGTCCGAACAGTGTCGAGTATTGCTCTCAGGGCTCCGGCTTCGCTGATGGTCAACGGAGTCTCATGATGAGTGTACATCGTATCCAGGGTCCATGATGTCCTCCCTTCCTTAAAACTGTTGTTGCTACATGCTGCGGTGCAGTCGCAGCAGCACAACTCTTAGCCATTAGAGACTCCCTCGCGGAACTTTCCGGGAACATCTCTTCTCACCGACGTTGCTGCTCCTTGCTATTTCCATCTGCCACGAAGACCCTCAGATTCTTAGATCATGTCACATCAACCTTCATGCAGTCATGCCCAGGGATGCAGCAGGTCCATCCGGCTTGTCAGCATCTGCCAAATTCATGCCGCAGTTATCGCAGCTCACCTGCTCCAGCGAATTCAGGGCTGCACACTTAGCCTCTTACCCAAGTGCGGACTGAAAGCACCGAACATCAAAGGCACAAGACAGCTTGGCGCTGTGACCTGCTCCACTTTGGCGATTCTTCGGATCCTCATCGAGTCGCCTTCCCGAATGAAAACACCTTCGAGGCTAGGGCCGCTAGGAGCCCAGGAGCACCTGTTCCTCCCAGCAGCTGCTCTGTGGCCGTCGGCTTGTCCCGCTTCTTCCCTCGGAAGCCGACCTGTCGGAACCATTGAACCATCAGGTAAAAAGCATTGCTGGTTGCATTGCCTGGGTCCGAATCTCGACAGCGGAGTTCTGTCTACAGTATGCAGCACTTTTCAAAGCTTGAATGTTCACATGCTCGCATGCCGTGTTGGCAGAAGCATCTACATCATCTACAATCTACAATCTACAGATCCGGGAACCCTGTCTAGGGTCCCGAGTTTCCGGAACAATGAATCCCCAGAGAGGTGCATGTTGCACCAACAAATCCGAGAATGGCTCGGACAGCTACAACTACAAACTGGGTAGCCACATGTCAGGTCGAGTGTTGACTCACCCGGCTCGCGCGACATGGGCACCTAAACTGTTCAGCTTTATTTCCTTCGCATGCCGATTTCCAGCAGGTACGAAGCGCGTGGGAAAGTACTCTGGGGTGTGAAAGTTGACGGCGCTGTGGGACTGGAACTGTTCACGGTATGTCGTCTGAAACCGCTCCTCCGGCGGAAGGTCAGTTGCTTCCTCTCCGGTGGCAACGACAGCACAAGGTGGCAGTGGCTTCAATACAGCAGGGATGCCATATCCGAAGCTGGGAGGCTCGCTCTTTGGCTTCGGCAAGATTCCGAGATCCCGCGATTTGCCCCTCTTGGAGCCACCGGTGCCGGTGGCGCTTCGCTCCGAAGTCTTTAGAGGCAGAGGACTGGGCGGCGAAGGCTCAGTGAGGTCCAGGCGATCCACGCGATGCTTCGCCTCGGGTTCTGCACACCTCGGAGCCTGTGCCGCAGCGGGAGCTGCCTGAGCCTGATCCTCCCAATCCTCGGCGACTTCGGGGGTCATCATGCCGTGGACAGTCATGGGCCCGCCAAAAGGCTGTGGAATCAACGGTTGCAGCTGTCTCTTCCGAGGCCCTTCCAGGAAACGATGCCGCCAAAGCTCGAAGTTCCCCATCCCCACTGCCGGCTTGCCGCGAAACGTCGATCCCCAATGCCGGTAGTAACGGGGTTGTGCAGGTTTTTGTGGCGCCTGAGGTGGCCGTATTCTGGCCCAGCTCTTGCTGGTGTCCATGCCCTCAGTCCGATTCACCGGCGTTCATGCCAGCTATCTCGATTCATGGAGCCTCACGCTGCAGTCTATGGAGGGCTCGAAGGTCGTGCAACACACTAGTGCAGGGACACATCACCCGTCGCAAAAGTGCAGCAGGGCCTCATAAGCATCACGCACTTTGCTGCATAGCACCATGTCATCCAAACGGCACTCGTACCTGGCAGGGATACAGGCCCAAGTGCCAGCAAATGCCAGCAAGGCCACCAGGACTCTGCACCGCTGCATAAGCCTCTAAGAAGTCTCCTGGCACAAGCGCCGCACACGAATCAAAGACTCGCCGTGGCCACTCCATCTCGTGACCCAGAGGCCAGTGTGCGGGCGCTCCAGCCCCGTACCTGAAGGACATTTGTGACACACGCTGCCCAACCTGACAGACTGCGAAAGAAGGCTGAGGAATCTTGCTTCGGCTTCTCTTCGTCGAGGAGCGATTCGTAAAACCTGCAATCTGCTCAGGCAAAACATTGAGCACAAAGCTTCATGAAGCCCGGAGTGTATACCGTGAGATGACAAATACTGCTGTGAAGGGCATTGGACATACTGCCGGCAAATCTATGACAGTTGACACACCCTTTCCAGCTGTTGCCAGGCTCACGTCATTCTGCTGGTGAGCCTGAAGAAGTTGATTTAAACAGGTCTACATGGTCTACTAGACCTGGTATGAATTCGACCGCTCGTTCCAACTCAGGTATCTGGTTTACCTGATGCTACTTTGTCAGCTCTCGTGTTTGACAAGCAGGTTTAGCTAAACTAGTTCGTGCCATGGCATTGACCCTGCATCTCAAAGTCAGTCACCTCAATTCGTCGAAGCTTGTAGGATACAGACAACTCAAACACAAACAAATCTAACTCACTCAAGAGCTCTATGTGATTCACAACTGATTGAACCCAGCCGAGGGGCTTAAGCAACGTTTTGTTCGCGAAATTGGCTCTTTATTTGTTCAAGCAGGTCAAACATTTGTTACTGTGACCGAAAATTCACTCGGTATCGATGTCCGCACTCGGTATCGATGTCCGCCATCGGCCGCAGCCCCGCCAACCGAATGTGCCGACCCAGGCAAGGCCCGGTAAGGCTGTTGAAACTGAAGACATCCGCTGACGCTCCCGAGCACCCAAGCAAGCAATGGAAACGGCTATCTGAGGGCGCCTGTCTGGATGGACATTCGAAGGAAACTGCCAGCCTTGGACTCCAAAACAAGGCTGGCGCGGCGTCAGATTTCCAACGCAAACTAAGGCTGGAACCTGAAAAAGTATTCGCCAAAAGCTTGGTCTTGTCTCGTGTCACACCTGGCTGTCCATCTGCACGGTGTAACCCGTTGCCAGGACCATACACAGATGCTCCGAAGAGTCTGCACCTGATCGAAGCCACGATCCCCAAGCCGGACCTTTCAGAAGAAAGCTCAGTTTGGGAAGTGGCAAGCAAGCATTGCAAATGAGCACGTGCTGCGCACAGAGCCTCTGCGGGAGGCTTCCTGCAAGTGCGGCGTGTAAGTTTGAGCCTGTTTAGCAATTGAGCTGTCCTTCTTGCCACTAGCCGGCTGCAGGGTCCTTAAGCACGTGCGTAAGATGGTAGGTAGAACCAACTCTAGAACAAGGAGGGACCGCCCAAGAGCCTGACAACGAGGCTTGGGGAAGCTGAGGAAGGTGAGGCTTGCCCTGAGCATACCAGACAGGGACTGCCATAGTCAGATTCGGGCAGGACGATAGCATGCAGTGTACCGTCGACACCTGAAGCAGCGCCGGCGATGATGCGGTCAGAGTCTGAGCCATCCGGTATTTGGCCTCGCCTACAGGCGTCCAAGACTGCAGGACTACTGCAACTTGCATCTCTCCCACAATAAGCCCATAGATGCTTTGGATGCCATTTCTTGCCATCCCCACGCCTGAAAATGGATTCGGATTCATGATGTTCAAGTCGCCGAAGCGAGAAAGCGGCGAGCGCCTGACATCTTCCGGCAGTCTTCCCAGACAAGCGAAACATGTTCAGCCGATCAGCATTGAACATAATACGCTAGCTGTCCGCTTGCAAGCCGCAATTCATCGATAGAGTCTGTGCTAAGACTGATTAAAGCTCCACAACCGAACTTCTTTGGACCAAATATGTTCCTGCCGAAGACAATTCCAAAAGCCGTTGCCGGAAGGTGCGCTCGGATCTGTTTGATCATCAACTTTATCGGCTTATGTTATGCTTTCGAAAAGCACGACGGTACTTCCGGCAACTGCATCTTACCTTGGTAAGCACAAACAAGAAACAGCAAACACATTAGTGCGCGCTTACTACCCATCGGTATCCACATGTATCTAGTAATGTGTGACTGTGCACATATCACGTCCCTGCATAAGAATGAGACCCGTCGCTGAGACCCCGGCTCGGGATGCTCCTCGAAGAATTCGACCCGAACAGCAGCTACCTGACAGGAATCGAACTAGGTATCACTGGCCCGAAACAGTACGGCGGCGCAAAAGTTGTGCGTGTATGCGTGTGTGTATATATATATATATATATATATGTAAGTATATACATACATACATACATACATACACTCATGACATTGATGGACTTGGATAGATGGATAGCTGCATAGACAGAGACTTGACAGGGAGACAGCGTGGTAGGTAGACAGACAGCTATGTATGCATGCATGTATAATATGTATATGTATATGTACATGTGTATGTGTACGCGTACGTGTACTGTATGTGTATGTGTATGGGTATGGGTGTGGGTGTGGGTATGGGGTATGCGAGAGTTTGTGAGTGTATGCACGTGTGTGTGTGTGTATGTGTGTGATTGTGTATGTACGACTCTATATTAATGTGTACGTGTGTGTAAGTATGTATGTTGTGTGCGTGTATGCCTGTACATGTGTGTGTGTGTGCATGGGTGTACGTGTATGTATGCGTGTGTGTACCCGTACGTACTGGTGTGTGTGGGATAAATGTGTGTGTGTGTATATATATATATATATATATAAGCATCTATATGTATATGTACATATGTGTTTGTGTATGTATGTGCGGCCGTATGCACGTGTGTATGTATCCAATCGTGCGAGAACGCATGTGAACTGTCACTCCCTGTTTCTCCTAATACATGAATACATACATACACCAATGTATGCATGCATGCAGCATAGCTTCGTCACCGACTGTACAGGTGTGCATGCTTGCTTTGCTTACTTACTTACCTACCTTCTGTACAGGCAGCCATGCGACAGACAGGCGGACAGACAGAAGCGAAAGGCTTGCAAATTCCACACCATGAAAGCAGGATTCCAGCTGCACTTGGAGCTCTGGGGTCTGAGCCATTTTCGTGCGAAGCTGATCGTCGGTTGGCGCCGTGGTCACCTGCCCGGCCTTCGTGAAACATTTTCTTGGGAGGAGAGATAGTCGTGCGGATGCGTGACAACACACTCACTGGAGGGTATTGCAAGCCAGTCTGGCGACTGCTCCGAATTTGCATTGTGGCAGGCATCAGTTGCACACCGCAAGGCTTCTCGCAAGACTGAGACTGAGAGAGGTTACGAAAGTATCAGAGGGAAATGGCGGGACATTTGACGGAAACTGTTGATGGCTGGTTGATGCACAGCCCACCCCATACTCTCTTGTCGCTGAACGCCTTGCTCCGCTGCGAGTTAGATGAGTTCGGCCTCACTTTGCTGCAACTTCAGGCTGATGCAAAACAGATCTCCGGGTGCTCCGGCTTTCGCTTCGTATTCCAAGAGTAATTCGTGACCTTCTTCTCGCCAAGCTTTGCATTGGCGGAAAGGTGATCCACCTGGGCTCAGGGTGCCCTGGCTGACGCCAAGGCCAAGATCCGGGCTGTGCTGGATCAAAGCCCCGAGATGCCAGCGAGGCCGCACTCGCCAGGTGCGATGTCCAAAGCAGCCTCAGGCCCCGGGCCAGGCCCTCCAGGCACTGGGATGGGGGGCCCTGGGCTGAGGTCCTTGCTGCCTTTCGACTTCTTTGCCAGGCGATCGGAACTTTCACTTCGAACTGCGACGGTAAAGGAGGAGTTCTTGCAATGTGGGGTCATGCCATGTGCTCACAGGAATCGCAAACCGTGCAGACTTGCCCTTTTGTGCGCTGCGGTCTACCTACTGTTCCTCCTCCTCCTCCTCCTCCTCCTCCTCCTCCTCGGGGTCCGTGTCCCTCAGCAACCCTGGGAGTAAGTCGAAGCCAAGCAGATCTCCATCCTCAGCCAGGCGGACTTAGTGCTGCTTGCAGGGTATCTGTATTGTCACCTCGACCTTCCGCGCGGCTCGATCGAGCAGCAGCGTTTTCAAGAACACACTCTGACTCTTTGCATGCCAGGGTGCACTCGAAGCCGGCGGCGGAGGTGGGTCCAGAAACCACTCACCTGAAAGCGGCGTGCGCTGGGTGGATCACCTATCCACCGAAGTTGCCCCGTCACCCGTCACCCTGCAGTGGAAATTTGCACATGGTCCTGGTGCCGTTGAACTGCTGCTACCTATTTCGGCGAGGCCTGAGGCGACTAGGCGACCATCCGGCTTTGACTTTGCAAGGTGCCAAAACTTTGGAACATCTCCGAAGCAACCCCGTGGGGCCCTGCAAATATTTCTTGCAAGGCCCGGGATCTTCACTCCAATTCTGCACGACCGAAACATCGTTTCGTGCGGCATGAAAAATGCATTGCTCTACCGATGTATCGTCACTCTGGGTGCTCAGTGTGTGAGTACGGGACCTGCACAGAGAACTGGGCTGCTGAATAGCAGCGCGCTCTCGCTTCCTCACACTGCCCCTCGAATCAATCCCCGGCCTCTTCTCGGGCCTTGGTACGAAAGCTGCAGCACAAGCAAAGAAGACATTCTCCCTGCGCTTCTCCCAGGTCACCGGCACTCTGCGTCTGTGAGCTTCAATGCACCTTGAAACGCAGAGTCTGGGCTTGGAGTTCTGACTGGTTTGCGATTCGGATTCCGAGCACGAACTATTGCCACTACACCATGTTATGAGGGTGTTGGAAGCACCGCTATCCCAACCAAAAGCATCCGCGGATGGCCTGCCAGGAACGCTAGCCAGCGAGGTAGATATGGACCAAAAGGATCCAGACCTGCTAACTGCTACGTCTGCTACGTGCTCCCAAGGCGAACTACTGGCCCTTGGCTGCTCGCTCCGGCCCTAAGGGGTTGGGCCTTGGCTCATCGGAACATGTCCACCATCAGGGATCACCAAGAGCAGGCTGAGGACTCCCACGGCCTTCCCGACGGGGCCGGGCAGTGACACTTCGGTTGCTACCACTACTACGAGACTGGCAGTAGCCGTAGTGATCTTGGAACGGTCCAAGTATGATGATGATGTAGTAGTAGTAGTAGTAGTAGTAGTAGTAGTAGTAGTAGTAGTAGTAGTAGTAGTAGTAGTAGTAGTAGGAAGAGGAGGAGCGATCTGAAAACATCTGCACAGTGCGCTGCCATTCAGGACTTCGCCCGATTTTGCTGGCCAGATTCGCAAAATCCAAAACTCTTCTGGAACTGCCTGCTTGGGTCCGTTTTGTGGGTGCACATGTTCAGACGCCCTTTCCTTCCATGACAACTGCGAGAGGGTATAAGCAAAGCAATAGCCTTAGGTCAGCTCTCTTGAAGATTTATTGTTGAGAAATTTGTGTTATTCAAACTGTTGCTATTATTAGTATTGTTGTTGCAACTAATATCATTACTACTGTTCTTATTATTGTTCGTGCAGCGGCCTGGGCTCGTTCCAGATTCGCAACCGCGTTCGAGACCGGAATGACTCTGTCCTCTGCAAAGATCGAAAACAGCATGTAGTGAGACCCACAAATAAAGCTTCGGCACCTTATGTTTCAGCGACATGGGATTCAAGATATGCTTCTGAAATCTTGGATATTTATGAACAACAAACGAAACCTGCGTGCATGTGCTCATTCCCTGCGATCCTGCCGTCCATGCCACAGCAGCAGAGGTACATCTCCAGCTGAAATCTGGCACTTCCGAGCGTGCCGCAGGGGTAACTCCCCAGCATGAGTCAAGTAGCTTGTCTACGAGTGCAACCACATGGATGAGCCTCTTTGACCAAATCGGGAGCAGGCGGAGCGGTGATGAGGCATTTCTGCGCTTTCATGTTCTTGGATGGTTCAGCAACGATGACCCTGACTACAGTGCCCAACATAAAAACTGAGACTGGCGATACCCTGCGATGCCGGCACTGCAGCGCAGCTGAGTCTCTTGATCGACATAGCTGCAATACCTTTCGACTGCAGGGGCCTAGTTACAGGTTTCGAGCAGCACGATGGCAAGAGCCAGCTACGTAGTCACTTGATAAAATTGCTGCGAGTGGAGCCTTGGTCGGTGGAGACTTGGGATATCTTGAGATTCTTCAGAGATTTGGGTGACCTACTGTCCATCGACGCTACAGCACGTTACTGAATCTTTTCTGGAACCATTTGGCTACATGACAAATTACTTTGCCGGTTGCTACGCAATGCAACTTCAAGCCAAAGCGCGCATCACCCCTCAAGGTCCCACTGATGGCCATGACTGCGCTGATGTTGGAGGGATATCCTTCATTGCCACTGTGGCCCTCCGAAGCGCCCTGGACATACCTGAAAGCGAACATCGTCGAAGAGGCGTGCGAAAGCACTCTGCTCGACTCAAGGAGCACCCATAGTAGAGGGCTGCTATGGCACCAGCAGAATCACCTGCAAGCACGCAAGCCGGGGCTTGTGTTGAGTGCAGAGCTTTAGTCAAGGCTGGAGCGGGATCGAAACAACCATTCCACAACTCCACAACCTGAATTAAGGACAGACTAGACCGTTCTCAACAAGAGGCTCCGATCACCCAACGAACCTGTGCAAAATTGGAACCAAAACGCCGGATCCGAAAACCACTCCCACCAATCCAAGAACCCCGAACCAAAGCGTCCCTGCCCACCCTCCTGCCCCACCACTACCCTCACCTGAGCTCCCGCACCCCAATCTACCGAACCAGCTACCCACAACCTCGTTTAGTCCCTTCGTCTTGCCGCGTCACGTCTAAACATGTCTAAACTTTACATGGAGCCTGGCTCATCTAGCCTAGACCTTAACCTGACCTGATGCTTGCCTAGCCTCCACTCACCTAGATTACGTAATTTTATCTTAACGTCGACCAGCCTACAACCTCCGAACCCAGGCCGGCAAGCAGGGCCCTAACCCCAGCCAATTGCCATCCAAACCCCAGCCAACCTACGCGCAGGCCTGAGCTCACCTGACCTGGCTTACCAACATTGCAATCCGACGCACAAAAACCTCGCCGAAGGTTGGCTGACCGACCCTGGACCCACACTGAGCACTAAGCTAGCCTAGCCAACCTAACCGAACGGTCCCTGTCTTAATCAAAACTACAACCTGACCCAACTATTCAACCAACAACCCGAAAACGACGCCTCCTTTATGAAACCAACCCTAATTACCAACTGACCCCACCACCTAAACGCAATCTATCTTCAGGGTATCCAGTAGATCCCCAATCTCTCGATACCCTCGATCCCAACCCCGCAGACCCAACCTAATCCCAGATTCCTACGTAAGCTAATGGAGCAGCGGTGCATTCGATGAAGTCCCATGTTACTCTGCTAGGCTGTGGCACCATGCCCGTGCATGTAATGCAATGACCTCCCAGCACAATGCGATTCACGTCGATTCGCCAGTCCTTCAGCAAATGATGGTCTATAACGTTGAGGCTCCTCTCCAATGATAGGCTGGCTCTGCAGTCCTGGGCCATCTTGTGCAAAAACCGCACAGCCGCACGCGCGTCCTCCTGCACCATTGAAACCTCAAAGGATGCAGGAGACTTGTCCAAGGAGATGGCCTCGGAGTCCACTGAGACCACAACGATGCGTATGGCTTTGTCCGGAGTCTTCGTAACCAAATCCATGGAAATCTGGCTGACCTCATGAATGCGAGAGCCCCACACGGACACGCACACACACACACACACGAACATTGAAGCTAGATCATCGCAAAGCAACGACTAAGATCCGGACCGGTATTTGCCGATAGTCGATGCTTGCTACCTAAGACATACATCCCCTGACATGGGCATATCATGCTATATCTGAAGACAGCTGCGATGCCCTTGTCTCCCTTTGTTCAGGCACTGGCCACATATCCGCGCTGGGCCAGCAGCATGGCTAGTTGTGGAATGGAATCACCATCCCGTCTTCCTTTCACTTTGCGTCGGGCTGTCAAAGCTAACTTGCTGGCAGCAAGAAGTCGCAAAAGCGAAGCTTTCCCGCCTGATGTGAAGTACCTTAGGCATTGAAATGTGCACTCGCATGCCCACCACGTTCACGCGTTGCAATGCACTCTGAAGTTCCAGCATTTCTCCACTCCAGTCCATCAATTCCACACATTCCGTTCTCGATACTGCGAAGAAGAGTCAGACAGAGTTGTTCAATGATTGCGAAGCTGTGACGTGCAAGCCATGCTTCAGAGAGCCAACGACAAATCACCTCCCGTCTCTCAATACTTCTCACATCCGCCCCCCCCACCCATCCAACGCGAGATGACATACAACGTAGAAGATTCATGAAGGTTCAGCACAGCAAAGCCAAGCCACCCGCCGTGCAGCAGTACAACTGCGGGGCGAACACGCCTCGTGTCAAGTCGTCCCGGAGTGTAGAGATCGAGGTATAGATCAGTGAACCTGCCTGCTCAGAAGCTTGTCGAGCGTTGAGTCTGAGTAAATAACTCGGTCGTCGTCGTATGTCGTCGTGGGTGTGCAAACGAAGAGTCCGCCTGCAAAAGGATTCATTGCGCCGCCATAGCCTCCAGGACTCTGACTGCCAGCAACGGGCTAAAAGCGGTAACCCGGTACGCGCGAGCACCCCCTGCAATGCTGGCAGAGCCGCGAAGGTTTCGGTGGATGTCCAGCTCGGCCAGGCTAAAGGTCGGCCTCTGCTGAACTCTTCGAACTAACTCTTGCTTGCACTCGGACAAGGCGCCGCAGCGCCCGCGCGCAACTAACTCTCTCTCTCTCTCTCTCTTGAGAGCGAAAGCAAGGGTATGCAAGGTTTTCCAGGCACTGAGTACTGGCCTGATGAAGCAGCTGGCCACGGGCAGCACCTTGTGAAACCACGACACCCTCGTGTCGAACTCGGCTGTTGGTATGCGGTCTGTCCCGTCCTGCCCGCCGAAGTCATAAGAGAGCTGCGGCAGCCTCGGGAATTGACTATTATCGATTTCAGAGCTCCCGTGCTGTAGTTAACAGCTTGGCTTTGCTGCTCAGATCTCTATGCCCCGCACCACAAAAATGCCGCGGCTGCAATGGCGGCGACGAGCAGAGTGCAGAGGACCAGCACCGCCACAGTGTTTACGATTTTCCAAGTGCCTTTGTTCCGGCTTGTCGCCGTATTTTACGTGGTGTGCATCGCTGACAGTACACTTCCCCTAAAACATACTAGTAACTCAACGACAAGGACAGCAAAGCAGGAGGATGTCGACGGCTAGAACGATCGCAGAGTCGTATGCGGCCGGCCATGAGACAAGAGTACGCAGACGAAAAATACCTACGGCAACAACAGTAACGGTAGCAGGCAGGACGATGCATATATTGCTGTCGAAATCTCATACTGCTACATACAGGCAGAACGAGATCTCAAGACAAACTGTATGCTTCCACAGGACAACGTCGTTGTTGCACTCGACCTGCTGGATGATGGCACACGTCCGCATCGAAGTCGTCATCCACCAACTTCAACTCATCATGCCTGCTACTTCAGGAACTTGCTCTCACAGAAGGCAAGATGCAGCAGACCCAATGACGTTTACAAAGCTCAAAAGAGGCTGAAAAAAGGCAGCTCTACCGGTTCTATGGTACAGGCCGGACAAAGCCCCGGGGTCGGATCCGAGTCCGAGCGAGTCGAGACCCTGCCTCGCTGCCGCCATGAGCTTTGTGGCGTGTGCAGCGTGCTAAACGCGCTGGGCCGCGCTGGGCAACCAACAGGCGCAAACTTTTCGACTCAACCTGGTGTGTCGCGAAGTCGACTTTCTTTGGATGGATAGAGTTATTGCTCGTTCCATGTCGAGAAACTGCATCAGCCGCTCGGTCTGCATGAATCTGCTTATTGTTTCGGGTCTGTGGCGGCAGCTTTGGCTTATAAAGCTGCGACGTGGAGCCACGAGGGCACACGCTCATCATGCCCTTCCCTCTCCTCTCCCTCTCGCACCCACTTTGTGAAAGCTATCAGCTATCATCATGGGATGTATGTTCAGGGCACAGACAGCACTTGGGGCCGTGCGATATCCTGCGAGGAACTGCGTCACTTCGTCGGCAAACGGAGGCTGCAGAAGGAGTAGTAAAAGGAGCAAAGGAAACCTTGGCCGACTGTCGCCTCGATTCCTCGAACTCGATGTCCGGGATGGTACTTCGTTAGAAGAGCCTGCAGACTCGATCACATCGACGTGACGTCAGACTACATTATTGAGAGATCACAAGATGATGTGATGTGCACCCGGGACTTTAATCAAAAGCTCGTAAACCGTTGATATATCCGTTCGGCCATAGACTTGCGACTTCGGCAATAAGTGGGGTGTGGAAGTTCAGCACAATCAGCACACACACACACACACCTTGATGACTTTTCTCAGGCTGCGCATGCATGACAGATGGAATTAGGAAACGTTTGAGAGCAAAACCAATTAAAATGTCGCATTCTCAGCAAGTTCGCTCGTCAGTACAAACTCTACGAACCTCGTATGCTGAGCCTTCGGCTTGTGCGGCTGACGAAACAACAACTGAGGCAAAGGCACGAAAGACTGCCCTTTTGCGGATGTCAGGAAATAGCTGTGCTTCTCGAAGCACAGTCTCGATTGCGATGGTGATCTGCAGCTGTGGGCATTGTGGACTCGAGTTGGGCAGCGGAGCATGGCAAGATTGCGCCTCTCGCGCTTCCCGATTTTCAGGATGCGCTGCTGGCGAAAACTTTGTTTCCCACAGCCTCTGCAATGTCGATTCAAAAGGCCCCATTCGTGATAGCTCCCGACACTGCTGACATGTCTTCACAAGGATCTGGCATGTACTGTTGTTCAACACTCAATCGGCCCATGCGCCAGTCGACCTTGGCCAGATATCAGCATTGAGGGCATCTCAATCCGGCCATCTGGTGCTGCGACTGCTCGGAGGTATCCAGGTTGCCAGCCAACTGCTTGGTCGTCCATGCCTCGTCACACAGACAGCATCTTCTGTGAAGCCTACAACTTGCGGATGCCGCGCTTCAGTGCAGAGGTTTCCTGTTGTCGTATGTTGAACTTAGGAGGACACCCCCAATGCAAATCCGTTCTCCGTGAAGTGGCCACGGGGAACCTCAGCAGTCTTGCTGGATGCAAGCTACTACGCTAACAAGAAGTGCTTCAGAGTCCGGCATAAGGATCTCCGTTGTTGTCCTCCCAGGCCAAGAGTTGCAGGCTCACATGCTAGGGGATGACATCATGAGAGACAAGAGTGAAAGTCCCAAGCATAAGGTTTTCTTGCCTTTCTCAGCAAAACATGGCAAAATGTGCTTTCGCGATAGGCGCTCAATATGCGCCATGGAGCGGACGGATGGAGCGGACGGGGAAGGCGTCTGATAGGAAAGTGGGGCGAAAAACGACAACAACCTCGCAGCTACAGTCGACCCCAAAGCCGCTTCTTCCTTCCTCTTCGAGTACGAAAAAACGTTGGCTGGGGCAAAAGCGCAATGGCCCGCTTGCTCCTGCTGCACCTCCTTCTGTACCGGCTGCTGGCGGCGCTAGCGTCGACATCACCCCGACTCACGCCAGGTGCCCGTTCCTATGAACAGCCACGAGCATGTTCCCAGAACCCTACACTCCTACAACTGACGCGCATTTCTCAGCAGATCCCGGGAAGGTAAGAACTCCATCGGCAAGAGCGCCTGCAACAGTGCTCGAATAGATGAAACAGGTTGAGGTCTGCCCCGGTGCAATGTTTACCGGACCGGCAGGTTTTCATCTTTTGGTTGGCCGGTCACAGGCCGTCCATCGCAGTAGCTGTTCCAGTGGGCAGTCCAACTTCACCGCGACCGACACGGGTTTCCCAGCTGGACTTTCACGTACCTTTCGGCTCTGGGAGCGAGCCTCGGCACCAGGAACTGGAGGCCCGAGCGCTATGGTGTTTCAATTTGTGGAAGATGGGAGGCTTGGACATCGGACATAGCAGACACAGCACTTGTTTAAAGAAGGCCCAGCGGGTAGGGTGTCGCCCAAAAAACAGAGCTGTTGTTGTGAAGTTGCATGCACACCTAGACTCCAGACGCGAGGCCGAGGAGACGGCACAAGGCACTGAGGCGCTCACCCGACTCACCCTGCTACGCACAGGAAACAAGATCTCTGACTCCTCGACATGCTTCTCGAACGCAGCCAGCCCCTCCGAGAAACTTCTGGCATCCTGGTGTTTCTGGTCGTCCCGGCTGCCCTACAACCTTGCACGTCAGCTCCGGCTATTGCCTCCTGGTTCACGTCAAGGCCACGCTGCATAAGAAGCTCCTTCCTTTGGTCGCTGAGTGTTCCAGACCCTTGGCAAGGACAAATAACACATGGCGCGATGCCAAGTAAGCAAAATGCCAAGACACAGACACAGATTCTGTGAGATTTAGGACGCGGGCGCCACTCCAGAAACTGTTGAGCCACCCATCGGCCTTCGACTGGCCCCACAGATTGCCAGGACATGAAACCAAACCAGCGGCCGACCGCAAATGCCTACCGGCTCGCCATGGACCGTGGCAGTGACTGGCACATGCAGGCTGACAGGCTCCTTCAGGCCATACCCATACTGACACTCTTGGAGCGCCGACGCGAAGTCCTTCATGGACTCTTTGTAGGCCATCAGATGCCCGAACATCAGGTCCCAGCCTGAAAGCCACGTGTATGCACCGGCTCAGCGCTTGGAACCTCTGCTCCCTTTGGGACGCGGCTGTCTGCGGCCGAAGTCACAGCTTCATTCACCACCTCCACAGCTGGGAGCTAGCAAAACTGTTGTGCACTCGCATGCCGTCTGAGGCAAATGCCTTCAGCAAGCTCACCTCATGCGCCGCACCGCTTTGGCAAACGCTTTGAGTGCGCAAGCCATGGCCTTTGCAACTTTCTTGTCAGCAATCTCCACCACATCTCGAAGTGCAGTCGGCAAGTCCTGCAGCTCCAGTCCAAGCATGCGAACAGACAGAAACTCCCAGACAAGAGGGTCTTTCCACATCAGTGGTCTTCCAAGGCGGCCACGGGCCTGGGCACAGATTGAGCAAATAAGCACAGCAGCGCCCTGATTTAGAAGTCGAACATCTATCAATGAGCAGACTAGAAACGACTGTGGTCTCCTTGTGCTAGGGCCGTGGCAACAGCTGCACGCCGCAATGCTTCCTGGATCCGAGAATCATGCCTGCAGACGTGAAGTCAAATCGCTGCACATCCCTTCCTGGGAGCCCTGACATGATCTGACATGGAGTTTCGTAGGCAGATTTACTTTCAACATGAAGTGGCCGGCCGGCTTTTTCTGGGACAGACTTCAGTAGTTCAGCGAATGTCTGGGAGGGAGGTGTACTGCACGAAAACCGTTCGGCCGCCCTGCCGCCCAGAGCCAAATCATAGTAATTAAGTTGCCCCTCCCTCTTCCACTGCTGCAGACGGGCTGCTGCGACAACGCTCGCCAAGCTGCTGTTGGGGCCTGAGGCCGTCATGAAGCTGGAGTCCAACACGTTCCAGCAGTACAACTGTACAACTCCCTAAGGAAGTTCCTGGCGTCTTTCTTTCTTCTCAGAGCTTGTGGCAAATCGATGGCGCATGCTGACTACCTTCTGCCAGAAGCTCAGCCCAGCAGGAAGTTCGCAGCCTCCTGAAAGGGCGGTACAGACACTGCAAACACTTTTTTGCTGAGCGGAAACATGCAACTGGTTGCTGGGTCCTGGCCTCCGCATTACCGCCCGCAGCTTCCAAAGCAGACTTTGCTGCATCTGCATCGAAGCCCAAAGCCATCAGTTCTGCCACCGCCTACGCACGAGATCTTCCATGAAGGTCTTTGCTAGTCATCTTCGGCTACGTGTTCTAATGGTACTGCAGCAGCAATACACAGACGCTGGCTCATCCGGAGACATGCAAATTGCAGATACAGACATGCAGTTCGACGCAGGAAAGCTGTTGTGCGAGCGTACAACTGGGCCCACGGAATGTCGTGTACGTTGTGGATGCTTCTCACGTTCATACGCTCACAACGAACTTGTCAATTCTGATACGAGAACCGCAGGCAAGTCTGGAAAAGCTTCGGACAGCCTCCTCCGAGATGCTCGGTGCCGCACCCGAGGCCAGAAGCTCCTCTCAGCGAAGTCACCGGAAGTCAGCTTCACGACACGATGAAGCTGATCGGCCTCTACTCCAACTTTGCACAGGGCCATCCTCATGGGCACAAGGGTGCTGAAAGTTTGGGCCATACGTCATCGATGCAGGACTCCCATCTCAATACACTCCGAATGGCATGTTGAATCGCATCGGATCCGGAGACACGTTCATGTATCTCTCCCCTGAGCGGTGAATCGAAAGTCTAGTCTGGAAGTGTTGTTGCATGAAGCCTCGCATGCACCTCGCATGCGCTTGCGCTGTTTCATACAAGCTGCGAATCACCGTCACAGTCGCAGTCAAGAAATCGCCACCATGGTCTCCCGTGTTTCCGCGAACAACAGGCTTGGCTTTGCAGCCATCAAGCCTTTGTTGGTGGGATTTTGAGCCGTTCAGTATTGCAAACCACCCCTGTAGCAGCGACTGTCCGAGGCAAACAAGGTCAACTCCACCAGCCGTGCAACTCGACCACAAGCCCGTCGATGCACACGAAGACAATGAAATGTAAATCCTTGTTCGTGGCCTTAGCTTGATCGTGGCCTGGGAGATCATTTCTTGCTTGGCACATGAGGTGCTTCGTGCATCCGCGAGATCACTATGCCCAACACTGCCAAGACACATGCCCACTGGACGCCTCACCTCTGAAACATTTGCTACGTCTTGAATGCCTTTAAAGATCGAAAGCTTCCAGAATCCATGTGCAGAGAAATCACTTTCCCGTTCTGCTTCAGTATGTGCGGCTTCAATGGCAACATCTTCCTCCAGCATCGTGCCCAGATCTTCACTAGTCATCCCCTCCTCAGCACAAGTTCGAGTGAAACAGTTCCAAGCGCCGGCCCGCTGAGACATGGACCTTGTAGTTCACGAGGAAGCGCTCCAGCCAAGATCCTTCAGCGTCTTCCGTGCTCGAAGCTTGGAAAGGTGCCAGAAACACGTTAACTTGGATCTGTCTTGGCAGCTGCACACTCTGCAAAGCAAGGCAGGACTAAGATGTCGAGTCGGTGCGTTCCACAGAGCATCTTGCGTGCTGAGGGAGTCCTTCTGCAGCCAAGGCATCTGAATGTCTGCAGAGGTTCGCCATGGCATGCACAACGGCAATAGTTCCACAGGCATTGCCGATGAGCTGCTTCCTCTGAATGGCAACCGGCACACATGGACAACAACTACAAGAGTCACCTTCCTGGCCCGACTCCACACAAGCATGCAGCAAGGTGACATATGAAGCACACCCGATGGTGGCGCGGTCGTCACCTTCTCCGAAGCACCCGACATGTGATGGAGGCGGTACTGAGCTTATGAAGACACTTTCGTCCCTCGGGTGATCCAGAAGCCCCAAGGCCCCAAGATCAAGCTGAGAGACCGCAGAGAGGCGCTCGGTCTCTTCCGCAGCTGCAAGCTCCTTGCCTGACACAACACATGTCTGCAACGAGTTGAATTTACCACACCAAAACCTGACCTTGAGGGAAGAGCAAAAAGACTGCCCTGGTCGGACGAGGAATCATCCTCAGCAGCGAAACAGGACGCATGTGCCCTGTACAAACCCCCAGAGGTAAGCCGAGCTTCTGAAGGGCCCAAGGCTCAAGTGATAAGAGCTCATGCACCTCGTACTGGCTGTCGAATCCCAATTTCGTCAGATACTTGCCAACCTGACGGGTTGCGGACTATTTGCAGCAGCTTTCTGCACAGAGCAGAACATATTTATGTTGCGACTTAATTTTAGCCGGGTAACCACCTTTGGGTTGGATTCAAGAGGCATCCATCGCTTTCGTTTCTTCACCTGCTGCAGTCTCGAGCTGCCAAACACCCGCAAGCTGCGCCCGAAAGGCTCGACTTCAGACCCGAGCGACCCGAGCCTTTGTCAGCTCCGCGGCTTCCGAAGTCGCGGCCTCGGCCTCCGGTAGCAGAGCTTGTCAGCACTGGCACTTCTGAAACAGCCAGGGGCCCGTGCCATTGATGCCACGGCTACAACCGACACGGCATCAGGGAAGGCAAGCTGTGCGTCTCCACTTTATTTCGATAGACAAGTGCGACTAAGGCCAATGCAATGATTACTCGCCAGTCGCTCTAGCAATTGCAGCCGTCGCAGTGTCATTTTGAAGCTGATTTTGAATGTCATGAAACCGAGAGTTTCTGCAGATGCTTCTAGTCTTCAAACGCACCATGCAACCAACTGCTTGCGGGCAAAGGCATCTTTTGTTGGGGCATGATTGTCGCGATTCACATCTGGATCCATCGCTCGAATGCATCCGAGCTCACTCGTCGCATCGGTCCTGTACAGCCAGCCAGTGGGGCGCCGGTCGTATGTGGGCATCGGTCTCGCCACCAGACGTGCCCAGCCCTGCAACGTGCGTTTGTTCAAAGTGCTTCCGAAGCTTTGGAGAACTTCTCGACCACCACGGAATCCAGTTCGAGATGAAATCCGCTGACCTCGGATCGGTAGCGACAGCAAACTTGCGGCTTTTCAGGCACTGTATGCTTGCAATGAGGAGCAACGATCCGGCTGCATGTTCCCTAGGAAAAAGAGAACGCCCCACGCTGTCTCTGTGTGTGTGTCCGTGTATTTACATCCGGTTCAAACTCAGCACGTATATACCTACGGTAGTGCGCAGCATGCATTATGTAATAACAGGCGATCAGACGCTCGAAGACTCGAAGAACTCAACTTTTTCGATGCCCCGAGGGATTAATTGCTTCAGCTTGAGGCAACGGCATCCCTAGCCAGCAGCTGTGGCATGGGAACTTTCATTGAGCCGATTGGCATGCGGGCCTGCTAGCAGAGGGATGAGGTGAAACGTTATGTCTTAGAGGTGAAACAGACATGTGAAACTGTGTGACACTCTGCAAAGGGCGCTACGGCGTACTCGGCTGCGTCAAAACAAGCCCTTGGCGTTGGAAGCTCTGGCCTGGAACCCGAAAGATGAGAGTCAGAGTCAAAGAATGTCCAAGCGCCCAGATATCACAAGAACGGCCTCCAGCTGGCTCATGGATGTGGAGCATCCTAGCGGGGTTCGCCGCTGCGAACCTTCAGGATGTGCTGGGTTGGGGGTGATCCCTCATGCTGCATGATGCTTCATGCTTCAGCTGGATGATACTACGAGAAGTCCACTCTTGCGGAACATTGTAAGGAGCCTGTCGGGCACTGAAACTTTTCAGACAGTGGCGCAAGCCCAAGTGGCCGATGGCTTCAACTTGGCATGCCGAGGCGCCTGTCATAAGACGGCCAGCAGAAACCGTCGAGCCGGCCCGGGAAGCTGGCAACCCTTCGTTGAGCGACACCTAGGAGCCGGTTTCAGAGAGCTAAGCGGGCTCTGCATGGCTAGGCCATGCTAGGCCCGTCGAAATGGCCCCCTGCCTGAGCCGGTGTCTTCGGGGCAACTTTGCTGTGGTTGTCCTCAGTCGCCCCACAGCATGTCCCGTGATTTCGGTTTGCTCGACTCTGCCTCTGCAAGGCTGCCGGGCTTCGATGGCCTTCCAGATGTTCTTCATGCGAATATCGGCATTCCATGCTGTTGCCAAGGCTTCTTTGTCGTACGCCTTCTTGGCGCCTGAAGATGGAAGCATGGAAGATTATGGAAGTATGGCAACCGCAAGCAGCCAGTAAGGTCGATCGAGCGGCGCTCTGCATCACGCAGCATGGCCAGCTCCTCGCGGTTGGCCTCGCACGGCTTGCTCCAAGGTCCCCGTCTGACAGTCATGCAGTCATGCAGCGATGGACAAAGGCACTAGCGACGCCTGGAGCTGATTTAGCTCCAGAGAGAGGTCTTTTTGCTTGGCCAGGTTGCCTCAGGATTCCGCACCCAAGGGGCAAGCTGCATGGCTCAGATTCACGAAAGTCTCAAATCCGTCAAAGCTGCGGAGAGTGTTGTTTGTTCTGACTTGCTCGTCTAGAGCTTGCCGGACCTTCGCCTGCGGACATCTTCCACCGGAGTTCTCTGAACTCGGCAGATTGGCAGCAGGAAATGCGGAGAGCGGTTCGCCTGCTGCCCTTTGATGAAGTCCTTCATCTCGTTCGGATGCACTTCCGAGAAAGCTGGAAAGTCATGCGCAGACGCCGCTTCAATATCTTCTTTCCTGTGTGCAAGGCAAAGATGCCAGGACTACGGCTAAGCCATCTTCTTCCGCTTTCATTGGGCCTCTGCTCTTTTCGTTTGTGCTCTCCCAGCGCCATTTGGTGCTTCAGGAACTGCAGGTTCATATGGTTCCTTGCCCGGAAATTGAGCAAGCCTGCTAACTCAGAGATAAGATGTACCAACATCTTTGTTTGGGCTCCGTCCTTTCTTTGCGTGCCTGGATCTCGTCCCGCTCTTGCAGCAAGCACTCCTCGGACATGAAAGCCGCGGAACCGTGAACTGTTGCAGTGTGACGGGGCACGCTTCCGGGTTCGACAGGGTACTGCAACAAGACCAAGCGGCGCTGACATGGCTGTCCCACGCCTCCTGCACATGAGGAACATGTGTCAGATTCTCGGTAATTATACATTCTACAACTCAGTCAGGGTCGAGTTATACAAGCTCCCTCGTGACTGTGAGCTGCAAGCTCAACAGGGTGGGTGGGTGAGGCACATGCAACCTTTTCGCTGCCTCCTCGGGCCTACCGCCATACAAGCAAGCATGAGCTCCACACGTCCCACCATGAAAGGCTCCTTCTCCGCCACTGCCTCGACAGCATGCGCCTGAAGGCAGCTTCGTGACGCTTCGTGGCCACGAGGCAGGGATGGAGCGGCTCTGAAACCGGCCTCCATGGCCGCAATGTGCCTGTCCATTGCCTCTTTGAAGGCGATTTCTTTCCTTGTCTGTCTGATTTCAAGCTGTTCTAAAGAAGAAAATAATGGAGGCTACAAGTAGCTGCTATCTGTTCGACGAATGTGCGCCTTATCCAATCCTTATTTATCCCATGCTCGGCCCAGGCGCTTGAACTGCGTTCCCGTCAGCCCCGGAGCACTCTCCGACTTTTGCAGCGGCTCTGCGCCTCGCCAGGGTGGTCGAAATGAGGGAGTCCAGTCCCCCTTTGGGCCCTTTGGACCCCTTTGACGCTGAGACCCAGGCCAACGCTGGGCATGGCTCTCTGGGTACCGCCGTCGAAGCCCTGCACATCCGGCCTTGAAGACCGCTGCGTATACGCTGCAAGACGGCAAGTCTTGGCGAGATCCCACGAGATCTTGATTATCCGATACCCAACACAGCACATGTGATGTCGAGTAGCAGAACCATTGTCGGCTGCTCATCTGCTCCCGTTCTTCCTTGCGCTACTCCAGCGCATGCGATACCATTGAATGTCCAAATGCTGCCGCTTCTGCATGCAACTTGAAAGAACGCTACCTCCAGGCATCACGCCCAGGCTCGCAGCCTTCACACAAGAGACATCTGTTGCAAAATCGTACAGCAAGCACATCATCCCAACTTTGTGTCGTCCCGACCTCTGGGGACGGCTCCTTCTGGAAGCTCGGGGTGGCTCTGGAAGTGCCTCCGCGCGAAGGCGGGGTAAGTCCCTCCTGTCAGGTGTGTGAGGTGCAAGACTTGAAGAGCTGCAACATCAGGAGTCCTGTCTGTAGAACTCCTGGGCGAAAAGGAAACGAAGATCCCGATCTTTGCACACGAACCTGTTCTGCACGTTCGAGCCCCAATCCATTTTCAGCTCTGGAGCTGCGGACAGTTGAAAAATCTGGCCCTCCCGCCTCCCCACATCGCCAAATGCCAAGTCGAGCTCCCTCCAGGACGGTTCGGACTTCATCGGGGGTCTGACACCGGAGCGGAAGCCCGCCTACCATCTGCAGCGCTCTCACCAATGCGCTGCACCAGTGCCCGGAGCATGGTAAAGACCTCTGCAAGGAACATAAAGTATGGAGTGCCGAGAGACGAGCGACACGCTGCCTGGTCCTTGGTGAGGTTGGAGAACTTCAAAGCAGCCTCTATCGGACGCTATCGACACGAGGTTCTCCAAGTTCAATGCGATCCCAGCCTTGCTAAAGTTGAAGTCCTCGAACGCGCAAAGCTCAGGCGCTGGGGTCTTGCGAGATTCAGACAGGTAGGCGCGGATGAACCTTGGAAACGTGCGGTGGGATCAGCCAAAGGCCACGAAGCACGAGCTCGTGTAGTTGTGACCACTGCAGCACAGCAGCGAGTCAGAGAACTGGACATGCGGCCTATACGTCGTCTTGCCTGCAACAGTGTCAAAACGATGGGCAAGACGGCGGTGCAACATGGAGCCAATCGTCGTGCCGGCCGTGCCTAGCTTCTTTTGCAGAGACCAGCCGAGCTTGCAAAAGCTGCTAAGCTGGAGTCCTCGCCTGAGGGGCATCTTCACAGAAGCAGATCTCTACGCCCTTGTTTTAGAAAGATTCGGGACGCCTCTGCTCCAGGCATGACCTAACATAGGCTGCATAGGCTGCCCAGGCCTGTCAAGGCTGTGAACTAGAAGCTCAAATGCTACCGATGTACTCTCTGGACCTTGCCCGGCCTCCTGGTAGTCCCGTGCAGAGTCACTGCCCTCCTGACGCCGGAGGAGACATGAGGAGACGTGGACGTAGACAGCGAATCTCCAGCAAAAAAGGCACTCAACAGCGGACGCCCTGAGGCCGTCCTTCGTGCCGAGCCTGCCTCGCCTCTGGATGATGTCTTGGACAAGTCCATCGAAGGTGAGCATGCCCTCGGAGAGCCGCCATCACCCTCTATCCGCCACTGATCAACACCAGAGATGAAGAAGCCAAAAGAAGCTAATTACTGCTAAACCCAACTCACGATTCAAACCCGCCTGAGAAGCCAAGTCGCTGCAGTTCGCGGGATGCCTGCCTATTACGTGGACATCCAGCTCGAGCCGAGACATGGCAGCGCAGCAAATCGTTCACAGATTCCCCTGAATTCGGCCTACGGACTGTCCAGTACGCACCCGGATCATGAATATCCGAGCAGTCATGAATCGCGCTGAGAGCCTGGCTCACCCTGAGCATGGTTCCATCTTCCTCCCTTTGCATGCCTCCAGTGTGCACGGGGGTGAAGCACCGAATTCCGAAGTGCTGCTTTCCACACCTCAGAACATCTTGGCAGCGAAGGGTTCGCAACGGCACGACTCAAGACGAGTCAAGCCTTCGACATGAGCAGAGGAAAGTATGTCTAGGACAACTGCTTGACCAAGTGGTCTGGGCCTCATGAGCGACGGCTCGGAGTCAGTGGGCGACGGCTTCCATAAAACTCGCTGTTCCCGTGCAGGCCGGAGTAACGAGCCGGGGCTTGCCTCCCAGCTCCTCCCAAGCCCTAGACGAACCCGATGCACGGAGCCTGCTACTTTGCGGTGCTGCCGTCGAATCTCGTCAAGCCGTTGATAGCGAGGCCATGTATCCAGACACGTGTGTCGCGGAGGATCGATGCTGGCTCCGTTTGCTTCCCCTACCTGCCTGCACTGAGCCTAGATGCATCGTGAGGATTGTGCGGTTACATGCTCTGCCAGTCGCAGTACGTCTGTCATGTCTGTCACACAGCCGAGCAGGCACGAAAAGATGCGATCGGAGGTTCCGATACAGTTCGGAGTACACAATGGTCGGCTTGGGACCCTACAGATCCAGATCCGCCGAGGACCAGGATGTACCTCAGCACACGCAGCGCGCAGTGCATTGCCGTTACAGATATCAGCCGTGCTGCCGGCCCTGCCGACTTCTTGCGGGCTTTGAAGGACAAGCGCCCCAGAGCCTGGACAGCTGGACAACGTACAAAGACAGGCAGCAGCTTCGTTACTGCTATGCCCCACAGAACCACTTCAGGGCAGCACATATCAGGCTTTGCTGAAGAGACGTCAGTCCGACAACCAATTGTGACATGAGGAGATGGATGCTGCCGACCGTCGGCAGCATGGTGGGTGGATGGGGAAACATGCAAAGGCGCACTCTCAAATATTCTCAACTTCCAGAAACCAACTTGCCTGCGGCCCTTGGTTTTGTGAAGCCTCCTTTCGTCGTGGCTTCTAGACACCGGGAAGTCGATGGACACTCGCTTCAGTGGACACAGCGATACGTATGCAAGGAAGCATGCAAAGCATCGCCAATGAGTATGATGATGCAGATAACAAGAGAATCGTCGTCGCCGTAGCAGGAGCAATAGCAGCAATAACACACACAACAACATTTGTAGTACATAGCTGACATGGCTTATACAAACTGCATACACGAACTTGCAAATGTCGCAATAACCAAAAACGACAGAAGATTGTAACAACAAGCGCAGGAAGAATATTGCTGCATGTACATCTCTTGTATACACAACTTAAAACAATTCGTGAAGCCCTGAACTTAAACCCGAAGACTCCAACGTCAAGCCCCCAGCCGCAACCCTGAACTGATCCTAGATCCCTTGACCACAAATTCTAATTTCAACAACCCAAACATGCAGGCAAAGAGCCCAAACACGAACTCTGGGGCAGGGAAGGGAGCTGCGGCGAAAGGGGATGTCGGCAGAAGTTATCGGAGTGCACAAACAATGTGAAAGTGTCGCCAAAGCTCAGGAAGACAAACCAGTGAACCAAGTTCAACTAGCCAGACTTCCAAAAGCCTGCAGAGCCAAACCGATGACAGCAGCGACAACAACAACAACAACAACAACAACCACAGCAGCAGCAGCAACAGCAACAGCGACAGCAACAGCCACAGCCAGAGCCACAGCCAAAGCCAAAGCCGCAGCTACAGCCACAGCCACAGCCACAGCAACAACAACAAAAGCAACACCAAGGAGAACAAGAACAGCCGCCAGAGTAGCAGTTGTAGCAACACCAGAGGCACCACACGCACTAGACATGTCGCGATGCCACGCATCGAGAGATCAGCTAGCCGGCCCAGATCAAATGGCATGAACTACGCAGCTGCTGTCTCTGCTGCCAGCTGTAGCGAGCTGCAGCTTCATTATGCCCCGCAAACCAGCGAGCCTGCAGCAAATAGGATGGGTCAAGCTCATTCCCGGCAACAAGAAGGGCATCCGGGGTGTCCTGCACATTGACAGACGACATCTACACGGCGGTGCCAGATGCGCCAACGCTCGTGCTTGCACCAAGCTCCGTCTCGTTAAAGTATGCAAAACCGTGCATGCACCCTCGCTCCTCTCCAGTCCGCGCTTGCACCTGCAAAGCTGTCAGCCATGAGTATTCTCACGGTATCCATCCTGTGGCCTTGACAGCATCGCCAACCCGCTTTTGCACCTGCAACGGGATCTCTGCATCGGAGTTGCTGCACAAGGTTGCAGTGAAGGCTACCGAGCCTCGCCATTCAGGTACTCCACCTGAGATACCATCCAAAATTTTAAGACAAGGAAGGCCCCTAGATGGGCTTGAGGTTGCAATGGCACGTGTAGACACACGTCCGCTCAAGTGCAGCTGCGGGGCGGCTTTGGCCGATCCGCCACCAGCAGCTGCCGGAATTGCCTCGCGTAGACATTGAGTTGCTGCTGTACGACCAACTTAACGGCAAGGGGTTCGGAAGTCCGACAGCCTACCATGTCGATGTCGAACCTTCCTTGAAAAGTACCACAGCTCCCGGCGTTACCCAAGCTTCCTTGCTCACCTATCTGCTCGAACGAAACTGTCACATGTCGCAGTTCGGCGGCCTCGACTTCGCGGATGCCCCATGCACTGAGCTCCGCCAAGCCCTGCACCAGACCATCTCCCGACGCTGGCAGCCTGGCGTGCGACTGTTGTAAGAAAGGTCGTGATGGGCGGCCGCCTATAAAAAGCTGGGATCTGCAGCTGCTCGACTCATCACGAGAGGGCAGAATGCTGCATAACATCTCACATATATGACGAGATTGTTGCAGATCCTTCATTTTGTGTGACACCGCCGCACGGAGGTACATACTGCGTCGTTAGCTTTCTTTACGTAACCCGGAGGTTATGATGCAGTTTGTGAACCCTGATGCTCCAAAGTCGCGCTCATGTGTGCCGGTCCGGTCGTGTGGAGATTGAATACCCTTTGACTAATCATGGGAACACTGCGAGCTCTCGGTGCCGGGCGCCACCAGCTTCAGGGGAACGGTAAGTCCCAGCCTCTTTGCCTTGGAGTTCGTGAGTTATGATATGGTGTCATGACATGGAGTTGACGAGGTCCACGATGTTGCGGTGGTGGGCCTGTTCTGTCGACACGCGGAAGACTTCTGGTCCACCAGGTCCGCCAGGGCGGGCAACCACCTGGAGTGGCAACTCGAGTGAGCCGTGATTTGGAGCGATCACTCCCGTAGACCTTGTAGGTCGGCACTCCGGGCCTGAGCCATGGAAAGCCATGCTGCTTTGCACTGCAGTGCTCTCACATCTGTGTGTCACACACATCCATCGTTGCTTCCTGCCGGGGTTGCCAAACGTGCTGTGCAAGAAGTGACGGTGGCTGCTGGTCCTCGAGTCCCCTGATTGGTTCAGGCTCTAGAGACTGGCCCGAAATGAAGACGGACTGGAGCACCTTCACCTCGGAGCAGTCCGACGAAAGAAGCTCTTTCGGCTGGCTCTTGTAAGGCAGTGGCTCGAAATGCATTCTCCCAATTCATGACCACCTCAGCTCTGCTTGCACATGCACTGAACCACCTTCCCGATGATCCCGAATGCTCAGTGCGGTAGCAACAGCAGCGGCAACAACCGCCATCACCGCCAACGCAATCGGACACAGCAGGTGTTGACGAGAGGCTTTCTCGGCATCCTTGTCGGCACCCAGCGCAGCATGTGCCATCTCGCACACGAGCAAGTTCAGTAGCCTTCGTTGCTGCACTAAGGTGCAGAATTCGTCCAACATGGTCGAGTCCATGTGAGATCATGTGAGTATTCTCCCAGTGTCAACAGGGGTGCGTGCTGAACTCTGGCCAGGTTGCTGCGCGCGGCTTCGGCGATGAGCCCTCACGAAGTGCATGACATCGGAGTAACCGCCTCACAAATCTTTGTCTGGCATGCTGAGTCACGCTTTTATATGCTTCGCGCTGCCAGCTAACAGGTGCAGGTGGGCCTACCATCACCAATCCGGAACACTGGGACATGGCCTGCCAAGAATACTCACCAGGACATCGTTGGATAACATCTTTGTGGGGCGCAGTTGGACCACCAAAACCAGCAAATAAAATAGGATGACAGCCACGACCGCAGAAGACATGCACCATCCATTGATGTACTCTTGCGGGCTGAGTTGGGAGCTCCTTGGCCTCTACTCTCGTACTCTATCCGCGGATGATGAGTGACTCTGCGGCACTAGATCTGGCAGTGTCTCGTTGCCCTTCTGACTCATTGCGGAAGTGCCGAGCAGAGACAATGATACATGCACATTTCACATTCTGTTGTTGGAGTGTCGTCCTCACACAGACACGCGGCTTGGACGAGCCGGAAGCAGGCAAGAACAAGTGGGGCATCATGGCTTTTGGAATCCTATCTAGTGCGAACCACAAGACACGATTCGGAGATGTTTTCAGGCGTTACAATCCGTTACAAATAAGGGAGGGAGAGAGAGAGAGAGAGAGAGAGAGAGAGAGAGAGACGGAGGGAGAGAGAGACGGAGGGAGGGAGGGAGGGAGGTTTCCAGGCCCCCCCTATGTAGTCGAACCTACTCAAGAAGTCAGACACGAGTGAGACATGGTGTTGCACGTCCCAATCTGGTCAAAGAAACACAAAGGAAGAGAGGTGTATCTCGGATTCAGCGCTGCGAAAACAAAAACATGTCGAACGACAGGCACTACAACCACAAGAACCTGCACGAGCTTGTCGGTTCCGTCTCCACCAGGTTCTATACGCATCACGAAGAGACCGTCTCCTCAACACAATGCTGATCGCAGGAGCACAAACGCATGGAATCCGATACGTGGTGTCTGCTGAGATGGCCTGCTATAGCCTTGTACCTCGCTTCGGTTTCTTGCACCATGTCCTGGGCAGTTGAGCACGCATCCAGGGGTCAAGCTGTGCAGTAGCAGCAGCATGCTCGACCAAGCGTTGCTCAGTTTCACGCCGATGGCACCAGCACAAGTACACGAAAAGGGCGCATAGTCACCCTCGATCGATGTCACATCTACAATCTACACGATAACAGATGCTCATTCATGGCATCAGTTGCCTCCGCAACAAGCAACAGCTGGCATCGGCGGGCATGCCGTCAGTTGGATAGTGCTGAATAAGGGGCACACTTGGACCAGTGCTCCTATGCAGGGGTTCCAGTTAACCCTTCGTGTGACGAGGTTCGTGCACATAAAACTGAACCGTTTAGAATCGACTGTCCTTGACCACCTGCGCTCCGACTGCACCGTCTCCTAGCCTGGCAACCGGGCTCTCGACATGGAGTGACAGTATCCCTAGGCCTAGGCAGTTCATTAGAAGCGACGAGGGCAGCGCCCTGTGGGCAAAATCGCGGTGAGCCGGCGAAGGCTCAGCCTGCGGCCCGCAGCTAAACAAGCAACAAATACAAGGAGCTCAGTCCCTCTCGTTCATTTTCGTTCCGCCTGCGGCAGCTTACCTTCCCTCTTCCCGATTTTGCGATGACAGTCTTGCGACTCACCAGCCTCAATCCTTGAAGAATCTTGTGCACAGCGGATCGATGAATCCTGCGGAGGTGCTGTCACGTTGAATCTCGATGGTTGCATGACATGTCAGCCTGAGCACCATGTGGCCGTCTCCTCTGCAGCTCCGGAGGAATCGGACCCGGTGACCTGAAAGTGTACCGAATCTGCCAACTGACGGTGCTGCTGCTGCATTCCTCGGCTTCCTAGCCTGTTGGTCCGCTCAAGCTTGAGGTCGTCCTCGAATGTCGAGTCCTGGAACGCCACCCTTACAGTGTCAGGGTCTCGTGCGTTCGGCTGGCGCCTTCGGAAGCTGCATGTGAGGAAGCTCCTGGGTCCGAGCTCGGGTGGCTGCATGCACAGACACAAGCACGGCCAAACAAACAAACACAGCAGCGCCAACAGTGTCTTGCCACAACGGCTGTATGACCCAAGCTCGTGGCCACATCAACCTTGACGACGCCATGTCGAAGAACCTTGCTCCTTCGATGGTCAAGCCGATAAGCATCTGCTAGACTGCGAACAAACCAAGCCACCGATGCGCCTCGCTCTCGGCCATTGCGACGGAGTTTGCAGGGAGCTCACCTAGCATGCACCGAAGATTCGAGCACGGGATTACGCAAACTGCACTGCATAGTGGGCAGAAGTATCGACTAAGTGCCTTGACGCTGGCTGAAGAGCTGGAACTGGAAATCCAAGATGGGCCTGCCCACTCCAGCGACATGAAATCCAGTCCTGACTCAGGCAACCCACAAGCTGCCTTGGCAGGCAAGAGCAGCGGCCGCCTTCAGATATGCTAAACAACTTCACCCAACTAATCACAACTGCAGCACACTTTGAGGATCCGGCGGCGGCAGCCAGCCACTTGCTCCCCGGAAATAGCCTGCAGTGACCGGCCGGGCTCAGGAGGCGATCAGCATCGAATCATCGGCTTTGTTTTGCCCTGCAGAGCAGAGTCGCCTCTTCATTCGATGCTCCACCGGGTCTCCACGACCAGCCTGGGCGATCCAGCACGATGCCTCCACCGCCGTAGGAGCGCCCAGACAAGTCTCGCAGCCAAGCTGCGTGATGCTGCGAAGCGCTCGCAGCCCCCATGGCTATCGCTCAGTGGCTTCAAGAATCGCGCTTCGAGTCTACAGGCCCTTGGCCTGTTTACAGAACACAAAACAAAAACACAACTCACTGAACGCTCACCAACTAGATATTCACCCCCGAAGGCTTCGGGCACTCTACTCCCTTGTGGATTTTGCACTCCTTGGCTTCTTCTAAGTCTAAATGATGGGGTGAAGACGACTTTCTGCTGCTGCCGGATGGAAGGTGCACAAGCGGTCGGCGGCTGCTTCAGCCAGCTGGTGCCCGTCGCTTCATGCGCAGACGACGCAAGAGCAGGGGTTGCACCAGGTCTGTTGTTGGAGCCTTGGTCCGACGACCATCAGTGCAAGACATATTTGCAGATGGGACAACCAGGCCGTGGGCTTCGAACAGCAGCGACCTCACATGCTGGAATTGGAATCGTAAAGGCCGACGCAGAGCAGCCGAGCCAATAGCAGAGGTCTGACAGACATGTTGCTCTCAACCTCTCACAGGGAAGCACTTGTGCAATTGTGCACTGCTGTCGCGTATTCGAACATCAAGCATCGGCCTCGTGTCGTCCAACACCTTTGTGTGTCGGAGGGCTGATATCAAGACCAATACAACTCCTACTGCTGTCTCCAGCCCGCGATGTAGCGTTCGAAAATTCGAAACTGCTCTGTTTTGGCAAAAGAGTGTAGAAGAGGTGATGTGACAAAAGAAACGACACCTCTATCCCTGCATCGAACAGCTACATGCTTGGGGAAAGTTCACCTCACCACGCAAGAAGAGATGTGAAGAAGGAGCGCATTCAATGAGTTGAGCGTGTTGTCTGGCTCCGATCAAGACAGCCAAGGGAATTCTGCAGGTTGTGGCATGTTGTGGCTTCTCTGCAGCTGCCCGGGCTGAGCTGTCACTGCGGTTTCCCCAGATGTCAGCCTTTGATTTTTGCCGGTCAGCTAAACAATGAATCGACTCAGCGCAAGGTCACGCACAGTGCAAGCCCAATGTACGAGTCACAACTCACAACCCCCACCCCAAACTAGCCCAAGCCCCTGCTACTTCACATGTGTACCTGTGTTGTCAAGCAAGTTGAAAATCATATGTTTTGCACAACTCATCTCGCATCTCGCAATGCTCCCTGCAAGTGACTGGCATTGCAGTGCTCATTAGAATTGCCACGTGACATGACGTGCTTGAAACTCAGCAGGCTGCCGAGAACCAGTGGTATGTTGTTCACCGCCAGTAGCACCAGCCCAGGCCGCAATTCATCAAAAATCGAGGCGCAACTGCCTCCAGAGCAACTTCCAGCACAACTTCTTCCAGCACCGGTCGTTCGGGAAAGCTTGAGGGAAGGTCTGAGACGAACAAGTATGCGGCGTGTCAAGCCTAATGCGTGCACAATTTCGGTGACATGCCAATCCTGGCACAACTCCAGAAAGAACTGGGAGTGCCATGGACCAGTCGACCTCAGCAAACTTTGCACAACGACTCGAGTCACAGCAAAACGCTGTAGCGGCTCCTGAGTATGCCGAGCCTCGCACGACGAGCCCCATGGGAAACTCTCCTGGCTGGAAATCCACCTCCAGCTCATCAAAGGATGCAAAAAACACCATCCCTAGGCGACCTCGTGGACATGGTGGTGCCTCTACAAAGCCTTGGTCCATCTCCATTTTGCGCTTGCGTGAGGCATCTGGAGGAGGCCGAGCCTCATCTGAGCCCCGCCCGTACAGATCGGAGTCATTTTGCGCTTTTGACTCTTGAGCTGGGCACTCTGTTTATGATGGCATTCATTGGCAGCCTCGCGGGACTTGTGAAGTCGCACCGATCCACTCAGTCGCATACTTGCACATCCGGCACACTATAGAGCATGTCCACGTCTGTCTCCGGACGATGTAAGGCTCAAGTTTTGCAAGAAGCTTCTCATTATGGTAAAGGCTCAGCGCATCTACTATGGTCTACAATGGTACTTGTCAGTGGGGAACGTCTTCATAAGAGTCTTTGAATCATCCGGAATCTAAATCTTGTGTTACAAGTCTCTTCAGTTTTAGGTAATCTCGCATCCGTAAATTCAGCTGCGAGCGTCGCATGCCCTGGTCCTCCGTGTACAACATGCATCTGGGAATCACTTTGGCTAGGGAGGCAAAGGCAACAAGCTCGGGCAATAAGCCCGAGATGATGCAAACGCACGTACACAGTACCGTGATAAAGCAGGGGCCTGAGTTCTCCATGCTTTCGCCTCGCATGGAAGCACGGCACTGACCTTTCCTCTCGCCTTGGCTAAGCAAAATGCTCCGGCCTGGGCGGCTCTTGGACATCAGGAGAGATGGGCTTCACCTCAGAACTCAGAACCGACTGTGCTCCTACTGCTCCTGTGCACAGCCCGCATACCCAGCTTTTTCTGGCAAGGCACGGTGCCCTTCGGTGGAGGTGGTGCCGCCACCAAGGCAGTTGGAGCCGCCATGCTGTCTGCTGTAGAAGAGCAAATGCTACGATGACGAGATGCGGGGAGGTGTGTGGACAAATCTCACGGCGGGACGCGGGACAGCATCAATGCTCATAGTGCCCCAAGCAACCTGAGCCTCTGTTGGATGATGTTGGCTGCTTTCATGTTTTTCGCACGTGCTCGACATGTTCAACTCTTGTGGCTGTGGCACCCTCGCACTGCTGCTTAGCAGCGTGCTGGGTGCTTCTTGGGCCACCAAGGCCACGTCACCATGGACAGGTGGCGGATAGTGGCGGAAGGCGTGCGAAAGAAGCATGAACGACTGACGACAAACGGCCACCTCTGGAGCGAGGGGGTGCGATGAGGGCCAGGGGCCCCTGCGTGTGCAACCACCTCGGCACAGGAAGAAGCACACTCCCTTGACGTCGCGAAGCTCTTCGAGACCGTTGGACCATGTTCCTTCTCAGTCTCGGGATTTTCGAAGGCCTGAACGCATCATTTCCGGGCCTGATGTTGGCCTCGAAATGACTACCCTCGGTGGACACAGCGTGTCACTATGAGTTTTCTGCCGCGTCCAGTTTAGTGTCGACAGTCTGAAGAATCCCGCCAGTACATAGGGTGAAGGATTTTGGCCGCGCTCTTAGAAGACTGCGAACAACAGCTTCTGTCTGAGAGCCACCATGAAAGATTAGATGAGCTGTGTAAGGTAATGTCTATGCCCACGTGACCCAAGCCAGAGCTTTTTGAGACTTCTCTTGCACGCCGATACCTTGCAGGTTCCCGGCCTGACCCGCAGGCGGTCAGACCTACAATCCAAAGCCCCCGTGCTTAAGGGCACTCGAATGTACTCTTGCCCACACCTTTATCTCCAACTGCGGAACAGACATCCCAAAATAGACTCAAGGGTTCTGCTAGCATCCCTCTGAGTCTCCGGCATCCCTGACATAGCTTAGCTCCGTCTGTCCTCAAGGAGGGCAAAATTCTCGAACCTTGCCCGCCTCGCCGCTCTCGCAGCTACGCTGCATCCGCAAATACATAAGTCGTCCTGCTGAAAGCTCGCGCTCGAGTCGCTCGTTCTCCAATTGGAGTCTTTCGCAGTTGGCCTCTGCGCCATGGAAAGAAGGAAGCAAAACCAAAGAGCAGTCTCATCTCGGTCTGCGACCTCCAGAAGTCGAAGCTTCTCCTCGGCCGTCTCCTCAGAAAAGGCGCTTCGGCGCAGCTCCGGTGCTCCAAAGGGCGGAGAACTGGGTGCCCACACGGGCTGGGTCTTTGCAAGTTCGGCCTCAAGCAAGAGCACCACGACTTGTACAGCACCCGGAGTGCAAAAGCATTCCGCTGAACTGCCGATGTCAAAAAGTGTATCTCATCCTGGCTCCGGGCAATTCGCCTCTCCTGCGTTTGCGCTCTGATGTGTCGCGGAAGTGCATTGATTTCATCGGCTCTAGGGCCCGGTTGCAGCTGGGACCTTTTTGCGGCAAGATGGCGGGTTGGCAGTCGCACCAAGCTCATTCTGCTGCGAGTTCACTCAGCTCGTCATCTTTCTCACCGGCTCCTACTAGGGATTTTATCAGTCGCTGGAAGCGAAAAGCTTAAGAGATCTGCGCGTCCAAAGCCGAGGCCCGGGCCTCCCGAAGGGCCCCGAATCACATGAAGGACTGCCGCGGGGGTGGACCGCCTCCGCCGCCTTTTTGCTCTGCATGGCTCTGCAAGGAATCGCGGCAGTGGAGTTGCAGAGACGCAGGATCTAAGGCGAAGGCCGTGGTAGTAGGGTGGAGGGCGTCGGTACGGAGGCGGGGGATGTCGGTAGTATCCTCCACGACATGTTCCACAGAGGTCTTCGAGTCTCGGTTCCAGACTCAAGAACAGAAGGAGCGGCCTGGAGGCGGTGGCGGGGGATAGCCTCTCTGCACCGGGACACGGAATCATGCTACGATCTGCTGACATGCAATTCTGACAGCCCGAGAAAGTCACCGTAGCCACCACCTCAGCAATTCACGCATGCTTGCTCCGTTCACGGCTTGCCTGCTTTGCTCTTGCGCTCACTGCAACCAGCAGCCCGCCTTTCCCACCACCTTTGTATGGAGCTGGAGCGGGAGCGGCCGCAGCAGCCGGAGCTTCTTCGGCTTCTGCTTCTTGGTCCGCAGTAGCTTCTGCCTGCAGCTGCTTCGCTGCTGCTAAGAGGAATGCACCAAGAATTGGAAGGATATGGAAGGATACTGGGGAATTCTCGAATGCTCCACCTCCGACTTCTCTTTCAATTTCTTCTCGACCACATGGCCAGCAGCCCCTCCAGCAGCAGCGCCCATGAGACCGGCCATTTTGCAGTTCATGTTGCAGAGCTCCTGCGTCTGAGGCATTTGAGCAATTCTCCCGCACAAGGAAAAAAACGGGCGGCGACGAAGGTTCCTTTTCGATGTAGTTCAACTGTTTCTGCATCTTCGCTTCAGGCTCCTGACATGGCAAACGTCAAGGCTGGTTCCTCCCATCTTCGCATGCATCGCCAGCGCCTTCACCTCATCAGCTTCCTTCTCCTCCTTCTCGGAGCCGAAAGGCATTAGATTCATTGGGTTCATCGCACCCAGCATGCCTCCCAAAGAGCCTCCTTGGTTATGGGAGCTGTGCCGCACCTAATCTTCGCTTTGGCCCGGCCCGGGTTCCGGACCTATGCCGCCAGGACATTTGGACCTCGAGAAGAGAGCAAGTCTTTTTGAACACACGGCGGGAATCTCGTGCGCCATGTCTGAAACCCAGTGCCCAACGCACACAGCATGAAGGCGCCCATGCCGCCCGCAGCCGCACCGACACCAGCTCCCAGCGACATAAAGGAAGTGTGTTCCTGTTGGACGCCAGTACTTGCGCACTCAGTGAGCCCGTATGCAATGAGTGAGCAGGTATGCAGCAAGACCCGTAAACACAGTAGAAATGGAAACGATGCAATGGACACACTTGCCTCCACATCTGAAACAAGGAGTCCATCTTCTGTTAGCCTGGATTGCACCAGCGCATACATCAGGAAGCTCCTGAGCCGTGCTCGGTGTGAGCAAAAGGCCGTTCTATTCAGTCATCCAGTCAAGTCAACTCTCAGGCAGCAGCTCATGCACGAAACAACACCGAGGCTGCAGAAGCCCCCGTGTTGGAGAGCTTTGGAGAGCGCAGGGCCCCTTTGAGCTACACTCAGCTCTCCACGTTTTGACTTTGGGCCGAAAAGACGAAAGCCGCATTGAGCTAGAGAGAGCTGGAGGGGAAGAGAGAGACAGAGAGAGAGCGTCATTAAGGGAGAATGAAAAATGAATGAATGAGTGAGTGAATGAGTGAGTGAGTGAGCGAATGAATGAAGCCATGAATCCATGAAGAGAGGAGGCAAGAAAGGAAGGAAAGAGTTCATGAATGAACGAATGACCAATTGAATGAATGGACGGATGAACCCTGGGCAGGAGAACTGTGCATTCACAACTCACAGAAATGCACAACTAGTACGAGTACTGCAAGAATCGTCCTCGACACCTGCTTGATGAGAGCTCCGTTCCTAGGTATGCAGGCCAGAATCAGGGATGGTCATGGCTCTGCAGCGCTTGCATGTAGTGATCTCGTCTTCTTTCCTGGAGGAAAGGGAGGGTGCGCTGCCTTACACTCGCGAGGTGGATGTGGATGTGTTTTCACATGTTTTCATTCAAACTTCGACAAACAGCTCCACGTCTTGCCAGAAGGATTTCATGGTCTTCACCCGCCTCCCACTCCCTTCACGCAGAGAGCCTCGAAGCTTTGCAACCTTCTTCAATGCGCCGACAAGATCTCCATTCTGCAATAACTACGCCGAGGCAGAGCATTCTCAGGAGAAGTGAGAAGGCTCCGTGGTGCAGTGACCGACCCCTGCTATGCCGCAGCTGAAGCATTTCGCTTAAATTAAAGCATCCAATCTGCCCGGCTCTTCTTCTTCGCGTTCTGGCCCGCTCTATCACTCGTGCCTTGCGTTCTGGAGACAGGAATGCCCGTGCATCCTTGCAAGCAGAGGCACGGTTCCCATCTGAATAGGAAAATGGATCCGCAAACCGTCTCACATCGCAGCAGTCGGTGTAGCATCGGAGCCACAGCGAGTGGACCATGTTCAACGTGCGAAGTGGCAAATTGATAATTGTTCGCGGGGACCGTCCGTGCGCGCACCGATATGCCAACTGGATCCAACTGGCACATGCATACATGAAGATTGTCAGCTAGGAGTGATGCCGGTCAGCCAGCAAATTGAACCTTCCGATAATTGCTATACTCAAAGTTACTAGTTCGGCTACATTTCGGCCTCTCTACTTCTCTCTCTGCTGCAGACAAAACGCAACACAGTCTTCAGAAGCTAAGGTCGTGTCCAAGCGCTGACTCTCACGGCGAAGCTTCGTGGCTTCCTCCTGAGAAATGCAAGGAGGCAACGAGAAGACAAAGAGAGCAACATGTTCACAAGAAGAGAATTCCAGCCGCTAAGGACCTGCATGCGCCGGATCCACTGCTGATGCCTTCCGTGATAGAGACCCATTCATACTAGCAAGCACTTCACTGCTGCCCGGTCCCGAAAAGGCAACAACATCACAAGATCCCCATCCGGCTATCCCTCGGCTTACACACCGTACAACTTTTGCGGGCCCCGATGGTCGAATGCATAGGAGTTATGAGTCATATATACAAGAACAGTCTGATTCATCTCGCCCAGCGCATACACTTCCGTAGTTCAAGGCTCTCGCATCTGTCGCTGAACACACGTCAAAGCTCGGCACAAGAGACTGCTAACCTGCTTCCGATGTGCCTCTAGGTAAGTCTCGTATGTTCTGATCCAGTTAATTGGCTACATGTTGAAACTGGGAGGATCACGCGGTCATGCACCCTCCCATACAGCACAATCACTGGAATGCAACCACTTGCCAAAGCTCCCGCCCTCTCTGTCTCTCTCAGCCACTGCATTGAAGATCGTGTTTCCAGCATCCCTGTGACGGATTATGGCTCTATACTGCACGAGCTTGTACAGCGTGGCTCTTTGTCCAGCAAGACGGCACCCAAGCACTGAATCACGCCAACCTGTTCTATCCCCTATCCGGACGGATGTGTTGGGCAACTGGATGTCGGTGAGGATACATAGCGGAGAATGCAATCACGGAACCTCATGCACGGAGCTGCCTCTGCCGCCTGTCTCGCAGCTCTGCATTCACAGCGGTGGCCTGAAGAGAAGCCACCTTTCCGGCTCAGGCTTGCCGTAGGCTAGGTTGTCACACCGAGTGGCCAGACAGTGTGCCTTGATGTGCTTGTCGGCTTCACGAAGCTCCTCTCTCAAGCCTGCCACCTTCACGAGTTTGGCTTTTGGTGATTCTTGAATTTTCGGCTTTGACATGGGTTCCATGCTGCATGCGGTATGCAGTGCTCATCGCAGTGCCTCTGCTTGAAGCGCTTCATTTCGAGACTTAGCCTTTGCCAGAAACACAATGAGCTGGATTTGCAAAGAGCATCGCATGTTCCGGGCATCCGACGGCCAGGTCCTCAGCCCGGGCAGTAGCATCTTCCCGAGATGCCTTTGCGTGCGGCAAATCCTATCTGCAAGACTACAATCGAGAAGTAGCCTGAACAGACAAAAGTCTGTTAAAGCGTCCGCAGTCCTTTTGACAGTACACGTTAGCAATCCTTTGTGCACTAACCCTAGCAGGCATACACCATACTTTGGAACCCCCGTGGCAGTATGTGCCAGTAGCAACAGGGTCACAGCGCCTCCTGAAGCTCCGTCCGAGGTGTTGAAGAAGGAGCCTCGCCAAGATCGCTCACGAAATCGCAGGCCTGTGCTCCGTTTCCCTGTGCTGCGCCCCTGCCTGAAGCTGCCGTGGCCGTGACGAGGTGCGACTCGTCCGGCTGCGAGGACCTGCTTGAGACACCTCGGTCGAACAGGTTCCAATTCCTTCGCATCGACCGACGCCTTCCACGTTTCTGGGGCCTGGCCTTGGAACCAGCGTGGCCTGTTGGTTCGCAAGACCTGCTTGATCGAGACCTCGCCGCATTGCAAGCTTCTCCGAGGCTTCTCCCCTTACCAGGCTTGCCAGCTGTGCTGAGGTCAAATGTCTTAACGCTTCTGCGTGAATCATCCTGAAGCACTTCAGGAAACACTTGTAGCAAGAGCGTCCTTTTATTGCAAAGATGCGAAGGGGCATATTCCTTGGCTGCTGGACCACCGCTGACGTTTTGCCAGCAGATGCCAACAGCAAGAACATTAGAAGTACAGGGGCGCACCGCCCGCAGGCCATCAAAGACATGGCGTCTGCTCGTTATGTAGTTTGTACAACAATCACTGCCAGCTTTCGGCAGCACCTACGGCCTAATCTGTTTTGCTCAACGCCTGTGACTCTGGCAGGTCTAGTCTAGCGAACCTGATCTTCTGACAGACAATGACAGCTGCACATAAGCACGGTATACCGCGATGTGCGTATGTGCACGAGCAGATACATACTTGCACATGTTTACTTCCGGATGTCATTGTCATCGATGGTCCATCAGCAGCTGGAGCTGATACTTACAACTTACAACTACCACGAACCTACGATGACGATCGAAGCAAAGTAACGAAAGGCCCAATTTAAGAAATTGAAGAAACGATGGAATCAAATTGAAGCAGCAGAACAAAGGTGTGCTTTTGCCCACTTCCTACTATTATTGTTCTTTCTGTAGGCATTCTTTTAAAAGCGGAATGAACGGAAAAGGATGCACATGCTCATTGTAATACCAGCACAAGTCAGCACAAGCACGAAACTCATGATGAAACTTCGGGCCTTTTCGCTGGACCCAGACTTTGAGAATCAATGCCAAACAAAGCAGCGTCAGGTTGACCTGTTGCGTTGTCGCATTTCGCACAAGAAGCATGCTTACAACAGTCTCTACCTTGCTGTTTAGTGATGGTGCTTTGACTGACCTGCGCGAGGCATAAAGGCGGAGCACATTGGAGCAATCCTGTTTCATTGGCGGCTCGGTCCCACTGGCCGAGGTCTTAGAGGCACTCCGGTGGCGGTGCAGTGTCGGCACAGACTGGGATGCACCAGGGTCCAGGCGTCGCCACAGCGGTTCGAGCAGTCTGCTCGCGTGTCAAGATCGCTGTCAAAGGAGATAGCGCCTCTGCGGTCTGCGGATGCTTCACGGAAGGAAGCCGTCGCGAATAAACAACGCTTTCTTCGAGCTCCGGCTGCCTTCTCAAGAAGTGCCTCTAGCTCGGAGTCGAGAGTCTCAAAGCGGAACCGCTCCTTCGCCGCAGCCCTAAACACCTTACAGCTCGATTTTCTGCTCCCAGCGTCGGAGTCCTCATCCTGAAGACATCCCAGCAAGGCATCTTTGATTCGTATCTGCGAATGGCCAACACCGCAGCGTCTTGCACTGCTACAACGCTACAAGATGCCACAGCGTAGCCCTTCGGAGGCGGATGCCTGATGGCGAAGCGCCGAGATCTGCAAGTCCTTCGACTGCAGCCTTGGCTCTGAGTTGCTGCGCCCTGGCCGTAACACCTCTTTGGTTCGGCCTTTCTACAGTCTTCCGAGTTCCGGACTCCCCGATGAGATCGCGAAGCTTCGAGGCACGCCGCTCTAACAAAGCCTCGCACTCCACACTTCCAACTTCCAACTCTCATCCAGTTCTGCAAAGCTCTGGTTTCCCCTCCTGCTGTTGCTTCATGTCGATCTGCACGGCCTGGACCACCTGCACAAGGCAGTGCCACGCTGTCGAGGACTCTCCCGGACCCCTCCTTTGCTGTTCGAGGTCCACAGGCCCGCAGACCAGGGCCTCCGATTGCATCGATGCTCGGGCGTCCATGTCCAGCGACGCCTCGAACTCAGATCTGAGGCACGTACTGGGCTATAAAACACTCAGTGACTTTGAACCCAACAGGAATGACAGAAACATAAAATGTCCGGGGCTCGGCATGCTAGGCATGCGGATCGTTGCGTGCTGAGCACCTTGCCCCTTGCGCCTTTGCATCGACATTCACGCTCGCCTCAAGGCTGTTTGCGAGCGTAAGTTAAAGTTAGCCTGCTTGCAACATCTTGCAACCAACGCTGACAATCAAAGAAGCGCGAGCGAGAGAAGAGGCCCCAACAAGCGCACCTGTTTCGCAGCCTGGGCAACATTCTTGCGGCCGGGCAGTGAAAGGTTAGCGGCTCGGAAGTGATGCATCGAGCTGGTCTAGAGCTTAAGGCAAAAGCTGCTTTCCAGAGTGGAACTCCCCGAGGCTTCGCCCCCAGTGTCACCGGTGCCTGGCCAACGCCAGAGACTTTTTTCTCGACTTGGACATGTGTTCCGGCACGGTGGCGGACCTGCAACCCACAAAACATCCTCTGCCCTTGCAGAAGGTGTCGGCACTCGCCTTGGAAGAGACTCGTCTTGCCGTGAGCTTGTGCTGGCAGCTGCCAGCGCTTCGCTTCTTGGCTCAAGACGAAGCGTTGGGCGACACGAGCGGTGACAGTACCTTCCACACGTCAGCGGCGCTGCGCGAGGCTTCATCACATAACGTGAGCAAATATGCACCTCTTTGGGTACGTCCAAGCTCATGGTCTTCGACCTTGTGACTGCAGCGACTCTAGTCGATGTCCCGCGCCTCGAGCATCGGACCTCGTAGGCGATCCTCGTGTACTCCTGGTCCTTGGAACTGGCCTACAAGTGGCCACAGAAAAGTCAGAGTAAAAGGCCTTGTGCCTCGGAGGATGCTCAACATCTCACATGCTTACACCTTGCCTCGCTATGCGAGGCTTTTCTCTGCGCGATGCCTTGGAATTCCAGAATTCCTCGTCTTGATGCGAGACATGGTGGGAAAAGCTGGGGGGGCTGCAGCAGAATTCCCTCCGGAGGAGCCTCCTTCCCACGCGGAGACGTAGTGGCCAGATAAATCGCAAGACGACATCTTAGACCTGGAGGACTTCGCGGTGCAGGCGTGGTGCCGGTTCCAGAGCTTGCTGTTGAAGCCTGCATGCCCATGTCTGAGACATAAAACTGGGACTCCTTGGTTCCACGCCTTGGCCCTGGCACTGAGCTCCTCATGCCAAGGGCTCTCCGTGCTCAGCTCGGCATGCACTCCACTTACTCCGCCCATCCTAGATTTCTCGGCACACGTCCCAGAGCCCGCTGGGCGGGCACAAGTATGCTACCAGTAGCCAATGAAATACGGGCACGTCACCGACAACACAGCACAGCTCGTCGCTCCTCCGCTTCGGCTATGCGTGTTCGTGCCTCGGCAAGGCTTTGCTCCAACTCCTGCAGTCACGTGCAACATTTGGCATTGCTCTTCAAATTCTACGGCATTTCGACGGCTTTTCTGACACGCACGCTGAATCCATGTCTTCCCCATCAGACTGACATTCCCTTTGGTCAGCTGCTGCTCCGGTGCAAACCTGGCCAGAGAGCACAGTCTGGAGAATTTTGCTGCGCGACTCCCCCACAAAGGAAAGAACTCCTCCACAGAGCTCCAGTCGGTGTCTACAGTTTCCAAACAAGCCCACGTACGACAAGCACCACTCCACAAAACAGTGTCGTGAACTTGAAGCAAAGGTTGTTGCCGGAACTGGCCTGAGAGAGATTCTGCACGAGATTGGTCCAGGCTTTGACCTGCTCAGTTCAATTGCAAGGAGTGTCTTTGGAAGGCATGGTGCGGCCTCGGAATCTGTTGCATTTGTGCGCTGCAAGCTTCGTGCCTGGGAAGTGCAAAGCTGCGCGTAAGGCAACACGACAGTGTCTTCAGTGCATTCCAGGGCCCCAACACATTCTGCAACCATCCGGAAGAGCCGGTAAGTGTAGAGGCACTTCCTGCCACGCCGCCAACTCGAGACCGCTCTTCAGCTCGTGGCACCATGCCTTCGTCCACGGCCATGCCAGAGCTCTGCCTGTGAAATCTTCTCAACCCACAGCTGACTCTGGCTCCCAGAGTTTCGGAAAGAGATTTACCAATGCCACAGATTCCAGCACCGGCTCTAGATACCGTTACAACCAGCAAACAGGAACGACAGAAGAGCATGAAATGCAGAATAATTAGAAAAAGGCTGATACGTCTAAGATTCGTTCTTGCCGTCCCTGACTTCGCTGCCCCTTCTGCTGTCTTGCACGCACACTTTTCGCTGAAAACTTCGGCTCTCTGTCAGCCTGCCTCGGATGCCCTTTAGCTTAGTGCCCAAGTCCTAGGCCGAACGTGATGTTGCAATGCTGGTGCGCCTTCGCAGGATAGCCCTGCACCTGACAGTCCGGAACCAGCATCCGCGGTGGAGGCCCCGAAACCCTGCCGAGCCTGGCCTCTAAGCGAGCACGGCACAGCTCTGACCAGTCCGATGTCCACACCGGCGGCGGGATCTCATTCTTGTTCACAACTCCGTCCGCAGCTTCGGTGGCCTGCCGCGGCACTTCCTGCTGTTGATACATCTTCACAAGCTCTACGTGCTGACTGCGGATCAACAGCCTGTGCACTTGAGCAAGATGGCGGCTCTTCTTGAACCTGTGCACGCAAGGGGCCAAGTCATGATGATAGCAATGCTTCGTCGAGTCACGCCCCGTTCGTGATGCTATCCAGATCATGACATACTAATACTACGGTTTGAGAGTTGGCTTGATTTGAACCAGCACCTCACCCACCTTCAATCTCATGCCCACCCGCCAACGTGTGTCGGTCTTCTGGGGAAGGGGACTCGTGTGCACCCTGAAGCGTGAGTGTGTGTGTGTGTGTGTGTGAGGGAGAGAGAGAGAGAGAGAGAGAGAGAGAGAGAGAGAGAGAGAGAGAGAGAGAGAGAGAGAGAGAGAGAGAGAGAGAGAGAGAGAGAGAGAGAGAGAGAGAGAGAGAAAGAGAGAGACAGAGAGAGAGAGAGAAAGATCAAATTGCCTTGCTGCAGCAACCCTTTGACAAGGTGGTAAGTGCAAACGGGGAACTGGTCGACAGTCTCTTTGCATACGAGCCTGAGCCTGAGCTATCAAAGACTTCAGTCAGACACGATGACCCGGAGGCACACCAATCTACATGCATGAGATTGATCTCGCATATGTACACACACAGTGAAGAGCTAACCTGAATTTATGTCTATGGCAATGTAGCATTCTTCGTCGCTCGAAACTGCGATACTGTGCATGAGTGCTGCGATGACACAAACGCAATCAAGACACTTCCATATGCATCTCCAAACCCTTGAACGCACGGAAACAATAAGACACTTCTAGTTCTGAATCTTGCTTGATACTGTTCTACCATGCTTCAAACAAATCCTCCTGTATAGTTGACAGTTCCGACATGAGAATATCGTTATGGCGCAACGTGGTGCAACGAAAACCGATAGGTTTGATAATGCACAACTTGCCGTGCCACATCATTCCGGTACAGAAGCCTATATGGCTTTGGCCTTCGAGGCGACAAAGCTGCGTTCACATGTGACCCATTGCACTGCTTGTAATGCTGTACCTCCTCGAAAATGCGCGCCAGCACCACAGCCTTCAGCAGGGCAGCGCCGCGGAGGGTTGCAGAAGGCGCAATGTTGAGAATATGTCTGACATAGAAATTGATCGGCGAATGAGCAACTCGGGCGCGTGCTACTGCGTGTGACAAGTTTAAGGAAGGACAGGTGCCTGTCTGCAGTCGACAGACCTGGAGCAACAAGCCAATCTGCAAATCTTCTTCAAGTGATGTCCGTCACTTATGCAAAAACAGTGAGGCTCGACTTTGAACCTGGCATCTGTGCACAGCAGCACAGACTCTGTCGAAAGGCCAACATCCTGTCTGCTGCACTTCTGAAAGCACTTGCACTGTGGCGCTTAGCGCAGCTCCACAAATAGCACAACACAGGCCGAGATCGGTCCTCTGAGCCGAAGACGAGGGCAACTTGTCTCGAGAGTCCTGTCGTGCAAAATGCGCCCAACAACACTCCACTGCATCTTCTCTCCACCCCATGTGCAACCCTCCTTCGCCAGAATTGTCGCTCGCTGCGACTTGTCCGACCTTCGATGATGAAATCACTGCAAGCTCGTGCCTGTACGTGCGAAGTACATGATCGTAAGGCTACCAGCATATCAGCGTGTCAACAGATGCATGGAAAGCTGGACTGAACTCGTGCCGGGGCCACAGCTTCTGCAGTCGAAGTCGAGGCCAGCTTTTGGGCAAGTTTTCTGAGCGTCAATGTGGGTTCACCTCGGGTGAAAGCATTGTGGGCGGTGCTTTCATCTCCTTGAGTTCCGACGTTCGAGTCGAGAGCATGACGGAAGTTCCGACCTTGGCGACCAGAAAATGCGATGGAGAGGCCTGCCATCACGATCGTGCATTCAGCCAGACTCTTGCTTCTTCAGAAATCCTCCGAAATGCTGGGATCTTGGAAACTTGCCTGCGCCGGATAGTGCAGCTTTTAGGTTTCCGTACAACTTTGCGGACTGGAGGACCTCTTCGCCCTGTCGGCGTTTTAGTAACTGAACACCATCAACAGACAACAGAACAGCAACTCCGCTGAGATCTCTCGTGCCGATGACAGTTGATCTTGGTCGAGCCTCCGTAGTCGCCAAGCGTTCACAGCCCTTCCATGCCGAAAGGTCCAGCGCCTCAGTGCAACACAACGCGCGAAATTCGCCTTGCAAGCATTCCGTTCTGTCAGCATCGGATGGGTTCTCGTTCTGCACTTAGGCCCGAACACAGTGCACGCTGCTGCTGCTGCTGCTAGGAGCCTTTTTCTGCATGGCTTCTTTAGGGGGGTGTCATCCGGACAGTCTCAAAAGCTGTCCCACGCCTCGGTGATCTGGTCGGCATCGATGCCAAGTTGGCGAGCCTCAAGGTCGGATCTCTGTACACCGCGCAGGAAGGACCAGAGCCCTGCCTTCTCTGCCGACCGGCGCGCCCGGCTTACAGCAGCCTCCAACTTAGCCGCATGCACAACCTGACTGTCCAGGGCGAGCGGTTGCAACTGCACACCGTACCATCTTCTGCATCTCATGAAACGTCAGGTAGATGGGCACCCTGTGGCTCGAACGACGAGCTCACGAACGCTGAAGTTGGCACAAGCGCGAGCCACCTCATGTGCAGGCTATGGAGGCACTCACGAAGAAATGTTTCACCTGTCGAACTTGAGTCCAGGCTCACTGCCATGCCCACATTTCGGGCATCACGGGGCTCGACAAGGACAACCCGACATGGAAGCGGCCTGAAACCACTCCAGGCAGCGGATGGACCCGTCTCGTGCTGGAATGCGACTGATCCCAATGCTAAGTTCCACTTTTCCCGGACAGCCCGCACAGAATCCCCCGCATTGGCCCGACCCCAAGCCTTGTTAGCCTGATGGCACCTTTACTTGGCCGGCTACACCCGGTGAGTTCCGGTGCCGAAGAGGAGGGGAAGCAGGAGGAGGAAGAGGAGCAGATTTCTGTTGGGAGATGATGGAAGCGGAGCCTTGCAGCTCTTTTGTTCAAGAACGACCCAGGCCGTGATTCTTTCGGATCAGGTGCGGAATCGAACCTGGCAGTGCAAACCCAAACTCTAACAGTTAATCCTCAAGCCGAAGTACATATCCCCAAACCGCAAATAGGGCCGCAGCTTCCACGAAGTATGACATGCTTGTTAAAAGACGGAAGGAAGGAGAGGGCACAGGCATGCAAGGATGTTCCATCAAGTACTGCCTGCAACCGGCCTGCCTGGTATCAGGCTCTGCCATCGGCTTCTTAGATTCTTAATTCTGCTGAGACTGTAGCTGCAAACAAAGACCACTGCCAGTTCTCGCGTGTAGATGTGTCGAATCGGCTGCTAATGTGGAGTGAAGCCACAGCAGCCAAGAGCGAAATGGCATCAAACGATCGCATCGTCAAAAAAGTCATGATGCGAACTGGTGGCTAACTGCTCAGGCTGTCATCGGGCGTGTGCTCAAAACACTGTCCTTCTGGAACTTGTCTCGCATCTGCAGCTCGATTACCCTCGGCATCACATCCAACAGCCAGCTGTTTCTGTTGTGACATGTTGCGCTTAAGGCTGCGGCAGCTGCTCGGCACGATGCTTTTCGACCTGCAGCCTTGGCCGTGACAGGAAGCTGACCAACTTCGAATCATCATTGAATGTGCACCATGTTTGGGACAGCCCTTATACCTTGAGAAAGCCTTGCACGACGCCTCGCCTCCATCGGAGGCTGCGCGACTCCACTGCATGTCTCAGAGCCTGGAAGCACGAAAAGAATGGCAAACACATCGCTGCGCAACGCCATAGATCAATAGGGAGCCAGGCGCGAAAGCGCTCCGTAAGAAGACTTGCTTCCCGGCTCTCTTCCTCCAAGCCTTGTGCCAGGCTCCGTCCCAACTCTAGATGTTCTAGGCATCGATCGCACGTGCGTGTTCAGTGGGCCTGGGCCCGGATGGCTTGAGCTATAGCTTGGAGTCGGCCTGCAGGCGGCGAGTCTGGCTCGCAGGCGCAGGTCCTTACGGGGCTCACCTGTTGTGGCCGGCGCCGTCCTCGCGCTGTGCATGCCTGAGTCGAACCTGCCGCAACACCAAATGAACAGACGCTGCAGGGGGCTGAGCGTGGAAGCAGGCCTCTGCCAAAGCCTGCTCTTGGGCGAGGAGTGCATCCTGCCACACTCGAGGAAGTGGCATCAGCAGGATCGAAGCGTCAAAGGAAAGAGGAGCCTCCATTGCACCTATAGCCTTCTGGGCTGAGAGCGCGAAGGGCTTGAAGACCTTAAAGGAAGCCGAAGTCGACATTCGGCTCGCAGAGTCCGACGACTGCATGTGCCTCATCGTAGAGATGCCAACTCATGGCCTCGCCCGAAAACTGCTCTTATTGCACATCTCGGCTTGACATGGCATCCTGTGACGCACATGGTTACCATGGTCCTCCACGTCCTCCTCTTCATCGTCCTCTTTTTGAACTCCCGGAACGGCCTGTCATTGGAGTTCTCTCTGAGAGGTGTAGGGGAGGCGCACTCAGGGGTACTTTGCTATCAGGCACCAGTGCAGCATCAGAACCGCGGTGTAGCGACCGTAGCGACCATTTTAACCCGTGGGCCTGAGACAGATCTGGCTCCGACAGTTCGATGCTGACGGGCCTGCGGTCAGCACAGGGAACTACTTCTCTGCGCAGAGACTCGGCGAGGTCCTCAGGCTGTCAGAGCCGTGGACAGACGAGACCTGAAAAGCATATCTTGTGCAGCACATGGTTGCACCTGTAGCAGGGCAAGCCAAAGGCCTCTTCAGGTATGAAGAAGCTCTTGCCGGAGGAAGGCCTCCAATGCCGAAAGTCAGGGAAGGCAATGGCTGCTGTTGGAGTCTCGATGTTTGAGGGCAGGCCTCCTCAGCGATCTTGTGCTGCTGGTTGCGGCAAGTGTGGCACACTGAGCAAGCGACACTTCGAAGTCAGAAGTAGCAATGCTTAGGTGTCTCCAATCTCCAAAAGCTTAGCATTCATGCTACACCTGCGAAGCACCGGCCTTGTCGGCATCGTGTGTTGGAGCCTCCTTCTGACACTGACAGGTGAGCAGCGATTGACAATTAGTTAGCATGACAATTGACCTCGGGTTACCACACATCTGCTCTAGCCTGTCACTCTGGCTCACTCTGTTTTGCAGCTAGCAGCTACCTGCTGTTACCAGCTACCACACTGTCTCTGAAGTGCCATCTCCTGCAACCTGGCTGCGACATGGCACAATCCATTCCGCTCCTGTGGCAGGCCGCCGAGCTGAATGATGTGTTGGTTTGCGCCTGAGACACGGCGCGGGATGCTTCCGATGGCATGCATTTTCTGTGAGGTCGGAGTATCGGTCGATGCTTCATTCGTAGCTAGGACCAGCAATCATGCTAGAGTAGGAAGCTTTGAAGTTCTCAACGAGGAAACATGCCGAAGATCTTCGCGGGACGTGCATCGCAAGTCAGCATCTTGCTCGTCATCATGTCCTGCTACCTCCAGCAACCCGTTGAGTGCACTCTGGGCATCTGCACGAGCATGCGTATGCGTGTGAGTGCGGCCTCCCGCCCAAAAAGACTTGCACTGAACCTCCGTGAAGCACTATGCCGAGTCCCACCGTCTGCGCGCGAAGTGGGCGAAGAGGGTCGCAAAAGGGAGCATCTTGTGAAAAGGAAGTCGCACTGCAGCCAAGGAACCCAGCAGCTGCTTGTGCAGTTTTCCAACCAGGACGAGAAGCTGTTCCGGCGAGTAGGTGTAGTTCACCTTGGAAGTGAACACTCTCTCATTCATCCCTATCAAGACTCGCACAAGTCTTGCCAAGATGCCTTCGCAATGTTCCGCACCTCGACAGCTCTGGAAGCACAAGCAGTTGAAAGTATCTCTGCTGAACAACTCGGCTTTGGGCACTCTTAGCTCGCGTGGCAAACCGGAGCGATGAAAGTGTCTCATCCTCGATGTGCTTCCACGTGATTATTTGTCACTACGTGTCATAGCCGCATGAAGTAACTCAACCGAGGGAATCCCAATTGCAGACCCACGGCAAAAAAGTTGCGGCTGGGGGAGTTGCGGCATGCTGCGAAAAGGGTGAAGCTGCCACCAGCAGCGTCGTGCGACAGTTTCCACCCAACGCCTTCCGCACAACACGTGGCACTGGCGGGGTTTGACAATGGACAGGTCATGTAGCGACCAGGTGCTACTGAAAGGCGGCCATGCAGTCACCAATGCATCTGCAAACGTCAGCAAACTCAGAGGTTGGTCTTCCGACAGCTGATGTCCAGCAGACTCAGACTAGGCTCACCGTCCGTGCTGTACAGCGTTTAGGCGGCGCAGGCAACGCAGTTCTGTACAACGGGAACTGAAAACTTTGGAAGTGCATGCAAAGAGAGCTGCTGCTGACTCGCTGTCTTCGCTCACCGGCTCGACAAATCAAAACAAGCACTGCAGTACCCTTGTAGGGATGGTAGGGGGATGACGTGGGATGAGAACACAGCTTCAGCAACTTGCCTCTCAGAGCATTACCACTTTGGCACTTTCGGAGTTAAGACTGCACGCCAATCTAGTCGTACAGATCCACATCAGCAGTTCGGCCCCACTCTGCCTCGTACGAAGGACACTCTGCTTGCCATGAAAGCTTGCAGGGAGGTCTGCCTCTTCGCAGGGCGGCACTGTGAAGCCCTCGTGGTGGTGTCGGTTCGTTGCAATCTCAGCCACTGGAGCAATGTGAGGTCAAGTGTGACACTGGCATGGCTTGAAGGGCCCTGCCACTTGCGGCTGCTGGAAGCACATTGGGCACATGTCGTTCCTGCACATGCGAAGACGGGTGATGAGGTGCAAAATGTGCAAATTTGGGCACAAGTCAACATGCCTGATCCCACTAGACCGGCACCACAGGATGAGGTTGTGCCGTGTTCCGGATGTAATGGGGAGTGCCTGCTCACAGAACGTTGTGCCTCACTTCCTGGTAGAAGCCACGTGCCTTGTGTAGCTCCAGGCCAGCGTGAAATACACCATAGCCCTTTCGCAAGGGCACTTCGAACGGAGGACTTTCCTCGTTGGAAGTTGCCAGGCCATAGTAGGCAACATGTCCTGCCACTTTCAACACTTGAGCCCACATCTTCACGTCTCCATAGTAAGATGGGCTGCCTCCTTGCCAGGTGCCACCGATGTTCACATTCAGGGTGACCTGAGCTGCACTGCATGTGAAGCTATGAGCTCAGAGCCAGATCTGCGCAGAACTGGTGCCAGGCCTCGGCATTGTCATAATGCATGGCTAGGCCTTTGTCTCCATCCTGCGTCGCCTCGTAAAACCTAAGTCGCTTGTAGTCTGAATGGGGTCCACATCACCTTTGCTTGTCCTAATTCTAACTTCAACATCGTTCTGGTGCTGCCCCCAGTCCAGCGCAGGTTGACATTGCCAAGGTTTGGAACTTCTGCCACGTGGCACGGTAAAGCCCCGGTAGGAGTCCAGAAACTCTGTGAATGCAGGAAGAAGGCGACCTGCAGCTAACACTCGGCGAACAGTGGTTTGCGGAGGCATCAACAGGCCAAGGGTGCGGCTGGCAAGGACATTCACATACTCGAAAACGAGGGGGTCTAGCAGCTCTTCAAAGCCCAGCTCTGACATGATGACTCCGTGGCCTTGACGCAAACCAAACTATTGTGTGCGAGTCTTGCGGTTCGTATGAGCTTGGCTGTGGTGCCGACGGTTCATCGTGTTGGGCGCAGAGCGAGGCAAACCTGCCCACAAGGATCCCTAGGCCCTACCGCCTCCCTCCTCCCGGTCTCTCGATGTCTCTCCTGAAGCTCGAAAGTGGGCCAGCTCGGATTCAAAAGCATCGCAGAAAGCCATGCTGAAGACCGGGAAACTCCAGATGCCCGGCCGCAGCTCCTCGTGTGGGAAACTCCATTGACATTTTTGAGGCTTAGAGCACGACGGCAGTCTGCTCCCTTCCACTTATCATGCTGCGGACGGCTCCTCCAGAAGACCTTCAGCTTTTAAGCCAGCAATGCTGGCTGCCTTTGTTCCGGACAGGCGTTGCAAGTGGAGCAGCACAGACTGCGTTTCTGACTGTCGCTGGAGGACTGCCGGCCCGGAGACGCGCAACTCCTGCACCACCTATCAGGTCCAGCAGTATTCAACGCCGGACGCATGTTAAGCAGGAATCACAGCCACCTTTAGAAAGCGAGGATCCAGGAAAGCAGCAGCATTCAGGACGTAGACCTGGGACCAGCAAGATATGCTTTGTGGGCACTTGTGGAAGTGTCCATAGAGAGATATGCACACCGTGCCATTAGGGCCTCGGGGTGGAGGCGACTGTAGCTTTGAGCGATCTTGTCTACACGCTGCAAGGTGCGATCTGGGGCCTCGCAGCAGTTCGACGCTGTTGAAAGCTGAGAGACAGCACGGGGCAGATGCACGGCTCTCGGGTGCCCACGCTGAGACGCTCCTGCAGGGAGGGGCGAGCAACGGTCCTCGCTTGTTCGCTCTTCTTTGCTCTTTGCTGCCTCGCGCTGCCGTCGCAAATCGGCCAACACATCAGCCACGTCGCAGCCAGTTCCAGACAGCCTGAGAGCACAGAAGCACCGGACGAATCACACAGCTATGCCACACCCAACTACCCGTGAAAAAGAGCACCCAAGGACATGGCTCGTCGCCATGTTGCCGGTAGAATTCGACATCGTCGCCCCTGCCAGCATCAGAAACCACCACCCTTTCAAAGCGCGGCGCGTTGAGCACATGAGCCTGCCTGTATGTGAAATGCTTCCCGACGCTTTTGACCTTCATGCTAACGTCAACACAAAACCGCTGCTATCTGTGAGCAGCACGTGCTCCGCTGCTCGACGTTTGACTTGAAGCTTGTCGTGCCAAGCGGCGAAGTAGTTGTGGGTCACTCGGCATTGGCCTTATGCCAAGGCATGTCCCTCACGTGTAGATGTGGACTCAAGGTAGTTACAAGTTGACGCAAGTGATTCTGCCCGAAAAATCATGGCTGCACGGATTACAAGAAGGGCCCTCCCAAGGAAGAAATTGAGTCTTGATCAGACATGCCGACCTGCGCAAGCTCGTTTTCTACTGAAATACTTTCAATTGCAAGGGCAAGGCAGTCCTTTGCAGCCCCGCAAATGCGAACTGAACGCTTTGATCCTCTCTCCACTTCATTTTCAGACTGCTCAGAGAATCATCCGTCTGAAATCCTTCCGATGTTGCAACTACCAAGTTTTGGGACAAACGGCGAACACTTGTCGCTCGGCTGTGGTGCCGACAGCACACACACACAGACAGACACGGTGCAGAGCAGGCTTGGAGTGCGAGAAGAAGATCAACTCAGATGTGAGAATCACAGCCAGGATGCAGGTCCAATAACTCGAAGAGCTCGAGCTCGCAGGCTGCTTGGTCATCTCCTGGAGCGCCTGGGCGAGGGATGCTCCGTGTCTGCACAGCTTACTCTTCAGGGCTCTGCTGGTAGCCTCCGGCCTCCTCAGGTGAGCGCTTGAAGCCGCGGTCTTGGGTGAGGCCCATCAAGAATGCACAGGAGCACCACTGGAGATTAGCCAAGGGCGGTTGCTACAAGTACTTTGGGAAATGGTGACTTGCTTGGACAACTGTGATGCAGTGGAACTCGGAATTGCACCTGTTCAGACATGCTGGCGTTGCTGTACTGTAGCCGAAAGTGCAGTAGGCACTCGGTAGCAAGTCTGGAACCAGGGTAAGACATGCCGAATCGAACATGCCACCGTGCCTCCTGCAAGACACGCGTGAGCTTGGAGTCCCGATAAGGAACGTGAGAGCGTTGCTCTGCCAGAGCATCGATCACTTTGCCTCGGCAGCCTACTGATCTTTTCTATTCACCCGCTTTGTTCGACCCCCAGCAGGCCTGTCCTATCTGGGAACCCACGCCAAGTGCACTCAGAGACCAGTTGATCTTCTTGGCCTGAAGTTCGGCTTCAACAGTTTCAACTCTGGCGACAACGATCGAACTCCGGCTTCCAGCTCCGCTGAGGGCGGTACTTCCTCAAATGTCTCGCCGACGCATTCGTTCTTGGAGATTTTCTCACTTCCTGCGAGGTCGACAAGTGTCAACCTGAGGACAGCAGATGCCAGCGGAGCTCGGCGTTGAACTCGAAGATCATCTCGTATCCACTCAGTGCGGGGCTTGCCCAACCGCTCCTCCCCCTGCAGGGACTGCTGCTCCACCTTGGTTCTGTCGACAAGAAAACTGCCAGCCGACAGTACCGACACGCCGGGAGCCAGGCATGCAGTACAAAAACAACATGAGAGCGCGAGGAGTAGTTGTTGCAGCGCGTGCGGCCAACAGCTCGCGTCCTCAGACCTCCAGAGCTGGCAAAGAGGATCAGAAGCTCGGCTGGTTCACATTGCAATCGCCAGGCCTGCGCGGATGACGGCCATGACGTCGGAAGCACACGTCACATATTCGCGCGAGAGGCCATCCACGAAAAGACCGCGCTGTGGCAGCTCCTGTCAGGCAAAGGGACCTGTGCTGCATGCAAACGGTTTGCCTCCGCAAAAACAGGTTTTGAACTCAAGACTCGATATTCGCTTTATGCCTTGACACGGAGCATCTCACTGTTCGGTCGAAGTAGATCTTGCATCTTCTCCTTGTAGACCTGCGCATGGCAGTTCCAAAACGAGCGCCGCCGGCAGCAACAATCAAGCAATGTGCGTATCAAGAACTCTTCCTTTTTCCGCAATTGGGCCAAGCATTATCTCATCAATCTTCTCATATGCCACGGCGCATGCTCTGGATGCCCAGCTGTCAGGTGAAAAGAATCGCAGCCCAGCCTTCATCACAAGAGTGACTTTGGGAACCCCATTTAAATGCTGATGCCGAGCGACATAACACGGATCCTGCCTGCGCCTCGAAAATCGTTATGTCGCAACTTCACCACTCAGCTGTCACCGTAGGAGGCGACCTCCATACGAGCGGCTCCGACGTCCACCACCAGGAAGCCCTGGCAGCGCCATAATGGTGCACAAGTGAGAGGGAATGGGAGCTGCAAGCACGGCAGGCAAGCCAAAAGCAGAAGCGCGAACACTGAAGCCACGTTGAAGATCTGTCAACAGGATTGCAGGCTTTGCAGAGTTGCGGTGTCAGTCGCGAACATTTACGAAGACATTGAGGAGTTGGCCACGTTGGAGGTAGCAAACTGCGGCGTCTCGGTAGGTGGCGGCTTGCCATACTGCTCATCCAAGTCCTCTTTGAAGCGGGGGCTGAGGGGGGCAACTGGTGTGGACAGAGAATGCACCAAGAACCCTATGGAACCCTCAAAGATTCTGGGTCCGTCGGGGAACGGTCCCTCTGAGCTTGAAGAGCCTGGGCTGCTGGCAGTTTCTCGCTTCTCGCTAGTTCTCGCTTTCAGCCGCTCACTCCAAACCAGCACTTCGAGCTCCGAGCCGTCTCGGACTTCTGGCCTGTTTGAACCCGACTTGTCGCAGTGTTTCATCCGCGGCTCGTAGTCTCAACGATAGCGCTTCACAGTAAGCGTCACGCCAGCACGAAGCGAAGAGGACCTGAAGCGAGCAGGAGGCCCCTCAACAACAAGCCTTGCAGCGGAACCACATTGAGCTCATCTCTCCACAAATCTAACTGCTCGTTTACCGAGTGAGCAACAGTTCCGAAGAACGAGCTGCCCACCGCAACAGAAGTCAAGCCGACACGGCGCTGAATACGGAATGATCGCAAAAGATGCGCTGAATCGCAAACGGGCGTACACCCAAGAATGTTTCGCGCGCCCACCCGAACATTCATTCACGCGCACCTTCGCGCACCCACTCGCGGGCAGTCGACATCTGCATATTGCTTGGCAGATAATCCTGCGCAAATAACAGTTGCATCGCAAGAATCGCATTTTCTTCACAGAGCCGACAAGTTGGACCAAGCTGCCACATATCACATATTGTCCGGCAGAAGCGCATCCACATGAAGACAGGCAACAGGTATGCTTTCAGCATCACAGCATTTGGGCTGTTTGCGACACTTGCAATGAAATGCTTCGCATCAGCTCGTCGTTGCTCCCCGACCGGCAGCCCGATGCGGGTTTTTGTGACCAACATGGTACCCATGCACACCAACACACACACACACACACACACACACACACACACACACACACACACACACACACGCACGCACGCACGCATGCACGCACGCACGCACGCACGCACGCATGCACGCACGCACGCACGCAAACCCGCACTTACCGGGGCAAAGAAGCAAGCCTGCTGCCCTGTTGTGTGACTGAGTCCGCCGCGGAGCTACAAAGGTCTCCGTTTCAGGCCTGGCTGAGCTGGAAACCGCTCCCTGAGGACGCTAATTGGAACTCCGAGCGCTGCACAGCAAGGAGTAGAGGCTGAAAACCTATGCGTGGCGTGGAGTAGCTGAGTTCAAACACTGCGACGTGCGTGTCCGCTCTAAGCCCACTAAGCCGGGTGCTGCAGCCAGTGCAGTAATCGCAACGACAAGGCATGAAAGTCGCGATGCCTCGCGAGTCTGAAACGTCTGGCCCCGGTTTGTACTGTTGCTGCCACCTCATTGAGATGCATAAGGACCTGACCATTGCTCGGCAACCACAATCTTGGGGCACTTGAAATCTACTGCTTAGGCTTGCTTGGCAAATTCGCGCTGGCCTGAGAACGTCAGTAACGAAAGCTTCGACACCAGATGAGTGGGGGCAGACTCAAATCGCTAAGTGCACCAGGACCTTTTTGATGTTGATGCGCAGCCTCCCCCTTCTCCGCTCTACTCCATCAAGACAGCGAAGCAGGAGCAATGACATCCGTGACATCGACAAACCAATTGTGGGCAACGTCTCCTAGCCAGGACATCGAGTGCAACTAGTAACCAGCCGTCTCATAGGTAGTGATTCGCGGTGGTATTACGTTAAGCATAATCTGTTCACTCTTCAGTTCGCATCTTCGGAGGCTTCTGACTATATCGACGACTGATGCCATGACATGGCAGCGTGCACTTCAAGTAATTAATACCGAACATTCTTTGGAAGGATGTCGGCGTTGCACCAGTCCTCAGCAATTGCACAAACTGGTCTGCTCTGCAACACAAGCGGGGACATGGCCGGGTCTCCTGCTGAATTGCACTGTACAGGCATGGGGGCGAGTCAGCGCTGACTGTCCTTCCAAGGCAGGGCAATCCCTCTGTTGCCTGCAGTGGCCTTTGCAACTCACTTGTCACTGGTGGTAAGATGGAGTCGCCCTTCTTGCGGACATGGCTCCCCCAGAAGACCGCTGAGAAGCTCTTCGCGCTGCCTGACGGCTTGAAAGGCTCACGGCCGGGGCGCTCTTCCAAAGCAGCTCCACCTCTCCAGCAGATACCCGAATTCGGACACCTGGCTGGGAGTCGGAGCAAAAAGACTGCAACGAACCCAACAAAGCAAAGCTGGTCAGCGGACGGCTACCTGCATGTGCATTTGCAATCCGCCTTGTTGTCCAATGCCGTACACCTTTTGCGAAGCTCACCAATGGTCTCGTCCTGGCAAGCGCCCTTTTCTTCAGAAATCGAGCTCTCAGCGAAGAGATACAGAAAACGAGTGCTGGTGCAATGAAATTTCTCTGAAGTGGTCACAGGCACTGTCACAGTCCTTGGCCTGCAAAGTTCTCTTGACTTTGGCCTCTCGACATGCGGTCCCCAAACTACACAGCGCTACTACGAATACGTACGATACGATACAATCATTGCCTGCCTCCAGATCGGCAATGATCTGTTCTTCGCGGCGCTGAGACTCCTTGCTCACTTCCTCCAGCTTCGCCTGCTCCTTCCAGCACATGGCCAAGAAAGGGCGGAACATGATTGCCATGTACAAGCAAAACTTGCAGCACAACCAAACTTTACCCAAACTGTTCGAGAGATCACTAGATCATTGCTAAAATGCACAAATGAGCGATCTGGCAAGCGCTTACAAGTGCTATCCTTGGTTACGCCAAACGCGGTCCTCCTTGATCTGGGCCATGGCTTCACCCAAGCTTTGTCGAAGGTCTTGCAGCTCCTGCTGCGCGTGTCTTTATGAAAACCGCAGTGTTGAACTGCACAAGTCAGAGAGGCAGATCTGTGTTGTCGGGACATTCTGAAGGCATCTACAAGTCCTTTTCGCGAGTGTCTTCGAGCTGTTGAAGCTCGTTCTGATGCTTACGGAGGACCTGCCAAGCGGAAATGGAGCAGCGATGCCATGTCACTCTTATTCAGTCTTGATAAAGACGATGAAGACATGCCTCATCTGCAGCCTTCCGAAGCTCATTGCGGTCGCTTTCCAGGTCCATGCCTATGCTAAGCACAGACCAGACACGGCTGTCAATTCGCTCCTTCCACAACGGCCCTGAGCCTGTCGCATTTCTGCTGGCATTCTGCAAGGCGCTCGGCGGAGGCCGTCTGACAGTCCTTTCTGCACAGAAAGAGCATTTACCGAAAGAGACCGACCGCTTGAGAGCCTGCCTTCATGCTGGAAAGCATTTCCTCCTGCTGCTTCTTCTGCTGCTGAACTAGCTTCACCTCCGTTCTCACGATGCACGAGGGCTCGGGGTTCGATCTTTCGTTTCACTCCAGCCTCCGCTCTTGCTTCTTCAAGCTGCTTGGCTACACGCGCGGTCTCCTCTCCTCCCGCAGACTCAAAACAAAAAGAAAAAGCGACGGAGGACCCCGACCGGCCCGGCCTGCTTTTGCTCGTGCTTCCTGCAACTTCCTGTTGGCTTCGGTTTCCATGGCCAGCTGCCGCTCCACGTGTTCCCGGCTGAGGCGATCCATGAGGACTTCCAACTGGCGATCACGCTCAGCGGCCAGCTCTTTGCGCAAAGACGCCTCGCGTTCCTCCGCTTCCAGGCGCGCCTTCTCTGTCTCTCGCTTCTGCCTTTCTTCGGCTTCAGCTCGCAAGCGCGCTTCCAGCTGAGAAAGCTGCTCCTGGTGTTCCCGCCTGGCTTCTCCCAGACGCTCCCCGGCTTCGTTCAGCGATGACTGAAACCGCGCACGTTCTGCAGCAAGCGCTTCTCGTAATTTCACCTCCGAGCCCTCTGCAGCCTGTCGGACTAGCTCTTCACGCAACCGCCGCTCGGCCAGCAAATCCGCGGCGCATTTGGTCCTCTCCTCCTGCAATTCACGATTGAACCGCTCGAACTCGTCACGTACCTTCTGCCGGTGAGCTTCCCGCTCCCGATCGAGCGCTGCCTCCATCTCGCGATGCTTCTGCTCACGAAGTTCCTGAAGTTGCTGCTGCGCCAAGCTAAGAAGCTCCCTCCTCTGCTCCTCCAGTGCCTCTGTCTTCTGCTCCTCCAGGCGAACCTTCTCCTGCTTTCTCTCGGCCAAGATGCGCTCCACTTCAGGCTGAAGGCCCTTGACGGTCATGTCCTTGATTTCCTTGACCTTGTCCTTTTCCCATGCCTCCCGCTTCAAGCGTTCCGTCGCAATCCAGTTTTGCTTGTTCTTGGTCAGCTCCTTGGCAGCATGATCCTCCATCTCCTCGATCTTCATTTGATACTTCCGCTCCACTGCCTTGAGTTCGTCTGAAAAGAGCTCGCATCTTCTCGTGAGCTCTGTCTTGTCATTGAGAAGTCGGTCAACCTCGCCGAGAACTTGCGATGCTCTTTGCCGCAGCAGCTGCTCACTACTCACACACACTAAGTCACTAAGACTAAGGTAAGGTCCAGCTTCAGGTGCCGCTCACTGCCAGCCTTAAGGCTGGAGAGGGCGAGACGGAAGCTGCAAGCCAAGCAAAAGAGGGCACCTCGTACTGTGCCTTCTGCTGCTGCAACTTCTCCTCCCATTCCTTCACCTCGAAGCAGCATTCAGATCTCCGTTCTTTGCACGGGCACTATGGTGTCGAAACCAGGATGACTCGGTGGGCAGCCTGAGTCCCTGACCGTGGCCTGCACCTTCTCCTTCTCACGTTCCTCACGTTGACAGCATGTCTGCGAAACGATTCCGCGAAAGCAAAGTAAGAAACCGTGAGGGGATCCTGAGACTCGTGGAGCGCCCTCTTGAGGGAGTCGATGATGTGCTTCTTGTCTTGAACTTCGACCTGGCCGCGTCTGAGGGCGCAAGGGCATACATTTATAATCTATATGGCCTAAAGAGGTCGCCTCCAGCATGGAGGCTCTGGATTGCACTGCTGTTGCGTCCTGAAGCAGATCTGCTTCAGACGGGCACCAACTTCCATACCAAAGCCACAACGGCTGTGTCCTGAGTCAGGCCCGATGGAATGAGAGGCCTGCAGAGGGAGCAGATCCAGCAAGGCAAGCCCGACGGTAACAGTGGCAACCACGACTGACAAAGGCGCACCTTGAGACTTCGTTGTCGCCTTCAGACACCGGTGACGGGGTGATAACATCAAAAAGAGTGACCTCGACTAATGTGTTGCCTGCAGTTCGGGATGAACGAGTCGACAAGATAATCCTTGGGGCTCGTCTTTGGCAGTCCGATGAGAACCGGAGGGCCCTTAAATGGACTCAATCCTACAGAGGCCAGAACGAGGAGATATCGGCTTTTGAGGATTCCTGCAAAGTGCGAAGCCATGCAAAGCCCTGCGAAGCTGCAAGCTTCTCTGCGCTTCCGACAAGTGCCTCAACTTCGTCCAGGAAGCTCATTATGGAAGCCAGCCTTTCCTCTCAAATGCGCAGAAAGGAAGGAGGAGAAGCCTGCTTAAACTCCAATCTTCTCTGGCTGAATCCGACATGGTCCTGCGGCTGAGTAACGCAGGATGCCGGCCTGAATCGCTGCGTAAGGAGCTGACTCAGCTGACTGCAACAGAAAGAGAGAGAAACAGATTTGCAGAAGGCTGGATTCGGGTGCAGACGGCCCAGCCGGCTGGTCAGGAACAGGGGTCGTCTGCAGCACATCGACAATTCGCGCTAAAGATGTGCGAAACGAAACCCGACAATGAAGCTGGGAAGGGGGAGATAACACCGAACCGTCACATCGAGCAACCTTTCATCTTGAAACACTCAGGCTCCTCCGGCGCATGCGAATCGCCATCGGTTTGCGTTCGGAGCTCCTGCTGACGAGCTGGAGGTTTACCCAAAGCTCAGGCCGAAAAGGCTGCTTCTATGCCAGGCCTTGAGGGACAAAATGCGGGATCTCATCTCTGCGACCTTGTCCTGACAACTCTTTCCATTGCTAAGGTCAACCTGCACTTTGCAGGCTCCACTGCAGCTGCTGGGCCGTGGGCCGTGGTGGAATCCGAAGTCGGACGGGGCCTCCTGCAGCTACAATCAGCTGCACATCTGCCCAAATCCCCCCAGATCCGATAGACGTCCACCGGAGCCTCGGAAGCAGAGTGGTTCCGGTGGGCGAAGATTTCACATCCTCCGAGGAAGCACAAGATGCACGAACTCACGCGGGTTCACGCGAGTCCCCGTCGACTTTCTTCTGGCCTGGCCTCTCCGTAGACGCGCGGGCAATAGGGCTGACGCCTAAGGGAAGGCATGGGGACGTCGGCTGGAGATCCGTGTCTCCCTTGTGTCGGGCCTGGGCCCAGCGGGAAGCGCCTGAACAAAGAAGTGAGACTTGTTCGGCAGCTCGCGACCTTCGGCAGCGTCATCGCCAGCGACGAAAAACAAGCAGTCAACATCTTCCTGGCCTCCCGGCACCTCGAAGATGTCCTGCGACCACCCGGACTAACAACATAAAGCCACAGCTGTGGTTGGGAACGGAAGCGAGGAATGGTAACTTGACGTGGTCATCTGTGGTGTTTCGCGATCTTGAGCTCGTTCGAGCAGTTGAGTCCGAGTCTAGCGGGCACTTTTGGTCAAGAGTGGTCGTCGGTTGGTCAGCTTCAGTCTCTGCGCTGCATCGACGTGGGTGTGGAGTGAAGTGCACAGAGTGAAGTGGATGAAGGCACTGCATCACCGAAGGTGCTTTTCAACTGGACGTGTTGATGAGGGCGCAAACTTCCAGATAAGCGAATTCAATACTGAGGCCACCTGGACCTGCCACAAGAGAAGTTGCTCAGCAGCAGAGTTGGATGTTTCCGAATGCTGATGTCCTGAGGCGGTCGCGGAGCCATGTAGACATGGCAGCCGGAAGCTAACTTGCGAAGACCGAGAAATGGCAAATCCGTGGCCCCTCCAAACATGTAACGTCGGGCTGTCCGGCTAAAGGAAATTCTGTGCTTGTCATGCTTCCTGCCTTGTCCCGTAGATGTCTGACAAAGCTGCGTAAGCCAGACGTGCAACATTTGGTGCAAGCACGTCCATGCCATCATGAAAAGCAGGCACTGCGCACTCAGGGAGGCAAATACCTCCATGAAGCTGCAGCGCAATGTGATCTCCGTGTCGTAGTCGACACTCGCTTCGATGTGATCAAACACCTTCCGCGACCGAGTGCCCACTACCGGCAGATGCATTAGCTTCTACTCGTCGTTTCCATCGATACAGCCGAAGATGTCCGACTTGCAATAGCCGATGCATCAAAGCCGTTAGGGCCTCTGTGTGAGTGCGACATTTTATCCAACGGCTTCTCACTCTTGAAGCCAAATTGCGACACATGATTCCTGATTGAGATAGAAACATCCGGCCGGTGGCGGCACGTCATGCAGTGCACCGAGCAAAGCAAGTGCCCAGCCTTCGCAGGTAGAGTCTTAATCATAGTCTTAATAATAACAGTAATGGTGGCAATAATAATCATAACGGTCGTCATAACAACCACAATAAGAGAAAGGATTTGTCACCTTCTTTCCCACCGGACCACGGCAATCAGCCCGTATCCACTTCATTGACCGCGGTCTTTCTACATCTTTCTCCACGAAACCGAGCAATGCCGGCGCTGCAAGCCTTGTGCTTTTTTGAGGAGTGGAAAGCAAGCTTTCCCAATTATGACTGGCCGCTTGATGCGGACGCCCGCTCGCTGCATTGAATCGTCAAAAGATCGACAGCGTATTCATAGCCTTTTGCACATGTCCCAAGCTCATACATCGCGGTGGCTCACGCGACATCGATGTAGACTGTAGCCCGAGGCGGCAAGACTATGTGATAGAGGTCTAGAGTTAGCGTAAGGCAGACGTCTACCTGATACCGCCTTAACCTTGCCAGGGCGGACCTGGAGAGGCTACCCTTGACTTGCAGATGTAGGGGAGCCAAGCACTTCAGATCTGACATGCCGCAGCTGGGGCCGGGCACGAAGCGCGAGGCTTTTGGCACGATACCTTGTAAGTCTGGCCTCGGCTGGGCCACGCTGAGCCACCAGGGGCCTCTGGGCCTCTTGGCGAGACTGGCCGACTGTTCTTCTGAGGCCCAGACGGCACACTGTCGATTGCAACATTCCCGGGGCCTTTCCGAATCAGGTCGCCATGAGATGCGGTATGTGGCGACGCTGTGGGCAATCTGTTTGCCACGAGGCCGCGGCCGTACATACTGTGCGTCTTGCCGGAAGACTGGCGGCAGACAGGGAGAACGACATGTGCTCTCATAGCGTCTGTTGCTGCCACCGAAATCACACCTGTCTGGAATTGTCATGCTACATGCAAGGCTAGCCGTCTGTCCATACGCCAGAATTGTGCCATTGTATCCGCTGAGCACGTCCGAGACAATCGGCTTGCCGACCTAGAAGCAAGACCAACTCAGACCAACACTCTTCTGCACCGAATATGATTATATATATATATGTATATATATGATATTCACCAGTGCCGATCACTCAACCACTCGCAAAATAACTGTGCACACGAAACTCACAAGCTGACAAGCTGAAAACATGGCTGCTGAAGTCTGCTGTAAGCAGCAGACAGCTTCGAAAATATCGTCCTGCGTTGCAGCCTGTCAGTGGAGGCAATGACAAGTGTTGTATCGGACATGAAGACCCGCATGATCCGGCATACTTGCAGCTGCATGCGGGGGGAATGTGGCGCGCCTCTCCAAAGGCTTTGTTGAAGTCAAAGACATAAGCACTGTCTGCCGATGAGACCTGAAGGTGAAATTCGCTCATGCCTTGCGAGCCGTGAAGCTCGGACCAGGTTTGCATATGCCGGCTTGGTGACTGGCGCTTCTTCCGTTCGGGTGGATGGAGAAGGAGATGGAGTCCTACCAATACTGGACATCGGCCATCTTCCGGTGCTGTGCAGCAACCCATCGGTCCTGTTGCTCATCATCCATGACCGGGGGCCTTTGCTCAGTGCACAAGCTACAAGTTGAGCGCTTTTGAAGACCCGCATTACGGCAATACTCGCATTGTCCGATTTCACCCTTGCGGAAAGGTGCTACAGAGGAGCCGGCCTAAAGCGGACCACCACCTGAACAGCGGAGATGGTGCGCGAGTTCCTTGGCACGACCACAGAGCTACCCACAAACGTCGATGCCCATCTGCTAAGTACCCTGCGACTTCCGCAGAAGCTGCGATGGCGAAGCAAGATCCGTCCGTGATGACGGCGACTCCGGCAACCTTGCACACAAGCAGGCGTGCACTTGGATTGCGCACAGTCCGAACACGTCACTCATTCAGGACTGCATGCAGATTGAATTGAAAAACCCACGTTTTTGCGAAGCAAGAGATCCGTGCATCGACAACTTGTGTGCCTAGCTGGCGTGCAACTGGCTTGCATCCCCAAGTCAGCTTGAAGCCGAGCTTGTAGCTGCATTGCGTTGATGCTTCGACTTGATGCTACACTGCTACACTAGACTCACTAGACGGCAAGCTTCTTGTGAACACGCCGCAACTTTACGTGTAGATTCCGTGGCCCCGGCCACATCACGCTTTACAATATCGGAGTGATCCGGGTATCTGTTTCCGGATCAAGCGTGCCGTCGGGGCTCGACGAAATCTCTACACTGCTGGCATGGGGAGGTCTTCATACCGATCTCCAAGCAGCACTGGCATTGCAAATGTGATATACAAGGTTCCCACAACAATAGCAACAAGGTTCAGGCAAAATCCAAATCTTGCCATCTGCCTGACAGATACACGCCCGGTGGAATACACAACCATGTTTGGGCCTCCTGCCATGGGTAACATGAAAGCAAATGATGAGGCAAAGGACACACCCAACAAAAGCTGAACAGGACTGCTGCCCATATGCTGGGCAGCAGTGGCCATGATTGGACCGAAAATGTTCAACGTGGACATGTTCGAAACCACTTCTGTCACAAAGCAGATCACTGTCACCACAACAAGGTTGAATACAAAAATATTGAGACCCATGTTCTCAAGAGCCTCGGCAATGACCTGTGCCAAGCCACTTTCCACAGTACCATGGGCCACGAGTGCACCGCCACCGAAGACGAAAAGGATTTCCCAACTGAAATCCCTCTTTACGCTCTCCCAGTCCAAAATGTAGTTGGGACTGGGGCCCTTGCAAACCGATTGGCAGCGATCTTCACCAAGGGCATGTCTCAAGGCAGAAGGCAACCAACGACCACAAGGTATCAGAAAGAACGGAAGTGTCAGCAAAAGGCCGATGGACCCGCTGTCGAGATCTGTCGACACCCATTTTTTCCACCCAGGAAACCTGTCGATTCTAGATGCTGTGAACCAGAGGATCACCAGACACATCATGTTGAAGCTAACCACCATCTCCTCGAAAGTGATTTTGCCCAGCTGCTGCGTGCCAAGGAAGGCTTCGCGGTTCACGACAATACGTGCACCACTGCATGCATAGACAGTGCAAGTTAAAACATATACACATAGCAGAAGCAAGACTGACAAGGGCAGGGCTACCAAGCAAAATCTTGCAAAAGAAAACTCCTCCTCATCTGGCCAGAATTCTTGGAACATAGCCATGAAAATGCCGTTGGTGGGCGTGCCCACAGGAGTTGACAGCCCGCCAACAGTTGCGGAATAGCCTACAGCTAGAAGCATGGTGCTATGGAAAGATGGATGTCCTCCCTCCAGCGAAGAAAGGAAAGCTTTCATCACAGGCATGATGCACAGCATTGTGGCTGTGTTGGAGATCCACATGCTGAGAAGCCATGTAGTCAGCATAAACGCAGCAAGATAGAACTGTATACGGTTTCCAATCTGTGACAGCACGATGCGAACGAAGCGTGTGTGCAAGTTCCATCGCTCAATAGCGAGGCCAAGCAAGAAGCCTGCAATGAAGAGGAAAGATGTGCCAGAAAAGAACTTTCGAGCCAAGGCACTTGCCTTCACAACCCCAAAGAGAGGGTAGAGGCCCATCGGAAGCAGGCTGCTGATCGAAAGTGGCATCACTTCTGAGATCCAGAACAATGCCGTGACCATGAGGACTGCTAGGCCCTTGGAAGCATCTGGGAATCTGGGATCCAGCTCAGCCATCGGAAGGAAAGCCAAGAGGAGGATTGCCATCGCCAGAACACAACAAAGCTTGAGGCCGCCCGGAAGCTTCTGCACCGATGCAGTTTCTTCTTTCTTGTTTTTGATGTCTGTACTTCCATCTGAGGCAGCAGACGGCTCCACACCTGTACAGAACTCGAACCCGTCTAGGTTCATGGCGGCCCGGTTCGACTGTCAAAGGCCCAAACAGCAGCCTTCAATTCATCCGGACACGAGGCCCCCCTGTGCGCCGAGCTGAGCCACAGAGCTGCGGGAGCCACAGCGGAAACAAGCCTTAAATTGACAAGTGCTCTAAAAGCGGGTACGGCAAGACACCGAGACAGCTCGTGCTTGCTCCTCACGTGTCGGTGACATGTGTTACACATCTTTTTCTAAGCTTGCGCCTCAGCCCCATCTGGTCTGGAGGCAGACTGTCACCTGCAGCAACGCTCTTCGGAAGGAAGCACGATGCTGGAACAACCGAGGCTTCTGCTCCGGCGAGCCCTCGGAGTCCACTGTCGCTGCTCTGTCTTCGACGCGGCCTTCCAATCAATGCTCACTTGGACGTCCCTTCCCTGCCCTTCTGAGGCTCCGACACTCCAGTCTGTGCTGTTGCTCCGCGACGGCATCCTCAAACGACTGAGTGCGTCAGCTGCTTCGAGCAGGCGCGACCCAGCAATTCGTCGGGCAGACTTGTCTGTGCCCGCCGCATTCATCTGGAAGCTGCGCCCATTGAAACCTGCCCACGGACAGGAAAGATAGGATCTCTTCAGGAATCTGCCGAACAGCATCACCCTTGGAGCCCTGGCCGGTGGCCTGTGGTCTCGACAGCTTCGCTGCTCAGGACATGGAAAACGAACAGATGCGGCCACGTTCCAGCACACAGCAAACGAATTTTATGAAATCAAGTCGGTGCGGCGGTGCACGCCGGAAAAACTGTGCAGCGTTGTACATGTTAATGCAGCTCGCACGCTAGAGGCTCCAGAGCCATAGAATCGCAGATTGTGTGCTCTCAGTCTCACCTGCTTGAACCAGAAATCGAGCTTAGCCATGGCATCGCTGAGCCAAAGAGCAAGACGAGATCACGGCGATGCGCTTTCAGGATTCCCATTCATCTTAAGCATGCGACAGGCTGTCAGGCCCGAGAGCCGCCTGCATGGAGACATGGCATCTTCTCAAACAGACCTAGAACTGCATGGTTGTGCCTGTTCCGTTTGCGGGCTCTGCGGCCCACGACATGCCTGGCACGCATCCAGCGGCATAACGACGGTTTAAGGGTTAAAAGCTATCTCATGACACCTCAAGACGGCACCTTGACCAGATCCTGAAGTTCGCCGATACACCGCTCGACCTCGAAGGAAATCGAGCTGTTTAATCTGACAATGCAGGGCTGAGAACCTCGTCATAGGAGCAGGAAACCTTGCCGGTGTAACCACGTGCGGCCTGCCAAGTCAGGACAGTTTGCAAAGAGAGCCTTTCCCTTGCAGTTTCGAGCACACCGTGGCACTTGCCACGATGTGTGTGCGAATACTTCGCTTCGTCCGAGAAGGAGGAAATTGCCGCAATTCCCGCACATAGACCCGGGCCAGGCAGTTACCAGTTTCCGCGCAGAACTTCGTGCACAAACTTTGCAAGGCAGCTACAGCTCTCTTAAGTAGGAACAGCTCACTACGTACCTCCTTAAGCGATTATGCTCCGAGACTGACCAACTCTCTTATGAACTCCACACCGAACAGGCGAAACACGGGTACATCGCGAGACCTTCGCCAGGCCCGTGCTGCCATGAAGGACACCCCTTTCGCTTCAAACTTAAAAACACCTGCACATACATTCACTGTAAAGACGCTCGGGGGTCGGATACGGAAAGCATGCATCATAGAGTCAATGCAACTGCTTAAAAGTCCAAATTCCTCGTTATTCCTCGTTCAAGAAACTGCATCGTCACACCCTCATAATTCATACAACCTCGTTTGTGCATTTGCAAAATGACTCTGTGCCGGTATATGCAGCGGGTAGGCAAGCCAACAGTGTTGGCACGCAGCTATCGGCACGTGCCAATTCTCCCGTTGAACTCTCCCCCGCTGCGGGCCTCGGCCACCCAGTCCTCTCCACCACCATGGAACGGAAAGGTGTATGGGGCTGAAAGGCCGCGCGCGACGAAGAATCAACAGAACACATTCGAGCGGTGGTGTAACGAGAAACTGAACTCGCTGTGTCATAGTATGACTCACGCATGCTCTTCTGTATCTACTCCTCCGACAATGCCTTTCAACGAACTCAGGCCACGCCAAGGCTACGGTGCTTAGGGCCGACTTCAACTCCGACTTGCGTTGCAGTGTCTGCAACCTGTCCATCGGTCTGTTCCAACCTGTCTCCTCATCCACCTCTAAGCCGCTACAGTACTTTGATTTAACAGTGTGATTTGCCAGACTCGTTGCGGGCAAGGTAGCGAATCCGCCACGAAGCACCAGCTCTTAGCAGAACTTGCTCTTTGTAGCAATGCACCTTGGCCGCACTGGCGACTGCCTCCTCGACCGACGCCTGGTCCACGGAGCCTGCAGGCAACAACGATGTTCCAAAGCGCACTCCATGGGTCCATGAGTCACTAAGGCAACAGCCGAGCGATGCTGTCGGCAAAACTACCGAAGCAACGGAGGGCTGCGGAGTCACCTGAACAGCTGCTTGCATGTATTCGGTGAACACCGATTACACAAGGTCACAACGTTCATGGAAGTATCTGGAACCTGACCACGCTGCTCCAGCAGAGACATTGCCAGCTCCTGGATCAACCGACAGAAAGCGTATGCTGAAGGCAACATTATCACAGAAGGCTTGAAGGATGAGTTGGTGGAGTCGACAGAGTGACATGCCGATGAAAGTTAGCTCTCACTAGAAATCAACAAAAGCCGCTTCAATCACGCACGCAGCTCGTGTGCGATATCGTACTGCAGACTTGCGAGACTTCTAACTTCAGCTGGCTCCGAGAATCTAGCATCCAAACCAGTACTGACCATCACTGCGGGTTCTGGGTCCTGCTTCTGCCTGAGAGCTTCTAGCTCACTCTCTCTTGCTCGGACCTGCAGCTGAGGACTGAGCAAGTCTTTTGCAGGCAGTCGGCAGTTGCTTCTCTCGAGAGAGGCCTGCAAGGTCCACCTACATCACTTGGGTCCCCGGCCGCGGAAGTAGAACCATTCGCCACACCTAGGATGGGACAGTTACGCGGGCCTGACAGGTTGTGTTTCTACGCACTCTGAAAAGGATGCTACTCGACGTGAGAGGTATCAGTTTGAAGCCGGATTTCACGAGGTTCCACGAGGCTTCAGATGTAGGGAGCATTGTCGTCGTCGTAGTAGTAGTAGTAGTAGTAGTAGCAGCAGCAGTAGCAGTAGCAGTAGCAGTAGCAGTAGCAGTAGCAGTAGCAGTAGCAGTAGCAGTAGCAGTAGCAGTAGCAGTAGCAGTAGTAGTAGTAGTAGTAGTAGTAGTAGTAGTAGTAGTAGTAGTCGTAGTAGTAGTAGTCCTAGTCCTAGTGCTAAGCGAGGTCCGCCGCATGGCCGCCGCGGTTGTCTGAGCACATGGCGAGCAGCAGTTACCAGGGCGGCTGCCGCAGCCGCCACCGTCGGCGGCACAGCCGTCGAGCGTGCCTGCCGCGCAACAGGCGTAAGTATGACTGCCGGCCGGAGCCTCACGACTATGAAAGGACATTGTGGCCTCGCAACAGATCCCGCTCTGCCATGACCGCACAGAGGAGTCTGGATCTGCGCAAAGCAAAGCGCATGCTACTGGTAAAGCTAACAAGGGAATCCTTAGAAAGGCCTACGGAAGACGGTGCGGTCAAGGACGCCGAGGCCGCAGGTCTTAACGGGAGCGTCGGCACGGACGCCTCCGCGCAGTCTCACTGAGCGCACGGAAAATCGCCAACAGAAACACAAAGCGCAACATTGAGCAGCAGAGACAGAGCAGAGAGCACGAAACGAAAACTTCGACGAGGGCTCTGCTTCGCTGCTTTCTGCCATTGCAAAAAACAGCCATGGCAGCCATGGCCATGGCCCAAAGTAAAAAAGTCCCGTCCCACTTCAGCCGCGATGCTCCTGTTGCTACCGATGCCTGAGGTCAAATCCGGAGTGCTACCGCTACTGGGCATGAATGCGAAGCATGACGGCTGCCTTCACAGGGATCTTGCTGGCATGGCCATTCAAGACAATCATGTAGTCTGAGAGGATTTGCATTAGGCAACTGCTGCTTTTCGCTGAACGCATGGCAAAGGTCGCAGAGACAAGTGGCTTCTCCGCACTAATTTATGCGAATTACAGTACAGATACATTTAACCGGTCGCGTGGCCGTGTTCCGGCGCACCTGCATAGCTGGCTTCTACTCACAGCTTCTTCGCACCTCACTCATCTCATAGCACAAGAGCCTGATCTTGGTGGAAAGGTCTGACAAGCACACGGGTTCAATCTGCTCAGAAGCTCCACGCCTTTCACTGTAAGAGTCTTCCCGGCATTCCTCTCGCCAGATGAAAGCCAAGTACAGTCAGGGGTCGCGAAGTGTCACGTCGTCCTGTTCCGTGCTCTGGCCCTGGTCACCCAGCAACCTGGTCAGGCATGCAGGTGCTGGAGGAATGAAACACTCGAAGCTCGAAGTTCGCGACGCGGCGCAGGATTGCATAGGACCGGTCTCCTTGCCAGACGTTTGCTTTCGCAGATCCTAGCCTTCAGTGCAACTACGTTGCGAGCCCGCCTTGTTGGAGAAAACCCACAGTGCTTCTCTGGCTGGCAGGGCCTGGCAAGGTTGGGTCATGGCACTGCATGGCATGGCAGGCAGCATTTCAGCAAAAAGTTCTCCTCAAGCAGCACCGATATGTGCAATGTTCGACTCCCATCTGGGGCACACCCGAACTTCTGGCGGCAGGTGACGAAGTGCCGCAGAGACAAGGCTATTGACCTCGATGGCTGCCAACACAGGCAATGCAGAAAGGAGAGCTCGGAGAGCAGTGAGGGAAACACCTCCTGGCATGCATCCTTCGCTCTGTCGTTTATCTCCTTCGCCTGGGAGGCAACAGTGCTACTACACACAGCAGGAGAACTCAATCACATGTTAAGCACTGGGGCTACGGCTAATTTCCGTCTCGCCTCTTCTGCAAATGCCTGAAACCGAGCTATCTTCTGAAGTTAACTGACTTTGACGTCAGATTATGATCCGCAGCAAGCGGCATCCAGTGCATTGGCATCCAGCACCACCTGCTCTGCTTCGAGCGCAGCCTTCGCAACAGGAAAAGCACCAAGACTTGCATGAAACCGGGGCTCTCGGAAAGCTCCGGGCCTTCAGCGGCACGCTGGGCTCGTGTGGCTCGCACGGCTCCATGTGTCGGTACTTCTAAAACGGGCCTGTTCACCGTTCTTCTTTTATTGACCTTTGCTCGTGCATTCTGCCAGTCTGCACCTTAAACGGCCCTTACTCCGAGGCTCAGTTATGCTCGACGGCATTCACACATGTTCATTCCATTCCTCCAACCAGCCGAAATGCTCTATCCAGTTACTCTTGAGTAAGCTGGACTGCCGGAGCCTGCTGCAAGACACAACAGTAACGACGTTTCCTTTTGAGGTTGCCTTGATGGAGTGGTTTGGGCCGGCCAGTTCCGCAGCGCCAAGCAGTCTTCGCCGAGGAGATCCTCTGTTGCACTCAGAAGCGGCGCGGTCCACAGGCTCCACGCGGCCGAAGAGCAGTGAGTGCCGACCAAGCAGCTAAGAAAGACCTTTCAGCATGGCTCACACCCAGCTTCAGTCGTCCGAGGCCATGCAATGTGAAATGAGCACCGCTCTTGACCTGATCGTCGCCGCATCGCTGGATGTCGCTGGCGCGTGCTGGAGCTTCGGGTGGGCCCGACTCCTGACCGCCAACATCATGCACTCCGGTCCGTCCAAGCGCCGCCGCGACTATCATGTTTCTGCCCACCGCCGACCGTGCTTATGCTTCTTTGATGGGCTTTTGCTCTTGTTCTTTCTGCGCACCACGACGTTTTGGCTCGGAAGTGGCTGCGCAGGCATATACCGACCAGGAGGTACCGCGACATTTTCGAGGGGCAAGCTGAATCCTGCAGCTGCTGGCCGCTGGCAGTCGATGATTGGAATCTGCGCCGGCTTCTCTGACTTCTCTGCCCAAGCAATTGCCGATGGGCTTGCAGGACTTCGGGGTCGCGAACCGTCGCTCAGAGGCGACGACAGCTCTGCCCGCACGTCCTTCCGCTGCGAGCGCATCGACGCAGGTCGACGCACACGAAGACGGAAAAGCTGCACATCACCAGCACCGCCAGCACCTGCCATGTGCTCCGCCAGGGTCCTAGTGTCACCGGCAGGACAAGTCTCGGAGAGCTCCATCCGAGTTCCATTGCAAACATCACGGGCTTGGCCCGTAGCGGCTTCCAAATCTTTGCCTTCAAAGACCAAGGGCTGCTTAGGCTGCTGGCCGCCTACCTGCACACTTGCTCTAGCAGTCCGATCCGCGCAGGGGTCTCGTGGTACCAGTGGGACGAGGCAAAGCGGTTTGCGGAGCACGGCATGCGGAGCATCGAGGACACGTGGACTTCCGTTCACCTGCTGGCCGTCTGATCTCCCCATCAGGCTGAGAGACAGCTGGACGGGCAAAGCTTGAATTTTGAGGGAGTACCAGACCATGCCATCATTGATGTCGATGAAAGCTCTGACCGTCTCCTGCATGACTGAACCGAAGCCGACATTGAGGCGATCCACATAACTGACAGAAGGAAACCAGCGCGCTGCATCGGGACCGATGCCATGAAAACTCTGGCCTGTCGGATCCGCCTCCACTTGCCCCACCCTGCTCGGGCAGCAAAGATGCTGCGACTCGGTACTCAGCCGAACGCCACATCTCAGGTTCCAGGTCACGCGTCTCTCGAGATCACTCCCAGGCTCTATCTCCATCTCCCCCACTACCAGCTCACAGTGCCCAGCATGCGCCTCCTCCCAGAGAGGATGAACACAAACTGAAGCCGCGTTGGCAAAGACACGCACGGCCCCGGCAATGCGCTTGGAACTCTGTGAGCCAGAAGACCATCGGGCGTGGAAGCTCGTCTCGCCACATTCCTTTGCAGTCCACGGGCCAAGGAAATGACCACAGTCCGGGAGTGATGCCTGCAAAGGAAATGCTTCCGAACGCTGGCGTTCGGGGTCATCTTGAAACTGGGTGGCTTGCGCTGCCACTGCACTAATTTCCAAGTTGCCAGCAGTGAGATGTGAGTTCCGCGCACTCAACTGGAAGGGGAAGGCAAGGGACGCAGAGCCGAGCCTTTGCGCGTGGCCGTCGTTTGATTCAATGCATTGGACGCTGACGGAGACTGTAGCCCCCACGCGGGAATGCCAGGTGTGCGATCTAGTGCACCACGCAACCTCAACCTTATCACCAACTCCATGGAATCGCACGTCAATTCCACCAGGCACCCGCTGCTGAGGCAATTCCCAAGGTGCTACTGCAGCCTCAGGGATATGCAGAATGTCAGCTGATGTCCTCCTGAAAGCCCACCCAAGTGTGGCCTCGCATGTCAGACAAGCTGTTACATGCACCTCAGCAGGATCTAAGTAGAGCCGGACAAGATCAGGGGAACTTTCAAGCCGTTGGAGGCAGACAGTCTCGCTCGGAGTAAGAAGGAACCAGGCGCTGGAATCCGGAATGCATTTACCACTGTCATACATCGAAGCTGATGCTGGCATGGCCGCAGCCTGCAAGTCAGTGGCAAGGCAGCAGATGGCCCGACAGGACTTGCAGCGAACAGCGACGCGTCAAGGAAAGCACTTGCTGTAGCCAGGACATAAAGTTCCACCCGCCAGCCGCAGTGCTGCGCTTCACTGTGGGACCCTGCTATACCACGTGGAAACTTCGGCTGCCGCAGAAGGTGCTCGCCGGCCAAGCGAGGCGTTCTCTCCATGCCATGCCGAACTAGCCACACGGTCGAGAAATCATGTCCGCTCACGAGCACCACGTCCCAAGTGTAGCTGCATTAACATGTCCGCCACGAGAAGTTTGTGGTTGATATCCTGTTCATTCCATCTGCGGATATCCAAGATTCTTGCAACGCGAACACTGAAAATGAACAATGCGCAACGAGCGCAATTCAACTTATGTTCAGTATGTCTTGGCAGAAAGTGTGCGATGTTTGTCATCTGCCAGCTTCTTCCATACCTGTCGTTCTAGATTTTCGGGTTTCGCTTGGAAGCTCAAGTAACTAAACCCGAGACCCTGACCCTAAATGGCTTGAAGACAGGGCCCTTTGTTATTGAGTCTCCGGTATGATATGCTCGTTATACTTCGGGTCGGGAACCTGGCATTTGGATCAACCGCCAAATAGCCGCTTCATCTTACCCCTCCAACAGCCTTTTTCAGGAAGAAAGGACTGGACTGGACAACTAGTTGAAAAGTAATTCAAGCCCTTAACCCTCAACCAGAAACCCTAAACCCCAACCGCTATCCGGCCCGCAACAAGACAGCCAGAATTTCTAACTCCTACATGCTGTTTGTAAGAGTCACTCACGAAATCATGATTTTGCTTTTCAGCTGCGACTGCTTCGGCAAATCCGATGATGCAGTGCTGCCACAACAACATATTATGAATGCAGAGAATAACTTGGTAATGCTAACACGAAGATATCTATATTGTTTCAAGATTGCACTTAAGATTGTAGTCAGGTTGTACTTCTAGAAATGCCGACTGCGATGCCTTTTTTTTGCCATCTCGGCGCGTGGCGGTGCTCTGGGACTCCACCCTCGCGTCAAGCAATCGATTGGAGGCTCCGTTCGGAGACCCATCTTTAGCTGTAGTTCGTGCGCAGACACTAAGATCAGGCGATGCATCCATCCTTAAGTAACAGTAGTGGCATTGTTTGCCTATCAGAACGTAATGCACGACAATCCTTGGGCTTCCGACCATCGTCATGGCCTCGGGCGCCTGTTGCACTTGCACATGGATGCTGTTCTTTTGCAGATCCATCTCGTCCCTCTCCCCACTCACCTTCACGCTCGCAGGTGCGGCGAGCCTGGATAAGGAAGCAAAATGAAGTATAGACGAGGAACGACAGGAGTCACTTGCAGCAGCCTCTCTCCCTCCACATCTTCCCTGAAGAAAACTTCGGAAGGAGGTGGCAAGCGCCTCGGAACTCGTCATTCGACGGCCATGGCCTATTCAAACCGAACCTAACACGTCAGAGCGCTCAGAAATGGACCCCATGGCAGCGGGAGCAATGAAAAGGCCGACCACTACCAGGAGTCTGCTCAGCACCACATCCTTCCAGCTCTGAAAAGCGTGGACAATTTGTTGGACAGCCAGGCACACACTGGCACACACTTGCCTCATCCCAGGTTTGGATGCCTACCTGTTTGAAGTACGGCATAGGATTGCCTGCGCGGCCTGTGCGCACTGAGGCCCAGGCCGCGACCAAGCTCAGTGCCAGCACCAGCACCGCAGAGCGCTGGCAAAACCCGCAGGAAGAGTTGCTGACAACATCCCCGGCAAGCAACATGGCTCTTGAGCATGCATCTGCTTGTGCCTGAGGGTGCGCTAGCGTCCTGCGACAAGACGGCACATGCTTCGGAAGGAAACGAGCGCAAGTAGTGTGAGGCCGAGAGGTAGAGCAAATCATCTGACCTGACGAAGGTCTCCAACGAGCTGCTTGTGGTTGAACTAAGACCTCACAGAGATGCTCTGTATCGGCTCCCATCAAGTAACAGCTTCGACAGTCGCCAGCCTTCCAGGCATTCACCTGCCTTAGCAACCCGCACGGCTGGTCAAAGTCATTGACTCGCATTATCCGGGCAGATGGCGCTTGAAGTTTTCCCGGGCTGCTTGGCGTCCTGCTTCCACGAGAAGGGGCAGTTTGCGACCATGTATATACCCCGTACAACTAAGGCTATCCCATAGCTCCTCCCCTCTGCGTCGCATGATCTCTCATGAGGGATGAGGAAGCGGGCAGCGCCATGCCAACATCTCAGCTTGAAGTGTGAATATTGACGTTCTTTTGTAGACTTGGCTTGCCAAGGACAGATTTTCTAGCACTGGCCACGCTGTCGGTGAGGACCCACATGCGAATGCACAGAGATCATAATCCTGCAAGTTTCCTCATAGGCCTGGCAAAAGTCTTCGGATTGGCGAATCAAAACTGTGTCGTGAGTCAAGGTAAGCTGCGCCAGAGTACCTCTGCAGCTTTGCCTTCGCGCCTTCTCTCAACGAATACGCGCACTGCTCCACTGCTCCTATCATCTCCTATCTCCTAGACTAGAGTGTCTGGCATGGGCCAGTTCCATGTCTTTGCAACTGCAGCTCTTAGAGCGCAACAGGTAAGACATAAAAAGAGGCTCGGCACAGAGTGCTCACCGCATCTCTGTGGCTAGAGTAAAGAATTCCTGGGGAGACGTGCAGCTACGAGCCATGTCGTTTTGACAGGAGCTGCAAGCTGCTCCACAATTTTGCACAGCTTTGTCTGTGCTTACCTGCACGGTTTTGTCTGTGCAGGTGTTCGCGTTGGATTCCGATCAAGCAACACACATATTGCCTCAGCAGGTAGACGGCTAGCAAATGGCATGGTGCAGCTGTGCATGGAGGATGAACTCAGGGCGACGCATGACGAGCCCTCAATAGAGAGAGCGCTCTGTGAAAGGCCTCCCGACTCCAGACTCGCAAGATCTTCCACAACCTGCCTCTGCCTGGAGCATGCCCAATGCTCCCTGAGCTGCGGGCGAACCGTGCGCGGCTCGGGTTCACCCTGACAGCACTCGGACTCACTTGCACATATGTCGTGAGCACTGCAACAAGTGTACTGAGAAGGAAGCAGGCAAACGCTTGTTGTTGCAGGCACAATCTGTCAAGCCAAGGAAAAACCTGTCCAAGGGAGCGCCAGCCGCGAGACAAGGCACGGGCCGTCGGGTACTGAGGTGCAAACTGCTGTTTGGCCATACCAGCCATACCAGCTCCTCCTGCTCCCTGAGTTCATCAATGGCATTGAGCAAGCAGCTGATCAAGCAAACGCACACCGACCACAGAAAAGGGCCACCCTGTTTTATGTGGATACCGGCAACTATCGCGAACATCTTGAGAATGTAAGCGTTTGCTCCGCATTCAGCGGCGGACCAAGGCTTCCTCGAAGCTGAACATCTTGTGCATCTCTTTCGACCTACGGTCACCACAGGTCATGATCGTTGCAGCTTCAACGCTGTACAGGTCATGTCGGCTTCAGCGCCAAAGACCCTATGGGCCCCTGGCATCTGCCGATGTCGGCCTGCAGCTGACCTCTGCGCCGTGACCTTGGCAGGAAGAATTCCCATGAGAGTTGAGGAGATCCTGTTTTCGGCTGAAAGCAACACAGGCATCTCCAGCGCCAGTTCAATCTCTGCATGAAGAAAAGCCACACTGGAGAAAGGGACAATGAACATGGCATTGCTGACTTCGAAACCTTGCGCAAGGGCCCGTTGATTCTGAGTGCCAGGCATCCAGGAGCTTCAGTCGCAGCGCAGAGCCAAGGCCTACAGGGAAGAGGCGCTCGCGATGGCCAAGGCACTTCCGGTCCCCTTCCCAACCTGACTCCAAGAAATCTCCGCGAGAGCATATGCCTGCAGCGAAGAGGCCACTCGTGACTGTAAACGAAGAGCGGAAACTCCGCCATGGCACTGATTTCGCCACCACTCTCTTAAAGTCTTTATGTGACGAGTGCATCCACCTGTCCGGACCCGTGGACTGGAGCAGGGATTGAAAACTAGTGGCTCGGTGTCACCGTCTGTGCTTGGCACGGTTCAGCGGAGCCCAAGAAGTCTAACACAGCGCGTTTTGCTCACTTGTGAAGTTGCGCTCTGGCCACACAAAGCCGAGACTTGAACCAGGCTCCGTTGTTGATGAAGTGACACCTCAACTCACCTGCTGCTTTTGCCGTATATTGTCCGCTTACGACACCCTCGGTCGCCTGCACCAGACCATCGGATTTCTGAACCAACTCAGGAGAAACTCCATCTGCAACGAACCAGAGCTCATATGAGATGTCCCAGTAGCAAACTCGCAGCTCCCAGTCCAAAGTGCAGGGACCTTCTGCCCTTATAAGGGCTACCTCTTCTGTGCAACGAGCGCGTACCTGGACGACTTGGCAAGGGCCTGCCAGTGCACCTTCCCGATGCATGCCTCCCAGGCCTTCAGGTACCTTGTCGGCCGGAATGGTCTCAAAGAGTTGTGCATGGTCGTTTTCACCCAGGATCTGAAACTTTTTAAGTGTTCTCTCTGGGATGAATATGGAAAACGCCTTGAACAGCTTTGCGAAAGCTGTCGGAAAATTCACGAAGATAGTCTTGCCCTTCGTCTCTGGGTAATGATCGGAGAACACTTTCGTGACAGCGGAAACTGCATCCTTCACCTGCGACGTCTGAAAGATTAGTGGCACACCTGAGTAGTCGTGGACCTGAGTCAACTCCTCGGGCTCGCCCTTCTTGAAAGAGATCTTGGCCATTGCCTCTTCCATCAGCTTCGCACGATACCTGACAAATGCTTCGATGTCGCCAAAGACTTTCTCTAAGTCCATCTTCCCAAATCGGCTGATCATCACTGGCCTGCCTTCCACATCCAGGCCGCTTATGACGTCATGGCCCTGATAGCAGTCCGGCAGAACTGCATCCCTGAGCCCGTCAATCTTGCAGTCAGCTCTGAAGACCAATGTCTCGACGATGCGATCAGCTGCCTTGTCTAGGTTCAGCTCCTCTGCACGGATGTACTTGAGAAGAATGATGTCAGAGGCCTCACAGTCTTTCTCGAGGTCTACGCCCCAGATTGTGAGTCGCTCGGCGGTCTTTGCATCCTCCGATGTTTCCCGCGCTTTGGCCACCAGAGATGGCACCCGTCCACGAAGTTCGGCCAGCAAAGCCCGCTCAGTATCGCCCAACTTGTGCAAATAACAATGAGATAAATCCACCATGCTCTTTGAAAGCCGTCACTCGGCCGTATCCCTAAAGAACCTGAATGCGTCGGCATGTACATCTTGTCTTGCATGGCAAGTCTCACTCACAACAGGCATGTGATGTCCTGTTGACAAAGACTTGCCTTCTCGCAAATTCCAAGGATCGGGATAAGCCAGCACCAGGTGATCCTGGCTTTTGTGTCCTGCCACTCATGGCATCACCGAAAGCGACGTTCTTTAACACTGAGTACTTGGAATCTCGTAGCGGTCCTGAAGTAGGACTGCCTGGTTCTTCGTCTGGAACATGAGACGGTGTCGGAACCTGAAGAGAAGAGCTCAAGACTTACGCTCGACTCGAAGAACACCTGCAGGCTCGGATTCAAGCTGTTGAGCGAGGAGTCACTGGCTTTGACATCGCCTCCTAGCCACCATGGTCTGATCTTGCATCATGCAAAGCAGCCACAAGTGCACGGTGCCTCGGTAATTGACTTCCACACCTCTTGCACCAAGTCCAGACATCTCATGTCGGCCAGACGGCCTGGCAACACACCAGATCGATGTATTCTCAAGATCGACACAGCACGAGGCCTTCAAACTCTTTTGCGACCGCGCGGGTGATCTGCCCGCGGGTTAGGAAGCCCACCTGCAGTAGAAGCGGGACCAAGCAAGGCTGGGCTCATGGGTCACAGTGAGTCACCTGCCTGACTCCAGTCCCAGAAGTCGAACCACCTGAGAATGCGCTCAGACAGACGGCCCCTGCCGCCGCCGCGGATGCTCTGAGAGTCCCCTGCCGGCCGAGAGCTTCAGAGCTTGCGGCCGCTGCCAGGCCTCGGCCCAACGCATCCGCGGGCTTCGCCAGCGCAGGTGTGTTGCCGCCGAGGCTTCTGCAAGGTTGAGGTCTCTGACCACGGTGCACGAGCTTCAAACGAGCGAGAATCCAGACCTACAGCTTCCATGAGGCGCAGCTTAAGCTTTCCCTGTCCCGTGAGCCGGAGGCCAAGAGTCCACCATCTGGATCCTGGGAACCCGTGCGAAGACGCTGAAAAACCAAGAGTGAGAAAATGCTTCTGGACTGTGACTGCCTCGAAAGCCTTTCGGGTGATTCGGCCGGTACCTGCGTCAAGATAACGGTCGCGAAAGGCGCTCAGAAGCGGCCCGATCCTTCCTGCTCTCTGATGATACTGTATTCGTGAGACTGTGGGCGAAGCGACTTCTGACGAGACACATGGTCAAATTAGTAAGCAGACGGCATAGCCTTGAACTACTCTTGGGAATATGTAGTGCGATGACCACGCGTTTGCACATGGAATGAACAGTAATCCCGTCCGCCGGGAGGCTGAAATCTTGCCCGGTCCCTGCCGGTCCTTCTTTGTCCCACTGACGCCAGAGCTCGGACGACTGCAGCTGGGCCGCTGGAAGGGGAGAATCCTTGTTCAGCTTGGAAGTTCACTCGCAGATCTCATCCCAGGCATCTACTGGGCGGCTATGCTTCTGGCACTGATTTGAATCATCTCGTCGTCCGAGGCAGTGATCTGAGTGTTGTCACCTGGAAGACTCTCCAAAGGCTGGCGAGACCGAAACTGTGTCAGCAGTCCATGGCAGTTCTCAAGGCTCTCGCTTTCTTGCGCGACGGCATCATTCACTCCCTTGCACTTTGATGCTTCATCCTGCACAGTATGATGCTTCAGCGGAGTGTCTCTGTTTTGCATTCTCGAACCTGCGGCAAGTGGTTGTCGTCCGGTTTGAGAAGGGTCTCCAGCTTTTCGCGATCGATGGGAAGCACCACGGACTCAGGCCAACGCACTTCTGAACAAACCACACCGATGAAAGCAGCAGACAGCTGTACCCGTTGGCCTCTTCAGGCTGATTTTCTGATGCTCCGACGAACTCAAGATTTGGCACATGTCCCGTACCGTCTTGCATAACGCAGATCCCTCTCCTCTGGATCACGGTGCAGACATACCTACTGTACCCGTGCCCGTCTAGGTGCTTCTGTGCTGCGGCTATTTTGACCCGCCGGGCACCGCCGCTTACCCGATTAGCCCCCTGATTGGTCTCGGGCTTTGGGGTCCGAGGTTTGTGCAAGGTTCAAAGAGGCTGGAAGCACAGGTGTTTGTGGAAGCGCAGACTGGCAGACTGGCCCTACCGCCGAGATCGCCACAGGACGAACCTGCCAAACAACCCGGGGTCCAGAGCTTGTGCTCTCTTCCAATGACGGTCCCTGGCCAGGAGAAAGCTACGTTTACGAACAACGGAAGGAAGGGGGCGCTCCCGCGCCGGCACACAATTGAAAAGACTGGCAGGCTCGTGCGAATTCTGAGAAAGCACCTACTTGTACATGCATGTGCTAGCACCAGAGTCACTGCAAAAGCGCTTTTGATGGTGTCCTCGCGATGATTGTCGAAGATGCGAAGGGGGCTCTTGCTAGTGTGAGCATGTCTTAGCGGGTTGGGCGACGAAGTGTTGGCAATCACTTAACGTCCCGGGCGTGTGTCTTGGGAGGGTTCACAACGCTTCCTCTGCGCAAGTCCATTTAAAGTCCCACAGGCTCAGCCAATGCTGCCAGACGGTGCTCTTTACCCTTAAGCCTGTGTCCAAGACAGGAGAGCGACGAAACAAAGAAGCTGAGCTGTCGGCCAGCGCCCCGAGCACCTTCGGAATCACAACGAGTTGAGTCTGATATCCTTTTGTTAAACCTATCTTGGAAGTGGGGCCGTCCCTTTGAGAAGCGGAAGCGCTTCATTTGGAAGCCTCTTCGAGGTCCAGATCTCCAGTGCGGTCAATGTCCATCGCATCAAACCAGGCACCAGGATCTGAGGCAAGAAAATCTACAAAGGGATAGATGTTTGCATCGCGTGTGGTATAGGGCGGCAACTGTGACGTATGTCGGGCATCTCCCGCACCTCACTGAAGCATGCCCGGCCTTAGTCATGTTTCCATTGGATAAAAAAAATCGAAGAATTCCGTCATCACAGCTCGCGACAGACTGGACACTTGCGCGACGCCAACTGTTGCGCACACTCTAAGTGGAAGATGTGTCGGCACGCCTGGCATCAGCTGTCCAGGCTGGGAGGAGCTACTGTCAAATCGTGAAGTGAACGAGTGAGTGGCGCCCAGCCCAGCTTGCCGGCTGCAAGCAGGTAAGCAAGGCGGGACCCACTGCAAACCTCACAAAAGCAGCGCACAGCTGTGCAAACAGCAAAGAGGCCGCAAAAAGACCCAGACCCGGCCTGCTCCAGGCAGATGACACACTCACTCACTTCGCCTTGCAGGCTCGCCTCGATGCTGTCTGGCCTCGCAGGACTGCGGCGGCGCTGCTGCCCTCTTCTGGCCGAGTCCGGCACCTTGTGTTCTCGCTGAGCGTATCGAGATGGCTCAGCGCCTAAGGGGCCAAAGGCCGAATCATCGACCTCTCTCTGTCGTGAGGCATGACGCAGCACTTCCCCTTGGCGGCGGGCATGAAGCAATCGCACATTGGACTCCACCTGTGCTCGTGATGTGTCGGTGGAATGCGTTCAATGGACATCTGTGCCTGGTACTGGCGACGATTTCGCATGTAGTCGGCAACACCATACCTGAGTGAATCAACACAGGAGCGCATTCCTGGTCAACTGTGTGGCAAGCAGTGCAGCGGCAGATGCGGTTCTCGCCATCTTACACGTGACAGGCAAGATGTTGGGCTACAAGTAGCAAGCCTATGACAATACATCCAGGACATCCAAGGGCGCACCGCGGATCCGGCATATACTTACCTGCAGACACAAAGCGGTCAGGCCAGCCGTCAGCCTGCTTCGAAGCTCTTAGAGTTAAGCTAGATCATGCTCTGCAGCTTTCCGGCAGTCGTGTTCCAACATCTGCAAAGTAGCACGATGTGTCAAACTTTCGGCACTGCAGTGCAGGTTCGCGCGAAGCTGCATGGAGGTCTAGACTCTTCAAGTCTGGAGGCACGGGTACGCCAAACGGGTCTTGCATTGCGACGTGTTCATCTTCGGATCGTTACATAACCTTTCCCGGGTGTCCTCCACAGTACCATGCAGAAGGTGGCTTGGACTCCAGTTGTTAATGTCGATTTGGACTTGGCAGCCATTGATTTCGAGTCGATAGAGGAATTTTCTTCCAGACGGGGTCAGGGGCACGGGATGTCTCTTGCCAAGTGTCCGGAGTCACACAGGTCTCACTGAAGCGCAAAAGAATGCACCTTGCATCTCTACGATGTGGGCCAGGATCTTCTCCAGTCGCTTTCGGCGCTCCTCGCCCTGTGCACACGAAAGTTTGCGAACTCTGCCTGAGAAGCCGACTTGCTTGCAATCGGACAAGGGAGCGCGCGCGCTCCCTGCTCCCGAAGGCGCACCGGTCTCAAGGTCTGTGTGACACTGGCAAAAAGTCGACTCTCTCTCTCTCTCTCTCTCTCTCTCGACTCTTTCCGGCTCTTGCCTTCATCTCAGCTGCTCCGAACCCCAGGCGCATGCCGCCGAAGTGGTCGGGATTGTTGAGGAAGGGCTGAGTGATGTGAAGCACCAAGCAGAGCCTCACAGTGGTTGGGCGTCAAGAAGTAATGAGCAACGGTACGTTGAGCAAGGCACCCGAACGTCTGCGTGTCCGTCAATGAAGGGACCTTTCTTCGCACGCTGCTCGTCGCGGCTCAAGCATGGTACTGCTGCAAGTTGATGCAAGTTGCAGTCTAAGCTTCCCACGTGTGCCCTGTGCGGCACGCTGACGTTGTACGTCATTCGGTCTCGATCAAGGGCCCAGATCTAGCAGCAGATGCAGGAGTCTGCAGCCCAAAGCATCGCAGGGGCATGTACTGACATGAGGCGCATCGAGTAGGCGCATAAGGCCAGCTCCACTCGAATGTTTGTGACGATCAAGTGGCCAACAAGGTCCTGGAGAGGAGCAGATTCGATCGCAAGATATCGCAAGGCTTACACTTCCGACTCGACCGCCTCTTGGGAGGCCCCGAAGTTCAAGATTCCGTGGTAAGTCTCCGCAACCTGCGCCCCAAACTCGCAGTCTCGGCTTCCTCGCAGAGCCCTCGAATCCTAGGATGCCGTGCCTCTTCGTTCGGGAGGAGATTCAGCTCGGGCTGGCTCACTCCCTTGTGGGCGAACAAGTCTCGCCTGATGAAGAAACTGCAATGCTCTTCTTGGCGTTCTTGTGAGCACTTTCGTCATCTCAAGGTCTTAGAAAAGGACTGGCGGAGGGCGCAGTGCAGAAAGTAGTGGGCCCAGTTGTAGGCCTCAGCAGCGCAATTCAGTTTACCTGTGAGACTTAACTTCAAGCTGGGTTTCTGGGTTCTGCGACCTTCAGCGCTTTGTCTAGGAAACTCGCCAGCGTCTGCACGGGTCGTCGGAAGTCCCAAGCCCGAAGCGGGCACTCACATCACAGCACGTGCCGGTCTCGGCCTGATGCCAGGCTTCGCTTCCTTCCGGGCCCGATTCCTCGAGCAAGCTGAGGTTCAACGCGATACTCGCACAACTCGGACGGCAACTCGGTCCTCCGGAATGGCTGTGGTGAACGCCGGAACGGTCTCCGCTGGCTGCAGGACCTGGAGAATCATCTCGAACTGATCGCCGTAAGCCTGGCGGAGGCTCCACACGAGCGCTCTGTGGCGAACATCCTGCACACTGCTCGTCTTCCTGAGGCCGTGAAACTACCAGGACAGGCGTGGCTGAGCAATGCATTTGTTGGCTCGTCAGCACAGAAATACACAAACACACACACACACACAAGCAAACAATCAAACAAGCAAACAAACAACCTCTGCCAGTACGCGACCACATCACATCTACCGCATCTGCCGCCTCGCGAGAAAAGTGGGTCTACGGTACCGAAAACATCCGAAAACATCTAGTGCGGGCCAATCGAAGCAGATTGGACTCTCGGCCTACTTAAGCCGTGCGCACAGCACCAGCAGACATGAGAAGAGAAAACGCTGCACAGAATTCCTCAGCAGCATGAAGCTTGCAGGCTTGAACACTGTGATTTCAGCGAGTTTGCGCATCTCTGTGGTGTTGGTGCGAGCCCACCGTTCCGGTGCTGGAACGAGTACGACTGACCGTTCACGACGACTCGTCGTACTTTCTGCAAGCAGACCCCTTGCAAGATCTCGCAAGCCTAGCCCGGAGACGCAAGCTGCCGAACGAAGCCTTCAACCTTGAAAAGCCAAGCCTCTCTGGCCACGATGCGGACAGCACATCCACCAGCATCAAAACAAACGATGCCCACCTGGCAACTGCGACGGGTTAGCACATGCAGCTCCATCTTCCGTGTCTGAGTCGGGCCTCCTCTATCATGCCATAGCCAATTACGATGGCACTCCCAGCCAGCCGCCTGCAGCTTTGCTGATTCCCTCAAGCGCGGTTGTGTGAGACGGGCCCCTCCCTGCCTTGCACGTTTGGAGGTCTTTGGCTGCCCTGCTGTGGTGCTTGGGAAGGTAGGAGGAGCATGCCACCACCTTGCAATTTCTGCCCAATGGCCGCTTGACTCGGGGCTTCCAGCACTGCAAGTCTGAGCTCACCACAAATACAGCTCGGTAAGAACCAACACCTCAGACCAGCATCAGTTCTCGGCACAACATCCACTGCAATCTATCGTTTACCTCAAAGGATTTTCTTCCCAGCCAAACGCTCCTCTCTCTGAAGGAAACCTTTCTAAGCAGCTATTGACCACTGGTGTGGCCAAGTTGGAATAAGGATGATGACGATGAGGACGACCACGACGACTATAAACTACTACTACTACTACGACGACTACTACTACGACTACTACTACTACTACTACTACTACTACTACTACTACTACGACGACGACTAAGACTACTACTGCTGCTGCTACTACTGCTGCTGCTGCTGCTGCTTCTACTGCTACTGCTACTGCTAAAGCTACTGCTACTGCTACTACAACAACTACTACTACTACTACTACTACTACTACTACTGCCACTACTACACCTGCTGCTGCTACTACTACTACTACTACGACGACTACTACTACTGCCACTAGCCACGCCCCCCCCCCCTACCAACTACCCCTTTTACATACACTTGTAACCCACATCCGTTTTACTCGGTATTTACAGCACTTTCGTCATGTAGGAACATCTTATGAAGCCTCAAACTTCACCTGCGAGTTTTCAAACTCCAGCATCCGATTCTGGACTGCAGAAAGAATGATGACGACATTGTTACGCCGACACCCCGAACAACATCTCCGGAAGAGCCATTCTACTCGGTATTTACGGTACTTTCGTGACGTCAGCCATCTTTTATACTCGCCAAGCCTACCTCTGCGCTTTGCTACGTTGTCTTTTGCCTTTGCGAGGGCTTTCAGCGAAAACTCGAAATTGGATGGTCATAACTCTTCGAGGCTGCCTGTACGTTATCAGCCCCCCAAAGCAACGTATGCAAAAGGGGTAGTTTGTGGGGGGGGCCGCCTACTGGTAGCACAGCTGCTGCGACTGCTACTACTGCTACTACTGCTACCGCTACATGGACGCAAACGTTGTTACGGTTTGGGCATGATTGCGCTGGTCATCGCACGCAGTTGGCGCTGGACGTGATTTCGGTTTGGGCATGGATGTGCTGGTCATCGCACCGTTGACACCCTTCCCCACTCCCCTCCATTCTCAACAAAACGTGGACGTTAGCACGGTATTCACAGCAAAAGTGCAGCGGAAGTGCCTGATAACCCCAGACCTGATACGCACACGCGTGGTACTACCGCCAACAGGAAGAATCCGACCGCCGGCGTTGGCAAGCCTCAGAACTACAGCGAAACTACGTATCCAAGCTTCCAGCGCCAACTCTGGTGTAGTCAGCCGACCCAGTGTTATACACCCGGACGTCCTGCGTCATGCTATGTTTAAGCTGGCCTGGCAGCTGTTCAAGCTTGGGCACACAGATAGTCCTCGACCTCATTGAAGCGCATGATCTCTTGCCCTAGCAATGGGCAAAATTGCGGGTTAGGGCAGATTGTGCTGCAGCAGTGGTGCCTCCTTCCTTTAAAACAGATTCCCAGACCTTGACCCTGTCCTGTCCTCAGCTACACCGGCAGCCATCTCCGTTGTTTGGCTCTAACAACTCTTATTCAGGCCCGCACTTGTGAAGCTCTCATAATACACCTGGGCAGGTGCCACATCGACAACCTCTGCTGGGGCTGACATGCTTCGCAAATCAGCTCGCGCCTTGTGGTCGAAGGGTTGCTCAGGTTGCAGGGCCGTAGATCTGGACAAACCCTTGCAACAACATCCTCAGCAGGACCAAACAGGTGGCAAGCACGACTCAGTTCAGATTCTCACCGAGGCAAAAGCCCCCCATGGTTGCAAAGAAGGCCTCTCGGCTCAAGTGTCTTATCGTTACGCAAACCACGTGAAAACAAAAAGACACGGCAGGAGTCGAAGCTATGAACTTGTAAGAGAAATCCGAAGGAGAGGCGAGGGGGAGGGAGAGGGGGAGACAACAAGATAAGCAGGTCAGAAAGGCTACTGAAACGATGCGTTCTCAGTGAAACGACAGAGCGCTCAAGAATCCGCGGAATTGCGTAACTACAGTATATCGCACTTCCGAAACCTTGAACTTGCAAAGTGCGCACCTCGGCGGCGCAAGGAAATTGCCAGGACTGGCACTGGTCGTGCCAAGTGTCGTACAGTCTTGCAGACTCCCTGCACAGACTAGCAGCACCTCAAAACCAAACAAATGCCAGCAAGGTGCATCCGTTGGCGTGCATGAACCTACCATTCTTCACTCATCTTCAATCCGCTGCTTGGCCAGCTGCATCGGAATGGCCATGAAGTCGCGTTCCACAGACCAGCCTAGCTCAGGATTGGAGAGACGTTTCAACGCCGCCTGCCACTCATAGTTCGACCGAGTGCCGAACGCCGACCTGGAAATGCACAAGCTAAATGGAACGACTGTGGTCCGAGCCAAATGCGAATCGAATCTGCCAAACATGCACTCGCCCGAAAAATCCCACGGACACAGACTTGGGCGACGTGAAAACACGATTCATCCACCTGAACTATTTTGTTCGGGTAGCCAAGCAATTCTTGCTCGAATTGGTCTTGCACGTGGACATTATCACTACGCTTGTGGCATTTATTGAAAAGTTGGCATCTGCATTGGCATAGTCGATGGACTGTCGCAGACTTCAAAATGGATATCGTAAACTGTACATTCGCTTCGCGTTGTTCGAATTTCCGTCGGATTAGCTGTGACAGACTCAGATCGCAGTCCAATGCGGCGCAGGCACCTGCACCAGGACGAGTCACATATCACCGCTTGCAGTCTACAAACGACCCACACCCCACAGTGGCACACTAACAGATTCAGCATGTGATAACATGTGTGGACCCCGTCGCAGGGAAGAGGGGGCGAAAGGGACCATCGAGGAGTTTGATGTATAGAGGAGGTCCGACCACTCGCACCGAATGCAGTGTGGTGTCCTCTCTTTCTCCTCACCTGTCCGAGCTTCTGTGCGCGTCCTATGCCTGGCATCATGTGAAATTGGCACGGCTGCGTAGTGGGAGTGTGGTGTGGGTCCGGGTGGGAGTGGGCGTTTCGCGGGGTGCGGCGGGGTGTGGTGGGGCTGTCGTGCGGGTGTGGTGGGGGTGTCGTGAGCTCCGGCCTGTAGAGCTTAGGCATTCCTTCTCAGCCTTGTCAGACACTCAATCAGCTGACGGGGAAGGCAAACGGGTCGACTCCACTCCTCCTTCCCTACAAACTAATATGACCGGAACAGTGGTGCCTCCAACCGGTAGCTGTTTCCGGCCTGCCCCGTACGCTAGTCTGCTTACAAGCGCTGTAGATTGCAATTAGCTTCTCGGTTTTCCTCCTAAGACACGCAGTAAGGTGGCGGAAGGTAAATGGGTACAGTACCGACTAGGGGGTCTACTCCACTCTTCCTGCTATGCAGCCCAAAATAACCGGCACATCGGTGCCTCTGGCCGGTACCTGTTTCAAGCGAGTTCCTTGTAACACACCCAGCAAGCTAGCGGTCGAAGGTAAATGGTGCCGAGCTAGGGAAGCTAGGGGGTCCACTCCGAACGCAAAGTTCTGAGGTTGCTCCCCGAAACTGATAAACGGAAATGCTGAAACGCCTGCACCTGCTTGGCAGGCGAGTTGGCGAAAGGTGTCAGCACGCCAACCGACAATGGAGACTCAGTGGCACAAACACGGCAGTCGTGACACAAAAGAACCGCTTGGATTCAGCCCCAGGCATCTGGAACGGGCTGAATGGGCGGCCATGACCTCAACACGATGTAAGTTTCCGTGACGCGGTGTCGAGGAAGTTGCAGCAGCCACAGGCTTCTTTGTGCAAAGTGCAGTTTGCTGAGCTGGGGGCTGCTGTCTTTGGACGCCGGGTCGTGCAGGCTGCTGGAGTTGCTGGTAGAACCCAGGGTCGCCGGCATCACCACCGTGACATTGAGAAGGCGGTGGGTACAAACTTCCCAGGATGGTTGGAGGCATAGTTGGAGGCTCCAGCCGTTCCGCAGTCAGCTGCACTTGAGGCTGAGTTGGAGGTGCTGACAACTGCGGCACCGTGTCTGGCCCAGTGTCGAAACCCGAAAATGCTTCGGCAGACCGCCTGGCCAGCCCATCTTCGAATACGAGCGGTACACTTGTGAGCACGGGCTGCGGAACCTCGCGACTTCAAGCTCGTGCTGGGGAAGACCAGCCTGAAATGCTCAAGGACTCGCAGTCTCAGCCTCCTTTTCAACACCTGCGGAATCGAGGAGCCTCCTGTCCCTGACGTACTGCAGCGAGAAGGGCATACGGATTCCTGCGATCTGTGCAGTGCGAGAAACTTCCCGACGCCGCCCGAGGCCACGGCCCGCTGGTCCGAGCCAGATGCAACTCCTGGCCCGGACTCGACTCACTCGACCAGCTGAGCAGCGAGAGCCCGACTTTGGCGTTCTCTTCGCAGTCCCTGACGCGTCCTGGCGCGCGTGGAGACGAGCGTTCAAGGCGTCCAGATGCCTCAGCCATCGCATCTCTAATTGGAGCAGGCATGGTGACAAGGTGTGACAAGAAGTCAGAAAAACTGTGCTGCGCTCCGCTTGGCCGCAGAAAGCTCTGGCGGGCCAAGACCTTCAAAAGAAAAACCGGGTTTCTGTCAGAGGTTCTCAGAGTCTTGTGACCCCGCCTCCGAGTTCTGCTTGCTTGATAGCCGCCTCTGTGAGCACAGCGGCGAGCCGTCTTCTGCGAAGCCGTGTGAGACCCCCCAAATTCGGAGCCTGTAACCGGACGGCATCGTTGCTGGCGAGAGCACCATCGAGCTGCTGCCTGTTCGCAGAGGCCTTCTGGCTCTCAATGAGATGAATCAGTTGTGCCTCAGCCAGCTGTGGGACTCCAACTCTCGAAGCCGATGCCACGCGGACTCCACCTGTCGGCTGAGCCGCGGAGCCCCCAAACAAAAAAAACCCCAAACAAGAACAACTGCAGCTGCCAGCAGTCAGTGCGAGCTCCCTGCTCTGCACACACAGAGAGAGAGAGGAAGAGAGGGGTGCTGGTGCTTCCTTCCTTGCCGGGCTGCGCCTCCGCGCCCGTCATGCCAGCGTCCTTGGAGTACTTCTGCGGAGGCGCCCAACCCCACACGGGGCGAATGCGCTTGTTGAGGCAAGGAGCCGTCGCCGCCCGGGCGGCTGCCCGCAAGCGCACAGCGTCACCTGTCTGAAGCGCCTGCGGATGCGCAGCAGTGCACAGTGCACCCATCATGGTCGTTCTGTGCTGTTCGGGTCAAAACCGCGACTCTTCGTTCTGCAATGCTTGAGAATATTGATTGAATATTGAGAACTTCAGAAGAGGGCCACGAAAGCTGGGGGAAGGAAGCTCAGCCCCGTTCGTCGAACGCCATGCGGAGAAGATCTGCCACTTGCGTTTGAAACATTAATGCTATGCTTCATAGAGGCGGCGTGGATTTCGTCGAAACAAGACGCGAACCATCCTTGTGACTCCTCCCTCCCTCGCCGAGCTTCTTGTCGTCGTATGATGTACAACTTTCGTCTGTGGTGGTGACTTCAGCTTCGCTGAGTTGGCAAGGTTCTTGGCTTGGGCCGTCACCTCTCTCTGGCGACTCTGGTTTAAAGCTTAGCCTTACAAATGCATCAGGGAACTCGCAAAATTACGTACTTGCAACATTTATCAGCAAGGCAATTGCCTGGAGAGGGCGTGAGGGCACAGCTGATTTCGCACAAGCGGCTTCATTGCCTACATGCAGCATTGCAGCACCATCTGGGTGATCGCGTGTATTCTACAAAGATCTGTGCGATGCATTTTGGAGACTCATCCGAGATTTGCTTGGCAGCCCTGTGGTGGTTTGGTGTTCAGATGGCCGCTGCCGTGGCCGGCCGGGAGCCATGGACTTCCTCGCTTGGTTCTGTCCCCGGTCTGAGAGCTGCATTTGGTGAGTGGAGTTGGGTTAGGTCCATCAAAGCTTCATAGCAGTATGAGGACTCGTGCTGCTGCGCCAACCTGGCGGGATTGGCTTCCTGTGCCTCGGCAAGCTCGCGACCAACGCTTGACTGTCCAAGCTTCTGGAGATGCTTTTGTGCTCGGGCCACCTCAAGAGGGGAGCGGCAGCCGTTCACAATGCGTCTGCAGCACAGGTACGCATTGAGATGCACGCCTCTTGTCGGTTGAGACCTGCTTGCTTCCCATCCTCGATGCATCTCCTTGTGAAAGGCACAAGCAACTGCTACGGTTTGCCGACGGCGAAATTTGTGGCACCTCAGAAGCTCTACGTCTTTTGCAGTCACAGCTGCCTGCCCGGTGAATTCGCCAAAAGAACCAACGTCTGCACTGCACCAGCTTCCCGGCCTCGATGCTGCGCCGCACGTCAGCCTGCATCACAAAACAGCAGCCACTCAGTCACGCTCCCATCCCCTCCCACTCTTCAACGATCGGCCAGAGGTATGCCTGCAGCTCCAAGCACCGCAGGGCCTCTCTGGCACCTAGCACAGCATGCGCTGCGACTCGCGCGCTGCAGCACCGTAGTGCCGTCCGTTACCTGCAAGTTCTGATTCCGACACTTCTGCTCGTTTGGCAGCGGTGATTGCCGCACGCAGCCTCCCGTCACTCGCACATGCGGGGGCATTTGCACATGAGCGGGAAACGGGCCAGACGTTAGCATATCAAAGACCTGCCCACTGCACATTTTTCCGTCTGATTGATGACGACTATCGCTCAGCAGGCGGGAACTCGGCCACGGCTCAGACATCCAAGCTCCTGGGCGAACGACAAAAGTGCAGAGTTTCGCAGCAGCATACTGGCTGTTCGGCAATGCCCAGGCAAAGCTTGCAAGTTTCAATTTAACCTCAAGCAGTTCTGCCGAAAGTTCATGGGCTTGAAAGCAGCTATCCTGTCTCTTCTGCTTCAGACGTGTCTGACGTCCGCAGAGTCTGCAGCTCATCTAAAAAACAAAAGCTGTCTCTCAGTTCAGGAGGATGCCGTCGTACTTGGTCTGAAACCACTTCATCCCATCCTCCTTCCTCAAGCGGTGCGACGATCCTACCCTGCCACGTCGCAACTTTCGATACTGCACGCGGCCACCGGGCCGGGAGAGATGAACGTAGAAGTCCATGCCGTAGATGCCGGTACCAGGGTCGTACTTGATGCCCAGGTCGATGTGCTCTGTGATGCCAAATCCGAAGCTGCCATTCCTCGCAAAATTCTTCTTGCGAAGTTCGTACTCTTTCACTTTCAAGCCCTTCTCCAGAATCTCCTCCGCTTTCTCACCACGCACGGTCACGTGGCATGCAATCTTCTCATTTCGGCGGACGCTCCACTGCCTGATGGTCATGCGAGCCTTGGAAAAGACTGGCTGCTGCTCTGTCAACTGCTCGAGCACCTTCGCAGCTCGTGTGAGACGATCTCCACTCTCACCGACACTGATGTTCAAGACCAGTTTCTCCACACGGATTTGGCGCATTGGATTTTCGGACTTATCCGCCATGGCAGTGTGCCTCACCTTCGATGCTCTCGGAGCTGCTGATGAGGTGTGATGCCGCTGAGATCCGAAATCAGACGGCCAAAACAAATCAATCTTCCACTGGGTCTACACAGGCTGCGGAGGCACCAAAACCCTATGGCAGTGCAAGGGAGCTGAGATAAAACTCGCACGCACGAACATCTGAGAGAGCAACCCGGGGCAACGGAAAGCAACCAGCGGAGAGCCGTCTACCGGATGGCTACATCGCCATGGCGGCTATGGCGGCTAGAGCACAGCGGCGGGTCGTCCAAACGGGGTTCTCAAGTTGATCTCAGCAGCATGCAAACACGGGATAAAGAATGCAGCTCTGACGCCACGATACTTCGCTGGTTGGTGGTTCCTGGAACAAGCGCAGGTGCAAAACTGTCGGAGTGGCACGCACTTTAGAACGCCGAGATTTTCAGGCAATAAGCCATGGTGGCAGTCTCTACTCAAAGGATGAATTGACACGTCCCAAAACTGTACAGAGTCTGGATGCAAGCTTCTTTTGCTGCCTATTGCAGCCAAGAGATATATCTACATCTGATTGATTGTGCAGCCTAATCGGGCTTGAATTCACAAGTCTCTGCTATGCGCTATACTTCCGATGCAGGCAGGCGTTGTTTGAGAGGGTGTCCTTGGACAACTTGATTACGACCTGAGCGGTTCGGGAGCAGATCTAGGGGAGCGAGAAGATGCAAGCACAGCCACGTTTGAAGCAAATCTGGAAAAAAGATCGTCTCGATACTATCGGCACTACCTGTAATATCAATGGCCACGGCTCACTGCAGTCTAGCCACTGAGAGTCGCGGAAGGCTCCGGCGAGGTGCCTCAGGCACGCACGACTGCCCAAGGAAACCACATCGTCTGGAAACGGGGCCCGGGCATGAGATTACTCGCTCTTGCGTTGCTTCAGCGATGCTCGGAGGTATCGAGATGGAGATGCGGTGTCGGTGGAAGGTGTTGCTTCATGGCTCCGGTGAGAATTGCTTGGGGAGGTTTTCACTTGAGGGTGCCCGTGCTCCGTCTGGTCGCCTCTGGGTGTTGCATCGCTGTCATCGGAGTCAGCATTGATCTGATCACCATTCGAAGAGATTGCATCTGAATCTTCCCCATCAATTGACAAAGAAGTGGTGGTCACGGTTGTGGATGGCACCTGCTTGCCCAACGGGGCTGCAGTCGAGAGCAAGTAACTCGCGGTCGGTGCCTGTCGGGCAGGTTTTCTTCCAACAAGGTCCCTGGGGCCGCTGTCACTGTCACCCGTCTCATTGCAATCCAAGCAATCACGCTGCTTCTGCTTCTGCTTGCGGGTCCTGGTTCTTGTAAAGGTGGTGCTGGTCGTGGTGGCGGTAGCGGTGGTGGTGGTGGTGGTGTAGTCCCAGTCCGAGCAATTCCAACAATCGCTGGAATTCGAGTCCAGACCAATGGCTTCAGTCGTGTGTACAGTAAAGGTTGTGCTACTGAGTGAGAACGTTGTGCTGCTCGTCGCTGAAAACGTTGTTGTTGTGGTCCTCGTACCTGTGACTGAGGTCGCCGTGAGAGTTGTACTCATCGTGGATGTAGAGCTTCTCGTGAGCGTCTCTGTAGATGTCTGTGTTTGGCTCGATGTTGTCCTGGTAGAAGTTGTCGAAATTGAAGTGGTGGCTGTATGAGTCAGGGTGCTGTGCGTCACAGTGACCTTAGTTGTGAGCATGTGAGCGCATGAGCAACGTCTGCGACTTCCACGGGCCGCAGAAGCAAGGGCTGGAGCAGGCAGCGTTGTTGTCGGTGGCTCAGGCGGCAGCTTCCTTCAGAAATGATTAGGGTATGGCTTTTCGTATCTCGTCTGGCCGAGTACCTACACGGTCGATCCAGATGGGCTCGAAAGATCTGAGTTCGCCACACACAAATATTATCGCAGAAGGCAGGCTGCTGACATGTCAGCGTCCCCCCTCCTGTCAGCTATGCACGTGGCTGATGCAGGCTCCAAAGGCAGAGTAATTTGAATACCGAGTCCTCCAGGATTGAGCACCAGCCTGGCTAGTAAACCCATGCAAACTCCATGGAACCGTGGAGACTGCAAGCAACTGCACGGCCGAATGACCGAACACCCACATCACTGATGTAAAAAAAGTATCATATCAATCATGCCGTGCGGACGAGACGACGCCAAGATACTCCAATGTGAAACACCCTTTGGGTAGCAGCGACTCGTTTCTGCGCTGAACACATTCCTCGCATGCCATGGATGTCCGTCTGTAAACTTGGAAACATGAAGGACCGCGCGAAGCTGGGGTGCACACACTTAAAAGCGTGCCGCCACAAACGCTGGGCACATCAATCGTCCTGCAGAGTCAGGTCACCTTCCCTTCTGAGGCCGAAGTTACATGCAAAAGCAAGCGCAGAAGAAAGCATACAGCCGGTCTCATCAGCCCCCTCAATGCAGCTCATCGCATCCACGATTGGCCTGATGAAGTTGCAGTATGGACGAAGAACCCAAAACGCGCACCAGTTCAAACCTAAAGCAAAAGACGCGCAGACCAGCAAGCTGGGAGGATTGCTGCGAGCCGAGGGGGCACGGTGCGTTGCCGTTTGTGAAATAGATCCTCGATCTAGCTCTTGGAACGAACAGATGCACGAAACTAGCACGAGCACCCCGCCTCTGTCCAACGAAATCTGCCAGAGCACCTCTCTAACAACTCACTTCGACATCGCGAATGTCGCGAATCGCGACTCTACTCGAAAGGGCAACCCTAAGATGCTTGCCAGCGCTTCCGGCTGGCTCTTGCTGCAGGCCTTGGCGAATGTGATCCACGACAGGAGTCTAGAGTCCAGAAACAACCAGGCATCATTGCCGAATGCAAGCACAACAACCAGCTCGGCGCACCCCGCTTTACATGCCCCACGACTCTGCGGTGGTCCTGTAGGACATCTCTGTGACGGCCTGACGCCTGAGAACTGTGGCATCCTGTGTCCCTAGTCGGCATGGCACTATCCCTGCAAAATCTGACAGTGTCCTGAGCCGGCAAAGCCTGTAGCTGCAATAGAACCATTAGCTTGAAGGCAAGCACGCATCCTGCAAGTGTGCAAAGATCTGCGTTCAGCTCTCTCATCACCCTCTGTTCTACCGTAGACTGCGGGGGCTCCTGTTGAGCAGGCCACTCGCATCCCTCCGCATTGCACGTTTCCAATTTACTTCTGTTGGATGTGTCTTCTGCAGGCATGGGCGCTCATAATGCGTGCGTCCCTGTCTAGAACAGGCCTAAACTTCCTTGGCCTGTGAACACTATAGATGCTATGTTCTGCACATGAGCAAGGGCAAGAGTGAACCTCACACTCCAGCGTCTGGGCCAAGAGCAGGCCGCACGATGGCAGGGAACACAAAGAGAGCACCCGAATCCCACCGGCACATGCAGCATCTCTCAAAAGCACAATCGGCATCGGGCCTGTACATGTCTGCTGAATGTGCCGCTTCTCGCAGCTCTTGCGCCGCACCTCCCAAGCCCATGCTCTCATCAGTACAAATTATGCTTGACCTCGGCGGGGCTTCCCCCCGCGCCAACTCGAGCTCGTAGTCGCCGCAGGCGCTCCCGAGCGAATGCGACCTGCAGCCGTAGGGCCGTCACGACCATGAGTGCGGCCATCGCAGGTCTGACGCGACTGTTTCAGCTTTTTTTTGGTGGCCTCCGAAGAGGTGAAACCTGCTGCATCGGCAGCTGTAAGAGCTGCAATCAACCGCCGCTGATCCTCCGGGATGAGCACGGCAAGAGCGCTTCAACTGTGCTCAGAGAAGATGAACCGCTCTGCCGGCCAGGCCTCCCCGTGCACAGAGCGAGTTAACTCCTCGACCAGTCAGGTCAGAAGACGAATGGTCATGGCTGGATCCAATGCACGGTATGCGTCCTAGCCTAAGCTCGTACTCGTTCTTTCTTGCCTTTCCTGTTCCTTTCTGTCCGATGCCTGCGCCTCTCCCCGAGCTCAACTTTTCAGTGAGGTGTCGCTGGGTCGTCGATGTTGTTGTTTCTTTTTATCTCGCCGGTCCTGCCTGCATTTTTGTGCCTTTGTTATCCATTCATTTGTGCTTTCTTCCCCTCTCGTTCTTTCGTTGTGGCACACAGTTAGGCCAGCACATCGGGCCGTTCACTTCACTTTAGCAGAGTCTACCTGCCTGATTCCAAGCTAACTGTAAGCCCTGCCTGCGACCTTCCGCTCAACGAGCTGCCTACCCACACGAAAGGGTCCCCCGAGCTCCGCACCCGCTTGACTCACTTGCCTCGCTCAGGCTCCCTCGTAAGACTAGGTGCCGTGATTCAGTTTGGGATGGCGCCAACCTCTGCGGATAATTTTCCCTCCAAATTCACGCCGCATGTTTGCTGCTTTTTCGTGGCGCTCCTCCCCTCTGTCTCGTGCGGTGTTCTGTTTTGCTTCCTGGCGCCGATGTTCTGCCATTTCTCTCGGTCAGCGCGAACACGTTCTCCCTCTAGCACCATCCAGCAAGAGCTGAGGCTTCAAAGTTTCCTTTGGGAAGAAGGGCGCCCGTACAGCACCAATGACCAGAAGGTCTGACCGACCCCAAGTATATCTTCGTCTGGTAGAACACGTGAAAGACGAAGGGTGCTCAATCTAATGCTGACGGTCACCACACCTCTTGAGCTGTTGAGGAGTGTTGCATCGCTGCCTCCCTTCACCAAAAAGGGACCTCCCCGAATTATCTTTGCAAGGATCGTCTGGACAACTAAAATGCACTTTCTCGCAGGCCAGAATGTTGCGTAGTGCAGCTGAAGCCGGGGGCGGCTTCCGACTTCAGCCACAGCGGCTATCTGTCTGTGCAGTGTGCATTTTCGAGTCCAGTGCTCTGCTCGACCCCGTCCTGTGGCGACACTATACTCAGTCGCACGTCAAATTATATGAGGAACCGATGAGCAGTCTATGTCAAACCTGTGAGAGAGCTGTGAGATAGGCGTGAGACATCTGCCAGAAACCTATGACGAGCCGGTGAAAACCGCATGCGAAACACGTGAGAAGCTTGTCTGAGCAAATCCCGCTTCCCAAGTGCACATTAACACAAGATGCCGGAAGGAACAACAAAGCAGGGCATGAACTGAACGAAACCGCAATGAGGTGCCTCTGCCACCTCGGCACGCGTCTTGGCCATGGTCTCCTCCGCCTTCACAGATCTTCGCAGGCCAAGAAGCAACAAAGAGACCAGCTATTGCCATGCAAACACGCCACATGAGGCAAGGTCCTCGAGCATGGACACCGTTTTCTGGGCAATCTCGATGACTTCTGAGTTCTGCTCCAAGACGACCTAGAATAAGCTCAGCTGAGATTGCTCGTTCTGTGATCTCAGTATGCTTCCTTGGCATCTTCCATAGCAGCCACGATTGCATCCTTGTCTCTGGCCTGGTGTAGCCACAAGTGGGATTTATCAGACATCCGGCCAAGTCGGGTTGGTGGACGGATCTTTGAGTGGCTCCGGGCAGTGCTTTAAGGAATGTCTCTGAGAGACTGAGGTATTCAATCCGCCCAGCCGTAAGGCTTGGAGCTCAGTCTGGGTGCAATATCTCAAAATGCAAGATATGCCTACCCTGCCTGCCTTCCTCCCTGCCTGCATGCATACCTGGAGAGAGCTGGAGGGAGAGCGAGCGAGCAAGTGAGAGAGAGCGAGAGATATATGTATATATAGAGAATGCCAGCGAGCAAAAAAACAAAACACACGCGCGTGCATTCGTGCTCGAATCCCACACCTTGACTGGCTGCATGCATGTGTCGGCATTAGGCTGCCGAGTGACCTTCGTCGCCTGTGCCAATTTATCTTGGCACCGCTGGCGTGTCTTCAGCTGAGAGTGCCTGGTTTGCTGCGAGGCCAGTCTCAGTTCAACTCAGGCATGGCGAAGGTAACCTCTGTTCGAAGTGCTGCCACTCTTCTGCAGGGACTCCATGGCCAGAAAGTTCCTGTGCTAAGGCAATTTGCTCAACAGGTTGAAGCACCGTCACATTGCGCCAGGCACCTGAAGACCTTTACCGAGGCTTTCGATGTCTTCTGCATCTGCAAGTCTTGACAACCTGCTCGTTCTCAATTGACGGTTGCCTCCACTCGCTAGGCCATGCCCCTGTGCCTGCTCATGGCATGCGTGCGTAGAGCTGCTCGTGCTGCGTCCAACCTGAAGCAAATCTTCATGGAGGCTGCAGGATACTGGTCGCAAGACTTATTCACACGACTACTTGCTCAGCATCTGTTCATTAAGTGCACGGCTCTTGCTTCTCCTTGGGGTCATCCCCGCACATCTCGGGAACCTGAAAAGAGCTGGCATCCCATTGACCCCAAGACTCCCGATGTCCAGGCACAGCCCCGGAACCAGTCACTCAAAAAACTCCCCTGCACCAAGACCCCGCCACCGCGCCCGGGACCGCCTTCTCCTGGAAGCTCTTTTCCGCAGCGATGATGGCAGCTTTCAACCGAGTCATATCCTCAACGGCCGCCACCAACGAACTCTTGGCCCCTCGAACAGCGAGGTCGGAGGGCGGAGGAGGCGCCTTGGCTTCGGCAGCTCGCCGGAGCTCCTTTCGGGCAGATTCCCTGGCCTCCGCCAACAGAGAAGAAGAAAGACGATCCCCCATTTTTCATGGCTAAGTAAAGGGGCCGCAGTTCTTCGCCTGCAAAGCTCGGAGAGTTGCACGGGCTCGCTTCACGACATCCTCTTCCAAGTGGACCTGCCGCATGGCATGAACCATCAGAGCTTTGCTGAGGCTACCAGATGCTAATCAGTAGTCGTAGTAGTAGTAGTAGTAGTAGTAGTAGTAGTAGTAGTAGTACTACTACTACTACTACTACTACTACTCCGGCGCCTTGAGAGCCCCCTCAATGGCAGTCCGTAGTCGTGGCACATCCCGAACCTGCGACACGGAGAAATCAAGGAGCAAATTGCTCTTCACAGCTAGAGAGTGGAGCTTACCGCTTCGCGATATTTGTGACGGAAACTTGGGTCAGGGCGTTTAGGAATTTTCCGAACATACTCCGACACCTCAAACAAATCCTTCCAGAGTGTGTTGAGCCTCCTTTCAGGATGTTTCGCGCCTTCGGCGTTCCGACTGGGAGGTGGATCTTGTGGCACGGGAGTGCCAACAAATGTTGCCGCGAAGTCCCGACTCTGGCTGTTTGGACCACCGTTTCAATCACCGCATTGCCAAGCAGCACACTACACCCGCCGTCTGTGATGGAAATGAAAGGGTTCTCGCACATAAATATTTCCTGCTGTTCTCCTCATCCTTTCGCGTTGCACCTTGCACTGCACGCACTGCGTATCAAGAGGCCAACAGCCATCGATACATAAACAGTCGATCGAGCAGCGTGATGTAGAGCCACGGTTCAGAGTCCAGAGTTTAATAGTCTTCACAACCCTGGTGTTGAAGTCAGTCAACACAACACGTGTACAATATGATAAATTTTAAAAAAGAAATTGCGACGAGTACAAGACTTGATCGAAAGGTAAAAATCTACAGCTGCTGTGTCGCGAGGCAAGCAAACGCAGAACTCGAAGCAGTTGGTTTCGGAACTGTGCATTCCTCTTCTTCAGGGTTTAAGCTTTAGCAATGGGATCCTTTCAACCTGGATAGCGTGGGCGACACTTGAAGTTCTCTGCCAGATCCAGACTTGCTCCAAAGCAATGCCCAGGCCCGGGTAAGGAGTGCAACTTACGGGTATCCGCACCTGAGCTGCTCTCCGCAGCTCTCTGGATGCCTGAATCCACGCTGCCCAGCTAAAGCTGAGCTTGCACACTGCCTTGGTTAAGCCAAGCGCCTCGGAGCGGGCTTTGTGAGTACGCATCGCTTGCTTCAGCCGGGGTGCCTGCAGGAAGCACAAAACTCAAGTCGCAGACCGGGCTCCGATAGTGGCCTGCTCTGCGCCCAGACCACAGCCAACTGCAGCTTGCATTGCCTCAGCTTTCTTCTAGCCGTTCTATCACTGCAATCGAAGCGGCTTCTCGAGCGCGCTGCCGCCTGCAGCTTCCAGTAGTCGCCGGACTCCACGGCATCCTGAGAAAGCGAGCAGCGGCTGCGGAAGGAGAAGGCGAAAGCATGCGAAGGGGGTTGGCTCCACATGGCACCTCCACCAACATCACAGCGCTCTTCCGGAACTCGGCGGCCTTGGCCGCACTCTGTTCAGCTCAAGAGCTCAAGAGACACGGGCCGACGACGCGGCCTCGGCAGCAAGCAAGACGTCCCGAGCCCAACGCACCTGCCGTTGCCAAGGCATGGCCGCATGGCATGGGAAGACAAAGACAGCTGACGTGCTGACGTGCCTCCGGGCCCTGCAGGCCGACTTTGTGGGCATCGAGTAGCAACGCCTCCGAAGCGGAGTGGACGCAGTGACTGAGACTCCATGTATTTGCAAATTTCGCAACGCGTCAAACTTCGCCCGTCCGTCAGCATATTTGGCCCTTCACAAAGTTTCTGATCGAATGAAAAGCACTCCGAAAGCGAAGAACGAGTACCCTCACAACACAGGTATGCTGTCTGTCCCTACAATTGAATTGAAGCTTTGCTTGCTTGCTTGCCTGCCTGCTTGCCTGCTTCCTGGATTGCTTCATCTTACGGAGCTGCTCAAACGCAATATCGTGAGAGACCATTTCAACCATCGGGGAGGCAAAGGCGATGTTGGCACGCGTCTGGGGCTAGTGTTGCGGCCTTGCTGTTCCTGTGCTTTCATGCTTCCCCGACCCGTTGTCGCCAGACTGGGGCTGGACAGTTCATTGCTGCTGTAACGTTGGAGCCGGGGATCTGGATTTGCAGGAATCGGGGAAAAGATGTGGAAGCACCCTAGCACCCACCACAAGCTTACCGGGGGCACTTGGGAGTCCATGTGCAGAAGTGGACAAAGGGACGAAGGACGACACAGGTACAGAAAGGCGCCAGAGCCAATGGAGCCGGAATCAAAATGCCTCCAGTGAGTTGATCAGAAATTGGCTGTCAAAGCTGCTCTGTTCCCTGACATTTGCCTGCTTTCTTTCATGGCTTTGGGTCGACCATTCCTCCACTACTGCCATATGGCCATATGGTATAGGAATAGTGGCACTGCGCATGTTCTGAACCGTCTGCCTGCGCGGTTGGAGCTAACAGGTTTGAGTAGTGACACGAAAGTCCCATGAACAGAGAGAGTCAGCTACAACATTGGGTCATGACGATATCCGTGGAAGCCGGTGCCTGCACCTCCTCTGTGCGGCCCTTGTCCACGGCAATGGACAGCCGTTTCCGGAACTGAGCAACCCCGACCAACCGAAGAGAACAGCAGGTTCACACACACACACACACACACACTCCGGGCCTTCTTGGTGCATGGGTCTTCGTCCTCACCAACATACACCTGCTCACCTTGCCGAGGGGCCGGGCTAAGGACTCAGACGAGGTGACAGGCCCCAGGCCCCGATCCCGGCCTGGTTTCGCTGTTCCGTCCTGGCGGCCATCACAGAGACTGGACTGTGCTGCGGTGCTGCGTCCCAAGATTCCAAGGCCTCTGGCCAAGGGTACACAGCAGGTGGTGGTGGTGGCGGAACACCCGCACGAAGAGGGCCTGTCAACGAAAGCTGCATGTCACATGAGCGTCAGCTCGCGATCAGGCTTCACATGCGGCAGCCTGATGCAATGGCAGGTCCGTTTGCGGCAGCACGAACCTGTTGTCTCTTGAGTGTCTACCCCCGTGCTACCACATCCTGCTTCACATCCGGAAAACTAGTTGCTAAGTGTTTTGCTGTTCTGCGGCGAGTTACTGCCACAACTCCCCACTTGCGTGTTCGGGTATTTTAACCGACATCATTCCACAATTGTCTAAGCTTTTCAGCAGCCCTGGCAAAATCCCCAGCATGCGATCAACCATGACCATGGCAAGACCTGCGACGGCGACGCATGTGAGCACGTAGGACTGTAGGACTCTGATGCTCAAACAAACGTAACTGCACTCGCCTACGAACACAATGAACACCCTGATCTCTTTCAGAAACTCAGGCAGCCTTCCCGTGAGCGACGTTTTTCTGGAGGTACCTTAGCGGCAGGCTGATTCACGGCTGCACGGAGCAATAAGCAGCGGGTCATTGGGCGTGTGGCCCGTCATCATATCGAATTGTCACGGCTCCATCCGGCGCCACCTGCGGACATAGCGGTCCCTCGTTCTCTGGTGGATATCCAAAGGAACACAGCCCATGCCTCCACAACCTAGCAATGCAGCCCAGAAGCATCACAGAAATCACACAATCGCCAAACAAGATCAGCTTTCCTGTCCGCAATGCCATCGTCCAGGAACCCACTCAGCCTTCCCAGCCCGGCCCGAAGCCCAAAGCAGTACAAGTGAGTTCGGCGCCTCCACACGCAGACCTGGCACTAAGGCGGGTCCTGGTTCAGCACTATGGGATGCAGTCTTTCCTCAACTGCTTCGGCTGGGGCGCTCACCGCATTGTGCAACAGCTGGTGGGGCTGGTGATGGTGAGAAGCGAAAACTTCCACCTGCATGTGTTGTGTCTTCCTGCGGTTGCAGCGCTTCACATCAGACCGACCTGGAGCACCGCCCGGCCATGGCGACGGGGCAAGCATGAGACAATGAGAGACTTATGAAACAAAATGAAATCGACTCATACACTTCCCACTACTAGTAGTTTGCGGCTAGCGAGTCACGGTTCGTCAAGGCAACAGAAATCAAGCAGTGCGCTTCGCATGCCGGCTGGACACTTATGGGTCTAATCTTGGCTTGGCTGTGGTACACTGCATCTGCGGGGAGGAGTCTTTTCTGAAGTCTGGTGATGCTCGACGCAGCTTCAGCTTCCGCAAATTGAAGGCGAAGATCAAGTCTGTGCTCACCTTCGCTGGAGGGGTTGGCGGAATCATGTATGTGTGTGTCTGCACATCTAATGCATTCATGCATGCATGCACGCATGCGCGCATGCACGCATGCATACGTACACATACACATACACATACACATATGCAAACACAACGCATACACACTCGGATTGGCATACACATGCACATACACATGCGCGCACACACACACACACACACACACATGTACGTACACATGCACATACACGCCCATCTACGCATGCGCTGATGCACAGAAGCAGACACACATCAGGCAGAAATACATCGCGGACGCTAATCACATGCCTGACAACAAGTGAAACAGTTGAAGCTGTACGTTTGCGGCACATGGCCGGGGCCCTTGTTGGAAACGATGCGAGGGGACTTCCACACCGGCTGCAATCCCCAAAACGCCGTCTCCCGCAAACCGCCCAATTTTGAGTTTGGAGGTCGCGGGCAGAAGCAAATCGAGAGCGCGGCAAACACAGCTAGCATCGGAAGGCCAATGTCCGTCCAGCGCGTCGCCGAGCTTTTCCATGGGGCAAAGCAAGTTGCCAAAAACAGTTCTGCACAGCTGTACAAAGTGCGTGTTGGAGAAGAATAAATTTAAAGAGTTTGCAGGGGATGGCATCCTGCGAGGTTCGACGACTGTACACACAGCAGCCATCTTAGAAGCGGTTGCCCTATTTCAGGTATTCATTCCATGGGATGGAGTTCCAGTACAGGAACCGGGATCCCGGAACGGAGCTCTTGCACCCCGTCTGGCTTCGATGCTCAAGCGATCCATGCTTTGGGCCTTTTGTCCGTTCCGAGACTGGGACCTGAAACTCACCCCCGAACCTGAATTAAAGCACTAAGCAGCTCCCCTATACGAGGCCCCAGGCGCCCAGTCAGATTCTGGATACCTGCAGCGACGGCACGAGCATGAACATGAATGCATGTGCTTTGGCTCTGGATATGCGCACTCTGGCGGCCAACTGCAATGCATGCCCGACACATCGCAAGTCAGACCTTAGTATGCTGCAGGCCCGACACACGCCGACGGCCAATGAAAATTATTTTCTGCATTTTTTGGGCAGCTGCCGCAGACAGGCACAGCTGCAGCGGTCTGCTAGAACGCCTGTGGCGTTCAGCGACACCTCAGATTCAGACGGTGCCCAACGAATATAACGAATTCGCGGCCCGAAAGCTTCCTGGCAACCCAGTCAAGCGGCAATCGTGACGGACGACGCTCTTTTCGGCGTGACTTTCTCACCAACCTACTGAGGAAGCGAAGCGACAAGAGCAGTTAAGCGGAAGAAAGCGAGAGTGAAAGGACTGAGGGGCCTTGTTCAGTTCCGCGAACCCCATGTTTTTGATCACATCGGTCAGGTTGTGGGCTTCCCCGTGGTCGACCTCTTCAGTCCGTGTCTTCACGATCGCCTCCAGGCTTCGAGGCTCGGTTTGAAGGCCGAAGGCGACGGCTCTGGCGCTCTGGCTCTGGCGCTCTGGCTCTGGCCTTGGCTCTTCGTGGTGATGCGGAGGCGGCGTCTTGGCTGGCTCTGGAAGGGAAGTGCTGCACCTGCCAGGATCTGCCAGGCCCAAAGCCGCTGTACGCCGTGCTGTGCCTGTGTTGCCGAAGAAACAGAGGGTGCCTGACGCAAGTCAAGCGACACCAACAGCACCGGAATAGCGAAACGCGTTAGAGCTAGAGCGCTTCAGATGAAGTGACTGCAGGGCAGAGGCTGACAGTAGCTCTCCCACCTGCGAACGAAAGGTAGGATCCGACAGTGACCGCAGAAACCTCTGCATGTCAAGCACGCACCCGCTGACAGCATTTCGCTCCAAGTCGATTCTCAGGCAGCAGCTGGGATTGCAAGTGGCTTGCCACCTCAGCATGTTGTTGACAGAAGCAGGAACATGTTTTGGGACATGCCCTCAAATCGAGAACAAGGCATACATCGGACTCAAACCAGCTTCCTGCATCACGAGGCAGAACTGCACCAGCGCTGCCTGCCGTTTGCACTTGCCGTGTGCGTTCTTGGACGACCAACATGTGTCTACAGCATTATTACGGTTGGTCTCTTCGGTGTCTTGTTTGCTTGCCAGGCTATACAGCATGGACTGAAACGTAACAGCTGGACTCTTCGAACATCTCAAACAATGTCTGTCAGTCAAACTCAACCAGAAGAAGAGCGAAAGACGGGGGCAGCTCGAGACGGGACGCAGAAGCAACATCAACAAAACGTGCAGTTGCTCGGTACAGTGGTTAAAGCGATCACTGCTTGAATCTTCTCGCCTCCGACATGCCATGAACGACAGCGCCGGGAGCTGCAGCTTTGCAACTGTTCATCAAGTCCGCAATACCTCACGGAAGCTATCGAGGCGCAAGATGTGCACAAGCTGCTGGCAGAGGCCTCCCTACGCTGGGAGCCCGACGTTCCTCCTCCTGTCCCTGCCTTCGGAGGCATGTGGGCAGGCAACATCGAATAACCCAACGCAACCAAAAGGAGCTTGAAGCTGAGGTTTAGTTTCCCACATGTAAACTCAGCAGCACGGCCTCGGTGTTGTACCAGAGCAAGTGGCCATCACATCACCTGTCTACACTTTCCTGAACCAACAGGAAACGAAGCAGCGGATGCACCTTCGAAGCTCATGTCGAAGGAAGAACCGATCTGGCAAAGAGGCCCGCTCCACACTGCACGACTGCGGATGACTGTGGGCGGCAACTCGGACATGTCGGGCCCACACTGGAGACACAGGTGCTGGGCGTCTGCTTGCCTGGCAAGAACATGAGCAGAAGCATAGCGTGGGCCTGGCCGCGACATGCCCAGGCGCCTTTTTCAAAAGAGATCGGTTTCAACTTCAAGTCCTTGGCCGGAGGAAGGACTCTGCGGCTGGAAGCACTCTGTGGCACCGTACTTCTCACCACTTTCTTGGTTTGCTGGGCTCCTCACTTCTGCCAATCGGGATGCGCTCCCCTGATCTTTCACGAGCAAGAATACTGCCTCGTGTGCGGGCACGATGAACGAGAGTGCTAATTGAGAGCGAAAATTATGACGCGAAAGCGTCGGTCTTTACAGGCCTGGGCTGGGTTTGGGCTTGGCCTATGGGGCTGTTGCTGGTGCTGCAAGTGACGATGTGTAGCGCGCAGCCGAGACAAGCTATTACTGTACAGCTAATAAATGCATGGCCCAGTAGCGGACAACTACATGTGACGGCTGTTTCTGTACACGGCTGAACAGCCGGTCCCAAGACTTCGGAACATTGTCCCGGGTATTTGCACAAGTCTGCAACAGGCCAAACCAAGCAGTCTCCGTGGATGCTTGAAGCAACCCGAGGTACGTGACCCGAACGGTAAGTTCCAGCACCGATGCCAGGTGCATCTAGTTGCATTCACTTGACACGAATAAGGCCTGTCCTCCGGACCTATGGCTCCACTCAAACGAAACTACATGGACTCCAGATTCCATCAGAAGCAAGCCCCCAGAAAACAGCTGCTTAGCGCTGATCGCGTGCAAACCAACAGGAGCGGCTGTGCATCCTTACTTGTCGGAAGGAACAGAACCAATTCAAAAGAATAAAATCCACCCGGGTGTCAATTGTCTTGAGACCATCAAACCTTAGTTTCGAAACGGGATTCCGCGAGTTGTTGTTTGGCTCTTTTTCTGCACCACCAGAACAGATTTCGAATCCAGACAGCCTGCAAAGTTTACATCCGTGGGCGACAACCGACAGTCAGCATGCCTTGCCAAGCCCATGTAGATCTCGGACTGTGTCCTGGAGGGCCGAAGAATCTTTGCGAAGGTCCTCCGAAGTCAGAAGGGTGCGTAGTGGTGCAGATGTCTCTATCGCGACACCCCTCGCCAGAGGTCCTCTGTCAAGAATATGATAACAGCATCAACCTCAGCAGTACTTTACATCAGACGCTGCATCACGTCATCCAAACGAGCGCCTGGCTTCGCCATTTTGGATTAAACCCGACAAGGAACGCTGCAACAGTCAGCTTCTGAGCCCTGCACAGCAGAGAGCTGGACCATGACGTCGAACGAGCGGCAGATGCAGTTGGCCTTCGTCCCTGCATAGCGCACAGATGCTGCTGCACATTGAAGCCATGTGAAACCATCAAGTGCTCTGACGCCAGAATTTAACGACTCCAAGGTGCATAAACTTGAGAAAACCGTTTGGCAAGAAGCCGCAGTTAGTCCGCTCCTCGGTAGCTCGAGACTGGAACTTATCAAGGTGGCTGTTCGAGCGTACAAAGTGCCGGGCGGTACTGTCGCATCAATGGAAAACTCGGCATCCTTACAGGCTTCTCTGAAAAGGCAGAGCCCACAAGGTCTCGGCGGATCGATCGCTAAAGTTTGAAACATGTGCCTGGTCAAGGTTAAAGCAAAGCCGCGACAACGCACAGGGTGCACAAGCAGATTCTCGGCTATCCGTCCGTCCCTTCCGAAGTGTGCTCCTGGTACGGCTCGTTACGGTTTCTCTGCAAGTGGCCTGATCAGAGTCGTTCGCGCAGCGATGAGGAGCAAGCGGATCCTGCACCATTTTGCTCGTGAAAGATGCGGCAAAATGCCACCACATAGTTCGTGCCGATCCGTCCATAAAGTTTTGCATCACAGATGCTACACTACGACAGCATGGGCAACACCACTACAAGTTTCGCACAAAGCAGGGTCCATCGAATTTCGAATCACCACCGCCAGCAGCGATCCTTGAAGGATCCAGCTCCCCTGTCAGAATTGCACTGCATGCCAAACATCCGCAGAGCCGGAGCCCAACCAGCCTTGAGAACTATATTGTCAGAGGACAAGGGATCCTTACATCAATCTGCACAGGATGGCTTGCTCTCCCCTCTCTGACATGTCACCAAAGCACCAACGCATCTGCAGGCAAGTAGCGGCTGATGTGCACAACTCCGTACAGTCTCGGACCTGGGCAAAATCAACGACAAATCACTGCACGATGCTCGTAGAGTGACCTGGCCTCTGAACCAACACCTGTTGATGTGTCGATCCGGGTGTCCTGACTGCCCAGCTCACGCATCTGTGCAAAGAGCGCTCGCAAGGCTTCCCGCCTCCAGAGTCTTTAAAACTCGCAGATCGCAAGGCGCACAATCGCCACTCTTTAAATACACGATGTCGCCAACAACCTGACGCCAGTCAGGAAGCATATGGTGTGGAAGCGACTAACATTGCAGCAAACCTATCTGCTGGCTCATGCAGAGGCGAGCACCATTTCTGGAGCGTTGGCACGGACAAAGTCTCCATTTCGAAGCACCTGCCAGAACGGCTTTGTCCAAGACCACGGCCCCCATCTTAAATCTAAACTCCTCGGCAGCGGCAAGGAGAAAATCAACCTCATCTTCACCAAGAAAAAAGACAGAAACCGGCTGACCGCTTCCAAAGTTTCACCAATCTCAATTCACGGGATCTCAGACTATCATTGCTCTGCTATAGTGCCAAAGGCTTTGCTCAAAGGCAAACCCAAAAGCTGGCCTCAAAGCCGCGCTCGAAAAAAGATCGAACATCGGGCCTTGACTGTCGCAGACATGAGCGAAGCAAAGCCGTTTCTTGTGATCTTGCAGGTGCACGGCCACCATTTCCGGTTCTGAGGAAATCCTGCGCCCTTGGCCGTGAAACTGGCGTCTGGAAGAGTTACCTACTGGCATGAGACTGATGAGGCTGTTGCGCCCGCCATGCAGGATCCGAACAAGGGGCGTAGCGATGACCTACCAGCTAGTCTGCTGCCAGGCATGATTCAAACTTCTTCCCTGGCACTGCCTGCCTTCTGGCTGAGTTCTGCACACCTGCTAGGTCGGAGGCACGGCTTTGCCTAGAGCCTTTCAAATCACCCCTGCCTGCAGGCTGCCGGAATGTTCGCAGGCTACTAAAGAAGCCTGTTAGGGCCTCCCGTGAAGCAGTACAGCCCTTCAGTGACAGGAACATGTAACATGCACTTGAAGCAGCAAGCAAGCGGGTGCGGCCTTTTCACTGACCTTCGGCTTCTCGAAGTTTAGACCGAATCGACGACACAAAGCAATGAGATCGGCTGTGTGCTCCTGCACACTTTCTATGCGAGCAGCGGCGGCTTTGAGAAGGTGCCAGAGCCTTGCCTCGAATCGGGCTTCTTCCAATCCTGCTCTCTCCTGGAGCACTACAATGCAACAGCCACCAAAGCTGTTCCGAACGCGCCTGCAACAGCTTGTCGGCTACCTTGAGCAGGAGGTGAGCAGTGGCCTGTGGAGGTCGAGGGCCAGAGTGAGATGATGGATGTGTGACTCTTGGTCGCCGAACATCCTGCCGTGGATAACGGCGTCGATTCTCACTAAGTTCTTGTGTTTCCTGCAGGGTGTGAACAATTCCCATGCTGAAACGGAAGCTACATAAAGCCCGAAGAAGTTTCCCTCGTGTGCTGCATCATGCCACCTTGTCTTGCTGGGCCACAAGTTCTCTGTACTCCGTACAAAGCCTTGGCTTCGAGGCACATCGCGCTCAAAACCCAGCACTGAAAAAGTAAGCTTCAGGCTGATCCAGCAACGAATGCGAAGTCATGACCTCGAGCTGCGCCTGACTTGCCGATTCCAAAGCGAGAAAGAAACAGGCACAAGCATTGGCCAAACTGGAAAGGTATGCATCAAAAGAACTATATCTTCCAAGACTTGTCCAATGCTTCTGAAGAGAACTGATGCTGAGCGCTACCAGTACCAACCCAAAAAGGATGCTGACGCCATACCCTTGGTAGCTAGACGTCCCAAGTTTGGAATCACTGCAGAAGCGACAAGCTAGCTCGGAACCCCAAGAATTGACGGCCCACGAGCAAACCATAAACTCCGCCAAAAGTGATGACAAGCAAAGTGCTTGAGGACCAAAACCGAATCTCTAATCGAACTGGTCTGACACGGTGCTGGACAGCGACAGGGTTCTCTGTATGCAGATACAAGCGTGGCCAGCTTTCCGCGTATCTTCCGAGTCCAATCTCGACGTCAGTCTGGGAAGGGTTAGACTTGTAATTCGCCCTACACCAGCCAAACTTCGCAAGTCAAGGCCCATGCATGCTGCCCGTTTGTGCATGAATTGGTTCGTGCACTCACCGTATCTTTCGTGTCCTGTTCAAGCCGATGTGAATAGCAGCTCTTCGTTTGACCCTACACTGGCGCTTTGAGCTGCTTCAACATGCATGTCAGCTCTTATCTCTTTTTTTCCTTGTGACCTCACGGAATGCATCAGCCTGTTTCCAGATGCATTTCTGTTAGGCTCTAGCCCGTGCACGCACGGATGTTCTCAACTGTTCGGAAAGGACAAGCACAGAATCTCTTGAAGGCTTGCGACGTGCAGAGGCTCAAGCAGCATGACAACATGGTTTTGTTGTTTCCCGCCTTGAGCGAAGGCAATGGTCATGCCAACGTGTCTAAACACATGTGCAGGGTTCCTTTTAGATGCTATCCTGATCTACAGTGACACTGCTGGTGCTGTTCGTTCGTGCTTTGCAAGACCATGGCTGAGATCCATCTTGAGCCATGGCGACGGACGCACACTACATTGACATAAAAAGGCGACTCGGCAGACGTCCGTCTACGATGGCTCGCTGCAGCCGCATGCGTCAATTGCCCGATTTTACAGGCACCCAGCCCCCGAAGCACCGTGTTTAAGTGAAACAGAAAATCGCAGGCAGCAACTCGCTGCCATAATAGACTTCCACAGAGTAGTCGGGCATTCTGTGCGAGTCTTCCATCTTCCAATGCTGCACAGGAAGTCCGCTATTCGACAATAGTCTTCAATCCTACATACCTATCAGTACCACCCTCATACGGAGGAAACGGCGTTGCCTGGATGACCTACACACTCAAGATCGCAAACCATGCAACGATGCTTCTCACTTCGTCTTCCTGCCATTCTGAGACCGGCACGCGGATCGCGTCTTGCAGCTCCTTCGGCACGATGACCAGATCCTCGCAGAACTGTTCCAATGTTGGCTTCGTGCTCTGCGTTGGATCTAGCCACTCAGTCCTGAATCAGGACGGTCTTTGCCAATTCTGCCCTTGCCTGCACAGCCAAGCTGTTTCTGGTCACATGAACCCCTCCTGGCCCTTTCTCGCCTCTGCATTCTTGTACACGTAGACCTTCAGGGGCGGGGGTGGAGTGCGACACGGTGCAGAACAAGGCTCAAGATAGCAGCCTAGCAGTGAATGGATCCCAACCTCGATCCCCTCTTCAGGCTCACTGATGTCACTGTCGATCAAAATCTGTCCCGATCTGGCTGCCTTCAAACGTGGACAAAGTGTCACTCTTCTCGCATCTCATATGCACGACACATGCTCAGCAATCTCTCCACATCTTTCCCATGGCCCGAGATCTTGCTGATGCTGCCGGAGCCAAGTAAGGATCACAGTACAACCGAATCTCTGGTTGGCACCTCGTTGTAGTTGTCTCGGTCAACTACGTCGAACTTGAAGAACTCCTCCGAGTCTGGCTCCGCAGTCCAGTGGATGAAGTACTTGCCACCGAAGGCGCTCTGGCGGCAGGCAGAAGCACAAGCCCGAGCGAGGCTCGAGACCCAAAGACCCCGAGACCCGGGCTGCTTCGAATTCCTGGACGAAGCGTTGCGTGACCGCCTGGCCAGGCACACGGCCCTCGCTCTCGAGCTCCATCGGCTCCATCTCTTCAGTTCCCCTCCGCCTGCAGATAAAGCCTGATTCTATCATAAGGCTCTGCTTTCCAGGACTGGACCTGGGATTCTGATGAACAAGAATGCAATCAAACATCAAGGACAGGACAAGGCAAGCACCTGCAAGTCGTAAATGAACTTGTTCTTGCCTCGTGGCGGGCTTGCCCTTTTGTTCACTCCTTCTGGTAGCCCATGCCGTGCATTCAAGATAGCTGCAGATAGCTTGGACTGGGCATCTCGCTGGGCTTCGGTGGCACCGGAGGAAGCACGTTCGGGCGCTGGCGCAGGTGCCGCAGGAGGGCAGAGACGCGAGAGAACGCATGGGGGCCTATGGCCTAGGGCCTGACTTGTACTCCTAGGATGTCGCAGAACCCGCCTCCGCTGAGGCGGTAGAAGCTCCTGCCAGAGCCGCTGAAGAGCTATTTCTTCGTCATTCGTGACTGCAAGTTTCAACTCGAGGCCTGCACATAAGACGGCAAAAAACACTGCAGCTGCGCCGGTGAAGCTGCCTCTGTCTATTCGGACAAGCCATCCAAGTGGTCTCCAAACACATGTGCATCAACAACAAGTCGTCACTTACAGTGACGTCTCTTGCCAGGCCACGTCGGTTGCTGGTGTCCATTGCGGAGGGAAGCTCCAGCGTCCTGCTGCCCAGCGCACTTCAGGCTGCGAGTCTTAAGAAGCCTGCGAATCTGCCGTCCTGCCGCTCTGTGATGACCCTGTGATCCGGTCGCCCTGTCGAAGAAGCAATGAAAGAAACTCTGATCATAACGAAAGAGAGGGCGCCGTTGCACGAAAAAAACCATGGGAGCGGGTGGTATATAGGTGGGTTCCCCCTGCTTGAGTGGGTCGGAGGCTTGGATTTTGGCAGATGTGTGGCGATTTGTGGTTTGAGGTCAGTTCCTCACCGACATCAAGTCAGAGGACCCAGGAGCTGGGGCCGGAGCAGCCCGAAGCAAACGCGCCATGCTTACGTTGATCTGCAGATCTATGTGTTGATTTATGCTTGCATGGCTGGACATATGCATGCATGCATGCATGCATGCACGTACGCACGCATGCACATGTGTGCATATTTATGTATGCACATAGCCATGTATGCATGGATGGATGGATGGATGGATGGATGGATGGATGGATTCATACACCTATGTGCATATGTATGTATGTATGTATGTATGTGTGTATGTGTGTATGTAGGTCCGCATGAGGTGCCTACATACGATACACCACAGCACAATACAATCCAAGCCAATGCAACGCGGTGCAATACAGTACAATACAAGCAAATGTACTTATGCAATCTTATGCACATACGTACATTCATACATACTTCTTGACTTTGAGAACGCTGCCGAGTTGTTCAAGGCTTAGCGGAATCAGTCGAGACAGGCATATTATCTGCCCGGGCATCTGTTGTGGTGTGTCGCTTTCGACACTCTCGCAGACGGCGGTCGCGGCCGGCCGCAACACGACGGCTGTGGATTTAACCGAACCACATAACAGTCAGTGCTCATGGGATGCTTTCGCGATGCTTGCATCAACACTTGGTGGAGGAGCAGGATACATACACACGTGTACGTCCATGCATGCATGTATTGCTCGCATGCATGCTCCAGCACGTGAAAATAGGCAATTCGAAGCGTAGAAACTCTTCGGCACTGACAAATCATTGCTCTGGTGCGTCGAATGTGACAGCCACGGCCTTGGAGACCTGTCGCGGTGCACAGCCGGTCCAAGCCAGCGTATGCCTGCAATACAAGACCCTTCGATTACTTGCATGCTTCCACGAGAACAGTCAGCTTCAAACCGATGCTGAGGCGAGGCAAAGCACAGCAAGTCTCTTCAGCATAATTCGGAACCCTTCTAAACGTCTTGGGCAATCGCAAACGAATCAATCAGGGCCTCCCGCAGCCCACGACTGCACCCATCAGGACGAACACGCCCATCACCTTAAGCAAATCCCCACTGCTTGTGAACAACATCACTGGGATGACATCACTCGGCCCTTCGCCAGCAAGCCAGCCACAGGCCTTGCCAACACATGAAACAATCTGCCTACATCTTCATTGACTAATTGACTGGCCTTCTTCGTCCCAGAATTCCTGGCGCTGAAACATCCTCAGAGCATTCAGTCAACTTAGGTGTGTCATCCGTCTGGTCACTGGTGGTGCTAGGGCAGTAGCCTGCGTCCTGACCATGAGGGTTCAGGAAGCGCCTGCTGCTCTGACTCTCTGACTTCGAACTTCGACCCAGGCAGTCGTAAGAAGCGCAGGGAAGAGATGTCCGCTGCAATGCCTGGCAGGATTCTGCCACTGATCCTGAGAAACTAAACAGCAAAGCTTGAGCCGCAATGCCAGATCATCAAGTTATCAAGTCTCTACAAGCGCACATGGAGCAAGAAGGCCGCAAGTAGATTCTGTAGTTGCCGACGATCACACAGAGGAGATCCAGCTCACCAGTCTACCGCAGTCTGCCTTTTAATCAAGGGTTGGACGGCGTTCTCGTCCAGGTTTCTCTAGCTTCCCAGCATCGTTGCGCTTGAGTTGGCTGAGATGGTAACCGTGAGATCCTAACTTACACAATTATATGACACACCGGGCAGTCTCTTGAAAACCAGCTGGTGAGCGGCTGACGTCCACCACTCAGCTGTCCGGATGGGCTCACTGCTCCGTCTGCTCCGTCTGGTCCACCTGCGACATATCAAGACATCCACGACCTGAAAGCTTCAAACATGTCAACAGACGTTTGTCCGACACCTCTGTTTGCCTTTTAAAAGAGTCTGGGCACGATCGGTCCTGCTGAAGTGACCGGCACTTTGTGCCACATCACCCGACAAACAAAGCAGCAGCAATGTCTTTTGACATGCAATGGCGTCAGCGAATTTCGCTGCTGATGTCTCACGGCTATTGCGCGACATCTTGCTGACAGGAAGCATTGGCATCCCGCCATGGACTACTCCAATCCAAACGTCATGAAAACGTGTCAAACTGTACCTGTAACCATCTCCGGCTGCTCGGCTCTCTCCTCGCAAGCACAGCTCACCCCCGCTATCACCGGGCAAAAAGAACTGTCAAAGAAACCATGCCAGCCGCGATCTCCTGTGGTTTGGCGGCACTTCGGCCACAGAGGCAGAAGGGCCTGCGGGGCCTGCGGGCCGGAGCCGGCAGAGCCTCGGCCTTGGCCTCCGAAAGTCAAGGACACAAAAAGCCCCCAAATGTCCCCAAGGCCAGAGCCTCTCTCGAAAACGCTCGGACTCGGATCGGCTTCCGGCCTTGGAGGCCTCGCTCAGAGCAGACTTCGGCTTCTCCTCTTAGCGTCCCATCGCAGCAGACGTTCAGTACTGCAAGCTGATGCAAGCTGATGCATGCAAGTTCCTGGTCCTGCTGATTCTGGACAGCAAAGACTTTGTCGGGCTCCAGCTTCTGCGCTTGGGCTTGCGGGACTTCTTGGAGGCACCGATCACAGCAGAAACACCCCTCGCCTTTGCCAAGTCTACCACGGTTCCACTGAAGAACCTCCCGAGTCCAGCGCACCAAGCGGGAGAAGCCTCCGCAACTCCTTCGCCCGAGGACCCAGTATAAGTGCGGCCAAATCACTTCACGGTTTCCTGAAGTTGCGTGGCGCGCCGAGGCCTCGTTCTTTCGAAATTCCCTCAGCCCTCAGCTGGAGACTTTGCGACTGCCTCGGTTCCGTGTCAAAGTTGACGAGCAAGGAGGCTCTGGAAAGCGACGCCTCGAAGTCACAGGTATTTTGGCTCAAACCCTAAGGATCTCGAACCCTCGGGGGCTGGCAGAGCGACGATGAAGGTTCTCGTCGATGGCGTAGCGAGCCCCACCTCAAGCCGCTTCCGGAAAAGCCACGTGGCCACGCTAAGGATCGAAAGTAAAAGGTGCCGGCTTTGAAACCAGTGGTTTCCGCAAAGCTTCCGGTTGGCACCATTGAGCAGGGCGACCTTGTCGCGCGCTGTGCAGAACCTTCGCTTGGCACGGGAACCGTGCGGACCGCCTTCAGCTTGCCAGAACCCTTCTTCGCCAGCTCGTGGGCAAGCCTCGGTGACGGCCGCCCTTGCCATGTCCTTCCTAAAAAAGGAACCCTTCAGTCCGCTGCTGCAAGGAATCGACGTTGCGCCTCAATTGGAGGATCTCTTTCAGCTCAGGGCCTTCATGGCAGCGAGTGTACATGCTCATGCTCAAGAACACGGAGACAAACCACTGAGTCCGAAACAGCTCTTTGCCCGAGCTGCTGCTGCCTGACCCAGGCAGCGATGGGACGGACGCATCACAGGGATCACTCTGCCTCGACGAAACAGTTGTGGTTGTCCACGCTCTCGGGGTTGACACACACAAGACCTCAGCTGCGAGAAAGAAGGAAGGCTCCCATCCAAAGATTTATCGGGGCATGACAGAGATGCACTCTGGTTTCGAGAGGTGCTGAAGCCTCTTGCAGCAAGACTGCGACCAAACAGTAATGCGCAAATAAAAAACTTCCAACCTTCGGAGCAGCTTTGGACCTGAGAAAAAAAACGAGCACGTGCTACAGGCAACTGCACCTGCCACCCGAGGCACCAGCTTTGGCGAGCATATGTCGACTATGGCATGCATAAGCTCATCCTCGGAGCAGCATAAGAATGGTATTCAAGCAAACAGCTGCAGGCCTGACAACCCATACAGCTGCTGTTTGTCAGTACATCAGGTCGAGACAACAACGGCGACAACAACAGCAGCAGCAGCAGCAAACCACCACCACCACCACCACCACCACCACCACCACCACCACGAGCAGCAAACCACGACCACCGCACCACAACAACAACAACCACGATGACAACGACAACGACAACGACGACAACGACGACCACAAGAAAAAACGCAACAACGACCCACAACAACCACAACAACCATCGCAACCATAACCACAACAACAACAACCAACAAACAAGCAAACATGAAACAAGCCAGCAAACAAACAAAAATGTTCCTCCTCGTTGTCAGCATCTCTGACTAGGTGAAACTGTGTACAGGTGCATGTGAGCGACAGCTCTGAAGCGGGCGCACGAGAAGACCTCACATGTTGTGGCTGAGAATTCCTGAGCTTGTGGCGGCGATTCTGCGTTTCAACCTTCGCATGATGCTCGCATCCTGCATGACTTTGGAGCTTTAATGTTGTGATCCACAAGGCCGTCGCATCCTGTCGTAGCTCCTCGTACCGATCGTCGTTTAGGTTAAGGTGTCGCAGGAAAGCACCCATTCCTGAGCCCAGTCTCCGTCATCTTCGCGACATTTTGTTTACAAGCAGCTGTCTGGGCCCAATGCCGAATGGGAAGAGAATGACATCCTCAACCTGAAAATTCATGCAGGCACGTCCGGGCAACAGCCAGGGAAAAAAATGGTTAAACCCACGCCCGAAAACTTTAATGGCTGCTGCGTAAAGGATACAGTCGACAAAAGGTTTCCTCCCAAGCACACCTTGATTCCTTCTGCCTGACAGGTAGGTGGCCTGCAAGTGTCTCATGGCTGTCAGCACATTCCGCCAGAGGTGACGTAGGTCTTGGATGTAGAGATCCTCAGTGGCTGCTAGGCGGAGGAAAGACGAAGGCAAGACAGAAATCCTACGAGAAACTCACCTCGTTCAACCGCCGCGTTGGTCGCACAAGCCGATCCTTCCAGCAGCACCTCTCAGTAAGGGACTCACTGGCTGACGCCCTGCAAACAGCCTTGCCTGGAGGCCGTCGAAACCGTGGATCTCACGGACTCTGTCCTGCTTGGGCAGTGCTTGAGGTTCGAGGTGAATTGTTGACAGATCTAAGTTGAATGATCTTTCATCGCAATGTGCATGCCGGCTGAACAGAAACAGACGCGTGGCAGGAGTCCTTGCGGGGCTCGATTCGTCAACGTCCTTTACTGCAATTTGCAAGCGATGCAAAAGGAAATCTCACCGTGGGTGGTCCTCCTCTTCCACCGAATACGCCAGAAAGTCCTCTGCCTGTGCACTTTCACCTCGGCCACAACACATGCCGGTGATGGCTCTGTCTTCCCACCGTCATCTTCCGATTGCCAAGCTCCGACGCTCTGGCGATACACCCCTGCACAACATCCATACCCATCTCTGAGACCGGCAATATCACTGAAGATCATGGAGTGAGGGTATGCCAGGACCATTAGAGCACTCGCAAGCAGTCAAGGACCCCAATCAGCAAGGATCGATACTCTCTCAACAGAAGTGCTGCATTTTACTGCGTCGCCCAAACCTCGCGAATAACAGACTTGAGCTCTTGAACTTCACAGAATTGCAATGATCGTAGCAATGGACGATTGGATGCTACCAAGAAGCCTCCGACAGCTTAGGCCCCAGCCAATGTTGGGCGCAGCCGCGTGCAGCACCCAGAACCAGCCTTTGGAGAACGAGTGCCAGCTTTCTACCTGCGAATGCAATATACCAGATCCTTGCATCTCAAGATATCTCAGCCACAGGCCATCGAAACCCTGGAGCAACAGAGCGAAGTCTATTTGCATCTGTGGCACTCACGAGATGGCCTCGGGGCCGTCGCAGTCCCAGCGGTGTGGGGACGCTGCCTCCGGGCCGAAGCCCTCCTGATCGGACGGGTTTGTTTGAGACCCTCTGAGTGCCACCGCATGTCCCGGGTCCTGGCCTGCATTCCCGGCGGTCCCGGTCGCACCTCTCCGAAGGCCGAGTCATAGTCGGCCATCGCCGGCACTGCCACCATCTGGTACTTCCCCAGCAAGTAGTGGTCCTTCACTCCCCACAGCCACGTTTACCCATGCTCTGGCGTCAACTCAATGCTTGTCCTGTCGACGAGCCACAAAACCCTCGGCCGCTTTGGTTTCGAGTTCTGCTCGGAGTGCTTCCTGCAAGGATATTACTGCTAACAAACAGGAAAGTGCAAAAATGCTTGAAAAACTGGTCTTGATCACACCAAGTCTGAGAGACATGCACGCACGATCTCAATAACAACGGGACTGCCGGCCTCATCATTGAAAAGATGGGCCATTGACCTGGAAGCAAGAACACGGCCGCGCTGGGGCTTTTTGGGTGTTGACTGTGTACCATAGTGTACAATTTGGCCATTCTAGTAAACGTCGTTCAGCAAGCTTTGTGTCAAGAGCGGGCATAACCATTGCATGTCAGCACTGGGCACTGTGTTTGACACCGTCCCTGTTCCTAACTGCAACGTCTAATCATGAAGGACAGAATTCACGGATACTGCATGGGGAGCAAGAACAGGATGCGAAAACCAAAAGACACAGAGAGCAAGGAATCGAAGGTTTCTGCCCGTTCAGAAACGAAAAGACATCGCTAGAAACAGCAGATTGAACTCTAGATGCCAACTGTGTGCGGAAGAAGTGGGCACAGAAAGCAATGGCAGTCGTAGTAGAAACATATGACTACCACGGAAAGCAGCCTCCGGGCAGCAGAGGGTGTGTCGTACTGTTGCGGACTGCAGTCGTTCTGCTATTCATCGAGGCGTGATGGCCCTGTATCAGCACATGCGCCGCCTCCCCATCGGGAAGTAGGGAAAGGAGGTATTGCTGGGAGCTTGAAGCCGCTTCCTATCTTCGTTGCGACGCCAGCAATCTTTGAAGCATTTGCTGTGAAGGCCGTGCTCCAGCGTCTGAGAAATTGAGGGGAACAACACTGTCCTTTCCCCATTTACCCCCACCCCCCGAACAGCCCCACATGGAGCGGCTCAAAGGGAAAAGGGATGCTAGTGGAGACAAGTTGTGATCCAAGACGTGTCGAAGGGATTGGGGAATCACTGTGCCCATGCCAGTTACACAGAGGAAAACTTGTTTGTGCGATTGGAGTCGGGGATTTCTTCCACGTTGCAGCACGTTGCATGCACGTGCCTCCTTGATTGGGCGAAGTCCCCGATGCGGAGAACCCGATTGAGCGATCGATTGGTGACGCTGAATGTAGCTCAGTACAGCAATAACTGTTGCTCCGCATATCTGGTGCTGATGTTCTCTGTGGCACTGCCTTGCTTGTTACTGGCTGCACCGATCTCAGAGTTCATTGATTGCGTGCCCGTGCTGCAATGCAGCGTATCCTACAGAGCCAGGGGCCCATCCGCACAGTGTGCACAGAGCATTGCTCATTTTTGGAGAGCATCAGTATGACGCACAGCAACTGTCAGTATAGCTAGCTTCCGTTTAGGATTGGGGATGTTCGAAGCGCATCGTCTTGTATTCGCAGGGTCTTGTGTTAAACGTGTTTGGATTGGGCCTTCTGAAGGAAAGTCAAGGGTCCAAACCGTAGGAGCGGAGTCAAACTTGAAAGGCTCGTTCACTATGCCGACTATACCCATTTCCGCTTCAAGAGATTCTGGCTGAAGGGTCTGAAGCTCTAGCTGAAGAGGATCGCTTGCTTCTGAAAGCCTAAAATGCCTCTCCTTCATCGGACGTGCAATGCTGAACAGTCTTCCGTGGACGTTGTGTGTTGGCTCTGTGCCGAACAAAACATTGTTCCGCCTGTTTGGGTGTGCAGGACGATGGGATTGCTGACTTGAGGGCAGCCCCCCGCCCCGTAGCGACCGTCAAGCTAACCGCCGTTGCCGATCCTCCACGCAGGGGTCATGCGGCCGTTCGGAAAATACACCGCAGAGTCGCTGAGCTTAGCCCTGATGGAAGCGCAGAATGGAGAAGCAACGGTGTCGTCCACCGTTGCTTCCACACAGCCGCACGACCGAGCTCAGGGTGTCCCATGAAGTTCCTCTTTGCAGCGATCCAAGTCCCCTACGGACCCTGCGCTTTGGTAAAGCTATGCAAGCTGCCCGCACCTGTATTTCTCAAACGCGCATCCTTTCTGTTACACGTAGGTTATTCGGAGGGCACTAGTCCGTTACGATCGGTGTGCATGCACAGGAAAAATGCAGACGGACTCCTTTTTCCGGATGGCTGAAACCCGTAGCGGTCTGGATAAGTGCCGGGACCTCGGGCCGGACACAAACCCCAAAGAAGACTGCTACGGATCGGTACGGGCACCGGTCAGGACGGAAACCGTCGGAGCCGGGTGCCGAAAGGGACTTTGCGGTTTTCTGAAGCCGGCCTACGGCATGCAGGAAAAGGCAAAGTCCAACCCACACCAGAAATCCAGGCTGTAAGCTGCGGATTGAAGGGCCTAAATCAAAGGCGGAGACCAAGGGGGAGGTGGCGGGAAAGAAAAGGCTAGCACACCGTCGGTATGCGGAACGGATGCGCCTAAGTCGAACGGCTGCGGTATAGTTACGACTTGCCGTTGCGAGCCCTCCGATTAACACAATACGACCCGTCGAGAAACCGTTATTCGGAGGGCACTAGTCCGTTACGATCGGTGTGCATGCACAGGAAAAATGCAGACGGACTCCTTTTTCCGGATGGCTGAAACCCGTAGCGGTCTGGATAAGTGCCGGGACCTCGGGCCGGACACAAACCCCAAAGAAGACTGCTACGGATCGGTACGGGCACCGGTCAGGACGGAAACCGTCGGAGCCGGGTGCCGAAAGGGACTTTGCGGTTTTCTGAAGCCAAGATCTTGAACGAAGTCCAGGCAAAGGAGTACCCGCACCGGGGAGAAAACAGCCAAAGTCAGAAGTCCAATGCCGGGAAGAGGTCACGGTTGAAGGCGGCCGCAGGAGAGTAACACGGGCGCGGAGGACGGCTCAACAGGTGCCAAGGGACCAGGATCTCATCGGCAGGATTGAGTCCCAATGTGCCCGGGTCGCGGGACCGGCTCAGGGCATCAGCAATCTTGTTACGGAACCCCGGAACATGATCGATATGTGCGGAAATGCAGAAATGACGCTGCCATAACAGGTAGGAGTGCAATAGGTCACACATACCGCGGGCCGTAGAGAGGCCTTTCCAGGAAGCCGATTCGGAAGGGCTGTTGTCACAGCGGCTGACGAAATGTACTGGGTGGTGAGCGGCCGGGACAACGAGAGCAACGCACCAGAGAAGCGCGATTTGGCCAAGGAGTTCCCAGGCAGCGATGAATTTCTGAGGGGAAGTGTCAGGGGAATACCAAGCACAAAGTCGAGCAAGATCCGCAGGGGATAAGGCGGATCGGAACCAGACCGTGCGGCCGGAGGGAAAAGCCACGAAGCCGCCCAAGCCCGCGTGTTTGCTGTCGGCACAGGCGTCAGCAAACGCCTCGCAAGTTAACAGCGGCGCGAGAGACAGCGGGAAGAGCGGGATGGTCTGACACAGGCAGGAGTGCCAAAGGTCCAAGACAGCTTTAGATTCCTGCGAAAGTTTCCGGTCAGAGTCAGGAGGGGAGCGGACGGAAATCCAGAGTCGTCGCTCACCGGCAAAGTGGAGAGGAACATCCTTCAGTGTATGAACAGGGCGGGAAGCCACACTGACCAGGGTGCAGCCCTGGGGGCAACTAGCCAGACCGACAGATTTCGTGAGCACGAGGTCTTTGGACAGGGCTGCACGGATGGATTCCCACTTAGAGGGGGCCACAGCAACATGAACAAGTGGAGGTAGGCTTTGGTCCCGATATAGCGGTGCAAGGGACGGCCGGAATGGACGAAACAGGGAACAAACCCAAAGGAGTTTGCCGGTGAGTTTGCGAAGCAGGTGTAGTGGAATCGCCTCCCCGGATCGGGCTGAAGAAATCAGAAGGCGGAGACGGGCCAGCTTCGGTGGTTCAAGCGTGGCGGTAAAGGTTTCCAGGGACATAGACCAACCAATCCAAGTCGGCCGTGCGCCCAAATAGGCTTTGTGCCAACTCATTGGGACACGAAGCACAAGAAGGAAAACACACAGCACAGCGGCCCAGACCGGCGCGGACGGACCGGAAAGGAGGGAGATCAGGTCGTCGACATAGATGAGCAGGGCGTGGCGGACGAACAGAAGCCGATGCATGAGGCGTGACAGAATCCCCGCCAAACGTGCCCAGTAAAAGCCGGACGCGCGTGCACCGAAATTCAATGTCAGACACTGGAACAGGCGGCCGCGATGGAAGAAGCAAAGAAGGCCTTGGTCGGCGGCCCGGATCAGTATGCGCCGGTGAGCTTTGCTGACGTCCAGGATCAGTGCGAAGAGCTGTTCCAGGGCCAGACGGAGGGGAAAGCAGCGACGGAGACCCGAGATGGTCGGGTTCGCGGACTTATTGGGAAGAGTGGTGTGTTCTGTAACGCCGGAAACGCTTCAAGACCGCCCGGAACCTCCCGCACCCATCCTTCGGAAACTTCGGTTTGAAGAAGGGAGTCAACAGTGGACAGGTCGGAAAGAGCTGATCCCCAGGAGGAGGAACAATGCTGTAAGTCCATGGATGGGTCCTTGGTGGCGGAAGCAGGAAACAGCGTAGGGCAGGCAGGCATAGGTTCGTCAACACCCAGAGGAACTCCTTCAAGCAGCAAGTCCACAAAGGGTCGATCCGGGTCGCGCGAGAGTTGAAGCAGCGCATCCAGAAGGAACAGGCGGAACGGTTGGCCCGGAGGGACCGAAAGGAGTGTATCAAAGTCAGTAGCCGCCAAGCCCAGAAAGGAGCGCAAGTCACCCAAGAAAGGTACCAGTTCGGACTCAGAAATGGGGGCATCCTTGGAACCGGATGCCAGACGAGCGCGAAATTTGGCAAGGAAATCCCCCGACAGGATGCGCTTAACCCAGAGTTTGCGCAGGGAGCCGAAGGTGTCGGGGCCGGACGGTTTGGACCAGGAAGCAGTGGAGCACGAACCTGCACCATCTTCAATCCGGGCGGAGGGGGGTGGCCAGCAGAGCTGTGGCTCAAGAAGAGCCGTTTCCCAGGAGAGGAACGGGACTAGGCCCACTGACCGGGAGAGATATGGTGCCATCAGTGCCGCAAAGCGCTCGCAGAGACCGTCCGGGTAGCAGGCAGTGGTCCGTGTAAGGAAGGCACCGGACGAGTCACGCTTGCCTGCCAAGGGCGGGTGAGTGCCCGGCGGGTGGCAACAGGCAGAGGCCAGAGAGGAAAGGTCCGCCAAGTTTGAGACAAAGGTCCAGCTCTTTTTAGCATTCACGCCAAAAGTGCAAGCGGCAATTTCCACGGC